ACTACCAGAAAGTTCAATAGAAATCCAATAGAATTATCTTGCGAAATCGCTAGGTTTTTCTATTAAATTTTTTCGTGTCTGCAGTAACGTTGTAAGACCGAAAAACTCGGCAGCACTAGGGGCCTATACTTTTTAATCCGATACTAGAGACTATTATTTATATTTTATTATCATTTTCATTCTAGTAATTTCTATTATTTGTTTAGTCTGTTCTGTTTAATTTCATTATTGACACTCAGCGCACGCTTGCAAGTACCTGCCAAATGTATATCGACATAATTTTTTTACAATTTTTCAATATTTTTGTTATTAGTTGAATTGAGATAATTATGATCATTATATAGTTTATTATTTATTATGTTCTTAGATTTTATATTTATTGCGTTCTCTTTAAGTAAAACGAAGTTATCGTTTTGATCTTTAATTTATTGTAAGTCTAGGATTGAGAAATAATCAAATTTATTGTAAATTTCTCTCCTATGTTTCGGGAATTTTGGTGAAGGTGGAATTGTAGATTGTAAATTTTATAATGTGAAATAAAATGAATATATTTGCTTTTGTAAACTGTTTTGTTGAATTTCCCGACATCTAAAATGTGGACACTGACATTATCTGCACATTCGAAACAATTACATGACTTGAAAAATTATTGAAATTCAAATAAAACCAATGAAAAATACTCGTGAAGTAATACTCATTTTTCAATGTTGATTCACTCATGAAACAATAATAGACTGTACACTGAGAGAAATATCCACATAATATCACAATATTAATTTCTTGCCTCAAATATCGCATCTCTTACGGATAAACAGCTTGGCGATAAAGTGAGAATTTCTTGCCTCGAGAAATCGTTTATTTCGTGTCAAAAGATGAAAAAATTACTAAAAATACTTAAAGGTTCGATTCAGTGAATCATTGATCAGAGACTTTCATATGGAATCGGTACAGAATTTAAAATAGGTAATAATGGCGAATGTAGCTTTATAATCCGAGCCGAAGGCGGGGATTATAAAGCCACATTCGCCAGATGATACTTTTATCACCTAATGACATAATATACTATTTCTAGCTCATATGATTGCAACCCTCACCTTCGGCTCGGGCTGCAAACTCATATTCGTCAGAAAAGTTTTTTTCGGCCTAATTACGAAATATACGATGCCGCTTTAGAATGCATTCCGACAGGTATGTATTCGTTTCTTTTCGTTCCGAATATATCCGCTGAAGTTAGTGTTGCTTTGTTTATTAAATATTCTTTTCTTTCGTTTTATTATTTTTTTTATTTATTCATCCATATACATACCCTCTCGGGTCTGGACATTTTGTTCCCATCCCCTTTTTATATGCGTTACCATGGCCGACTTACTTTTCTCCAACTGCACCCATTCGGACAAAGATTGCCAGGGAAACCATGGAAAACTTCAGTCGTGTAGCCGGCCGATATTGCAGAGATTCTATTGTGGCCATCGGTCACACTGACTCGATGGGCACAGTAGGTCTCTGCATTCGTGCCTAGCGCCAGTAGTCGCATCATAAAATTATATTCCTAAATTATCCTAAATGATTCTTAAGAGGCAATGGCACTTACCATCAAAGTAGAAACTGGATTCCAAGTTTATTCGTTGTCAGACGACTATTCAGCAAAACCCAAATTTTTATGCTATAGATATCAAGATTATTGACGATGTAAGAATTTGGGTTTTGCTGAATAGTCATCTGACGACGAAAAAACTTGGAATCCAGTTTCTACTCTGATGGTAAGTTCCATTGCCTCTTAAGTAAGTTTATTACTTCTTTTCACTGCAATATATTAGATATATTGCTCATTATCGACGAAGCAACGGCACTCGCGAGGGGGGGGGGGGGCGGTAAAATTAAGAAAAAATGGTTTTTATATTAATTTTTGATTCCCAAACTGCAAATTATGTTCCTTTACAATGCCCAAATGATTTTGCATCGATTTATGATAATTTAAATGACATTTGACAACTTCATCTGCTAACTATACGCCGTGTAAAAACAAATCAATTTTTAAAAAACTATTAGTTCCTAAATGATAAAATCATGATGCTAAAGTAGCCCAAATGATTCCCAAATGATCTAAACTGATTTCATCAGAACACTCATTATTTCCCTGCTAATTATATGGCCGTGTCACATTTTCGTTCTATTATAATGACACATTAAATTTTTTGTCGTTCCCTTTTATTTTAATAAACGCCTTTTTTGTAATACCCACGTGTTTCAATATTCGCAACCAAAAACTCCCGCCCTGCATTCCAAGGGATAACATCAGTTTCTTTCTTATCATCCTCAGGTATACTAAAATAATGTGATGCCCCACCAGAGGGATTCAGTCCATCCTCTTTGGGAGGGGATAACGGCTTCAAGCATAAGGACAGTAACACGTTTTATCAACTGGCCGACATTTCAACTAGGTCATTTCAACTGCGACATTTCAACTGTTTTTTTCAACTACGACTCTTTAACTACGACTTCTCAACTACGACTATTTAACTAAGACTTTTCAACTACGACGTTTCAACTAGATTTTTCCATGCATAAGACGTAGTTGTATGGTTTTTTATTTTTATGATGTACATTTTTTCCAATCTATTACAATAGTTTATTATTATGAACAGTTTTATTATTATGAATTATTTTAAAAATATAATTAACATAATGAACATTATCGCAATACATTTTATAAATTTATGGTTTTTCATTTTAATTGTATCATTTTTTTTTATCTTATCACACAGAAAGTAACATGATGAACTTGATCTCTATGCAACTTGGAATTTCAATAAATAATTGATAAATAATAACGAAATAGCTTATAAGTAGAACAGTAAGTGGGCAAAAATACACGAATAAATGCAATAAATAATCGCTGTACAATGACGCGTAACTAATGAGAATTTATAATTTGATGCATTGGGCAATTCCCCTCAGATAATCCTCAAAATTATCCAGTGCATTCTCGCGATTAACAATCGTCCTAAGTCTCGCATTTGTGCGGTATCATCGTTATTTACGTATTCCGAATGTTTTTGAGAAATATTAGATATATTGAAATTTCCATTGGATAGCTGTATGTTACAAAGTAGTTGTCAAAAATTGAAAAAAAAAACATTTAATATTTGCAAAACTTCAAATATATTAATTCACTTTTTTTCTAAAATCGGAAAACTTGGAATTTTGGAGTTTATGTTTCGCATAAAATTCCAGTTGAAATGTCCTAGTTGAAGGAGTGTTAGTTGATAATGTTGTTAGTTGAAATGTGGCTAGTTGGAATGTCTTAGTTGAAATGTCGCCAGTTGATAAGACATGGATTCATAAGGACATCACACACTACCCCTGCGATCAGTGGAGCTGTTGCTGCTGGCTCCGCTGTCGGTGCTCTCGTTTCCAAGAAAATCACTTCTTAACTCTTTGTAATGATTATCATTTGGTCTCAATATTGGCCCACTCTGTACGGAAGAGGATTGCGATTACAAACATTTTAACACTTCATTGATGTTTTCGATTTAAGTTAACCCCTGAATCACGCGTGGTTTTCAACATCTTCATTAGTACCAGCTGGTTTAATTTATACTATTCTGTTTTATTTCATTTTCTTTCCATTTTCGTCTTCACAATTAGATTAATTTAATTTTATCCTTTTTTTTCTTACTATATTTTTTTTTTCGTAATTCACAAATTACAACATTGAATGAAGAGGAATTATGTTAACCCTTTACTTCGTCTCACAATACCCCACCATTCGTCGTTTTGTCGTGGTGGGTGTGCGCGAGGGGGCCGGATGGAATCCCCACTCCTCTTATACCGAGACGATTCGAGACTTACGCGAAGAAATGGGTTAAAAATCAACGAAAAGTGTTTCTTTTATGATCAAAATAAGCACAAAACAGAACTCATGCAAAATCTCATTCGGGTAATAGAAATGTCTCTCCATTCTTATTTTTGGAAAAGTTTTAAATCTATTTTTCCCTTCATATGGTATACCATATCGATTTATAAAAGGATATCGGTATCCTCATTCCTATGATCGGATTTCAATTATTATTATAAAAAGGAAATGGAAAAGAATCAGAAAGGGATAATCGGCTAGAAAATAGATTTTTTTCTTTAAGTATTAGAGGGATATCAATATTTCAGCGAGAAGAAATTCTAAAAAATCATTTTTCAATGTCTCCGGAAAGTTTTAAAAGTAATATATTTTTTCGCATAATGGAAGAGTACCCATAAATTCGATTTCTTAGTTGATATCTACAGAAATTTCTCGGCTCGTATTTTCCAACTTCTGCTTGAATTTTTCACTGAAAGAAAAAACAAAATGAAATGGAAAACACTTGAAAAATTTATGCTAGGGTATTTTTATAGAAAATATCTCAATAGGATAGCTTGTTCAAAAACTGTTGACTTTTTCTTTAAAATATTATCTACTGAACATTTAAAAAAAACAATTAGTTAGATTAATGAAAACTAATAGAATTCATAACAGAAGGTCAATGAAAACCCAACGGAATTTTTTAACGAACGCGTCAGATTCTTCTGCTTGATTAATTATTAATTAATCAATATTTACTTTTTTATTTCCATCATTTTTGAAAATATTTACTTGTCTCCGGTTTGCAATTGACGCTTCATTTAGTAATTGAAAAATTGTGCTGTAGTTGTTTCAATCAATTTATTCATTTTATAGGGGAGAGTGGGTTAAAACGGCCCCTTTTGATTGTTTCAAAAATGTGAACAGCTCATTCAATTTTAAATAAAACGGAATTTTTTTTTCCATGGAAACTAAACTTATTCTCCTTTAAAATGAGCCTAAACTGATCTCTTTTAATGAATTTATTTCTGAATTATGAGTTTTACAAAAAAAGTCAAAAGGGGCCGTTTTACCCCACTCTCTCTTATATTCATAATTTTGTTGAATCCCAACAAAGCGGGAATTTTTTTTACCCACAGAGTATATATAAGCACGTGGCGCGAGTTTTTTAGGTTTTTGACGACACGAAGTTGCTCCGTATTTGCAGAGAGGTTATGATCTTGTAAATAAACGACACCGCAAACACTCCCAAAACAACTACAACTTAAGAATAAGGTAATATTCAATGAATAAAAATGTTGGGAACAATCAGAGCGTATTCCAGAGCAATGACGAAGAATGGGAAGAAGCCGCCTCCCTTGCGAGAAATAAGTAAACCGAAGAAGAACGAGGGAATACCCATGCCAAGTGAGTGAAACCTTTACCGGTAAAAACTACCGGGAGCTTATGAATTAGACATGAGTCCGTTACCCTGATGTTACCTGTTTTTTCACTCTCTCGTCATCGATTGAAGCTGACGAAATCTCTAAAAGAATGCATTTTTCTTCAACTCGAAATGACAGTGTGTGGGCTTCAACGGTCGTCAGAAGTTTTATGAGCGTTGGATTCACCGCAAGAAAATTTTCATTTTTCGATTTAATAATTTCATTTAAAATTACTGACAACCGTTGAGGCCACTCCACTGCATTTTGAATTGGAGAATTACTCGAAAACTATCGTCAGAAATATCTTCTTTGTGGTGAGTTTTGTATTTCGTATAGTTTTGCAATTTTTCCAATTTTACTGATAATCATTTCACCTATAGTAAATAAATAATGTCGGAGCGAATTGCTACCATCTTAAACCTGCACTTTATCGAATTATATTAATACTATTTCATTTTATTTTTTTTGTTACTCCAATTTTCGTCTTCACAAGTAAATTAATTTAATTTTATCCATTCTTATTCTTATTAAATATAGAGGAGGGTGGGCCAAAATGAAGCAGCCGAAAAACGACTATTTGACGCAAGCAAGAAAAAATTGTTTTTATCAACTTTTGATTATTACCTTTCTTTATTATTGGCAGTACTGATGAAAATAATAATTTTCTATTCGTCTTATAATTCAATTGATTGAATTAGACCGATTACACTTTTCTTTTTTCATTCAATTAAAATTCAGCATCACATTTTTCTCTTTTCCCTCTAGGTCTCCCCCTGGACCTTCCTCTGGACTTTGGATTTTGCTGTTTCATTTTCTTTTCAATTAATCCATTGACAAAATTTTCGCCCGTCAAAACTTCTCAATAATTTTCCATTCTACTGAATGGAAAATTATTATTCTCATCAGTACTCTCAAGAATAAAAAAAAGTTGATAGAAAAAATATTTAAGGCCCGGGTGGATATCTTTCGAACGTGATCTTGGCTGTTTTTTGCTTCCGAATGGAAACATTATAATCGTGCTGTTTTTACATTCTCTAATTTTGATTGGAAATGATGTAGAATGGTCTGAAACGTGAAAATACGAAGTTTGGCGACCATGTCTGTCGGTGCCAATGTCCATCGCCATCTTTCCGGTGGTCAATTTTTGGAAAATTGAGTAATTAATTGGCTAAACTTATTCCAAAAAATCTGAAATTTTGTCAGATTATAGACCTCAACAAGGACTAACTCTGTGCAGAAGTTCAGCCCGATTGATCAAATAGTTTTTGAGAAAAAGCCATTCGCTTTGAAATCGTTTTTCGCTAATATCTTCGAAGCTAGTCAACCGATTTCAATTTTTTTTTTCAAAATATTCGTTTCGATGCCTTCTATCTGAATCAATCAAAACATATATACCCATTCATACAAAGTTTTCGAGATATTTCGGTTTTTCTGTTTTTTCATCAGACGGCAGTTATTTCCACTGACATTGTTGACATCTAATTTCAGCGGGTTTGGTGTTTCCATTTTTTTTCTCTCTTTAATAGAATAATTACAGATCCATTCGGAAGCTTACTACCAATGGAATTGGTAGAAATAAAAGAAAGAAAAAGAGTTATGACACATAAAGTAACGGTCAGATGGCTTCGGCAAAAAAGGCTCGAACTCCTGCTTGTTTTATTTTGACAATCTGAAATGATCTTCTATTGCTATTTAGTTTTATATAGCCCTGGAGTCTCCAAAAATTATAATTGTACAATCAAAAAAACGTTGAAAAACGGCTGAACATTTTCAAAGATCGTTTTTAAATAATATTGGGAAATAAACCCAATAGGGAGGAAATTGCAAATTAATAATTTGATGTATCTAATGGCTGTTAGGCCGTCATTTGACACAGTAGTCAATCGCTGTCAGATTGTTAGTTACCATGATAAATTATCCATTCACTATTTCCTCTCTATCGGACTTATTTCTTAATCTTTATTAAAAATGCTCTTTGAAAATGTTCAGTTTTTTTCAACTTTTTTTTATTGTACAATCATCATTTTTAGGGACTCCTGTGCGGTGTAAAATTCAATGGAAATTGTGATGTATTTTTCATTACGAAGATGGAAAATCGAGATAACGTTCGAAAGATAATCCACCCGGGCCTTAATAAAAAAATGCTTTTTACTTGAATTACATCAAACAGTCGTTTTTTTGACTGTTTCATTTTCCCCCCTCTCTCCTATATTCTTTTCCTTAATTCACAAATGACAACATTAAATAAAGAGAAATTATGTTAAGAATCAATAAAACGTGTTTTTTAATTAAGACAAAAAAATCACGGTGACCTGAATTGACATGGAATGCCCCATTAAGGAAAAGTCAAACAAAACATAAATACCACCGGGTAATTTATCACCACTATTTGGTGGAACAAATCATATGTAAAAATGTCAACAATTTAAATTAAGTAACAATCGCCATCCCTTCTAGATGCTCAGAAACTCACCAAAAATTAATTTCTTTTTACCACTTAGTGACTATAGTAGTGAATAAGAATGCAAAAAATTGATTAAATAAATTGTCATTAATATGTGAATAGTATTTCAGTACCCAGTGGCAAAGCCAGGCGACCGCAGAGTCTACGTTTGGGGCTTGGCCGACCATGGAGGTCTTGGAACCCTCGGAAAAGTGAAAAAATCATCGCTTGAGTTCAGTTACATCGCGAAACCCAGTCGATTAACCTTCGGGGAGTGGCACAAGGTCGTAGACATCACGTGTGGCTATGGATTCACTGCATTCGGAGTGGATAATGATAGCGAGAGCATCGTGTATGGGAATGGAATAAATACAGATTCACAATTGGGCTATGGTCCAAAGGACGAGAGGTACTACAAGGATCATATAATTACGGTGCCAAGGCCTATTCCCCTGCCCCTGAAGAAAAAGGACACGAAGCTACTGGCGCTGTCAGCTGGGAGGGCTCATCTTTTGGTGCTGACGAGTGACGGAGTCTACACCCTGGGGAACAATGGGTATGGACAGTGCGGGAGGCCCATTATAGAGGGTGAGGATTACTGCAAGAGCAAAGTCGTTCATCATATCCCTAATATCAAGGGGGCCAAGATCATTGGAGTGACTGCTGGTCAGGACCACAGGTAAGTCTCAAATTCAAAGTGAATGGAATTCTCTCGATCTCAGATTTTTTCAAAGTTATCAATAATCATGAAGTCCATAACCGAGAAATTACTCCATAAATGCGGCATTTTAGGAGGAATTCTTGAGAGACATTTGCAATAGCATATTTTCCCAGCTGCGAAAAAGTCTCACCTTTTTGAAATGCAAAATCGATAAAGATTTCACGTTTAAGGCCCGGGTGTACTATCTTTCGAACGTTATCTCGATGTTTTTTTTCATCTTTCGTCATCTGAAATTGTCAATTAAGTCCTGCATCATGCAGAAGTTTTGAAAAATTATGAATGAATAATAAAAAAAAAGTAGAAAAAATTCTTAATTTTTTTAAAGAGCATTTTTAATTTATATTCAGAATAAGTTGAATAACACGAAATTGAAAAATGTATCTGATTTACGGTGACAAATGGCGACCTGCCACCCAATATCATGCAGGGAGAAGACTGATTTCGTAAATCTTCCCACACTGCACAGAGAGATTTATTACGGGAAAGGCTCTTTGAAAAAAAAAGTAATATTTTGGAGAATTTTTTAATCACACTTTTATCACATAAAAATGGCAGATGACTACATACCACTGTTTTGAAAATTGAGATACCTAGCTGTCACTTCCCATGAGGAGTTAGTGTTTTGTTATCCACCATGGAAAATGACAGCTAATAGATAATTTGCCACAGCGAATCAGATATTTGTAATTTCCACTTTTTTCAACTCATTCTGAATCTCAATGAAAAACGCTCTTTGAAAAAGTTCAGAATTTTTTCAATTTTTTTTATCATTCTATCATAATTGTTGGGAATTTCTACATGATGTACCACTCAATTGACAATTTTGGATTGCGAAAGATAAAAAAAATCCAGATAACATTCGAAAGATAGTACCCCCAGGCCTTAAAATGGAACTTATTGTACTTTTTGGATTGAATTATCTTATATTTAAGTTCCATTGATTCTCATTGAAACTCAATTCATTTGTTTATTGATTCTGTTTCAGTGTACTCTTGACAGAAAAAGGAGAAGTTTATACATTTGGTTGGGGTGCGGATGGGCAGACTGGTTTGGCTCATTATCAAAATGAGTGGCAACCGAGTTTAGTTAAAGGTGATCTAGCTGGCGAGCGAATAACCAAAGTGGCATGTGCTGCTGACTGTGTTCTGGCTCTCAGTGGTACGTAATTATTACAAGGTTCCCGGATTTTTTTCCCGTGAAAAATACCCCGGGAAAAAATCCCCGGAAAATTGTTCCCTCGAAAAAATGTAGAGGAAAAAACGAAAAAAAAAACTTCAGAAAAGTTCCTATGTCCCCAAGAAACCCATGTAAAATTTCTCTGGAAAATATGAAATCGGACGCGTATTCGAACACAACATCAATTCATCTTTATTTAATGTAATATCCATTTTTTTTTGTTGAAGTCAACAATTTTTGAATATCGTGAAAAATTTACATACACCTTTTCGTCAAAATAGAATTCAATTCTTCAAATCGAACATTTACAACCAGACAAAATTACTAACATTCGAACAAGCTAAAATGATTAATTTTCAATATTATCAGCAACATACAAAAAATTTAATGTGAATTTAAAATTTTATACCAACATTGGTCGGTAAACTATGAATTGACTAAACAATCGCGAATGAAAAAAAACGATTTTTATCATTAATTGTTTCATTTTTCTTAGTGATACTGCGAGACATTTCATGAGACATCACGAGACAGTTCTTTGGAGGGAGTGGCTCAGTCTCAGTGAACACGGAAATTTTTGGTCTCGCCGCAGTCTTGAAATGCGCAGTATCGACTCCGCTCATGATGACTTCGAGTCAATTTATCTCATCTCGGTTTCCAGTTTTTCGCGGTATTTATATGTAGAAAACCGAGACGAGACAAGTCGAGACAAAAAGCGAGATTTTATATTAAAAAACACGAAAAAATTGAGACCGAGATAACATAAATGGACTCCGAGTCATCACGAGAGGAGGCGATACTGCCTATTTTGACACTGAAATGAGAGCAAAGATTTTCATGTTCATTGAGACCGAGATCATCTCTCCAAAGTTTTGTCTCGTAAAGTGTCTCGCGGCAGCACTAATTTTTCTCCTTCTAAGAGAAAAAAAAATAATTCAATGAGTAGTTTCTGCAGAAAAACTCCAAACAAAATCTCACATGAAAAAAAATTCGTAAGGCAAATTACTCTCAATGAGAACAATTTGCTGAGAAATGACTAACGGGGAAAAAATCCGGGAATTTTTCAACGGGGAAAAAACTCCGGCCAGGTGACCGGATTTTTTTGCCCCGGAAAAAATTTCCCCGTCAAAATTCCCCCGAAAAATTTTTCCCTTGGAAAAAAATCCCTCGCCTAAATACCTATTGCCCGGAATAATTTCCCCCAAAAAATTTCCCTGAATTTTTTCCCCGAGTAATTTTTTCTTGGTATTAAAGTAAGTCAATACCAAAACCAAAAAAATTGAAAAAATTAGAAAAAAAATTGAAAGTTAAATAATATCACACTTTTCTAACTTTATGGTTAATGTTGAATTCTATGGGCGTTACTCCTCTCAGTAATGGACTATATTACATTTTTACGTCATTAACAAGTTGGTTTTCTTTCCCCTGAGCATTGTTGATTGCTGTTGAAATTAATGAAATGTTAGATGCCGGGGAATAGTCATTTTGAAGCAATCGGGCTGTTGTCTATTGCAATTGTCTATTAATTGCAGTAATTGCAGTTGTCTATTACACGACTACACACACACACTACTAAAGTTCGGCGTCATCAGGCATTGTCTATTTCAAAACAAAAATATACACGCACAAGTGAATCTTTGTTATAATAGGAAGCAAATTATTGGAGGAGGGGGGAACGGTCAATGGATTAATAAATTGGGATTTGGTTAAATGAGGATGATTTTTGGATTTTATGTGATTGAGTTGTGGTTCATCAATTAAGTAGGAAAATTGAATTGAAAAATTTGATTTTTTTGTCATCTGTTTTTGCCGATTGAGAGATATAATAAATTGAGTTGATATTAGTAATGTGTGTATGTGTAATTGTCATTTGAATCCATAAGGAGAATGAATTCCGAGAATTTATTTCCGAGGGGATTTTTTTCCGGGGGAATTTTCTCCGGGGAATGTTTTCGGGGGGAAAAAATCCGGGAACCCTCCGGCCACCTTATGACAATAGGTTTAAAGATGTACTACACCCTTTCGGCCAAAATTCACGTTTTTTTCATTTTTCTGGTAAGTTATTGATCGAATTTACGTGACAAAATATACCGTTTTTGCGTTTTATCGTTGCATAATGACTCACGAAATTTCATGATCGTGCAGTCATTTGCCTGCATTTTTTCTAAATTTTTGTGAATTTCCGAAAAGTTTTAGAAAAAACGCAGGAAAATGATTGCACGATCATGGAATTTCGTGAGTCGTTAAGTAACGATAAAACGCAAAAACGGTATATTTTTTCACGTAAATCCGATCAATAATTTACCAGAAAAATTTAAAAAACGTGAATTTTGGCGAAAAGGGTGTGATACATCCTTAAGGATATTGATCCATTATCCGAAAGCCGAATTTCTCCATATTTGAAAACACGAAAAGACAAGGCACCTATGGCATTTATCTCTCATTTGATAATTCACATGAAAGCTAAACGACATTGAGGTTGGGCACTAAATGGAGTGGTGACCACGAGGAATTACCAAAAGGAAAAATCGTATTCACCGAAAATGCCAAATAAGCTATATATGTTGTTTGTTGGCAAAAATCAATCTTTAGATTTAGTTTAAACCTTTTCATTTATTGCTTTTTTATCAATGTTCGCATTCTTTTAGACAGAGGCAAAGTTTTTGGCTGGGGAAATTCAGAGTACGGCCAACTTCCAACCAATGGTGACACAACGCAGATAAATATTGCCACCGAATTATCAGACTGTGTTAAACTAGGACATATTGTCGATATTGCTGTTGGAGGGAGTTTTTGTATGATATTGACGAGTACGTGTTTGCCCTCATCCAGATAACCATTTCATAAAAATTGATTTCCATTTTATTCATATTTCAACTCCTTCCGCAGGTACCGGCGATGTTTACGTCTGGGGATTCGGTATTCTGGGATTCGGCCCCGAGGTGAAAAAAGTTAACATACCAACTCTCATTCCAAATACATTATTCGGAAGGAATGTATATGAAAAAAATGTCAAGGTAATTATCAGGACGAATGGTCAGTTACTCAAACCCAGAGGAACATATCATTAGAAATATCTCTGGAACTAGAGGGTTTTGAGGAAATTCTCAAGAACTTTTTTTTTGTTCCACATTAAATTTTCCACGATTGAAGAGCCGTATTCTCGACATTTCTGGATTCTTTTTTGTTCAGGAGCTTTATTTCGTCAACGAATCTTTCATACGCAGTTCAAAAATGCGACCCGAACGTAATGTTTTTTTTGTGCCAATTCATGCACGAAGAAAATTTTACCAATGTCCAGAATACGGCTCTGGTGTTTTTTCATTACTTTCCAAAACTACTAGTTCCAGCAGTATTTGGTCCATCAGAAGTATGAGGTGCACGAAATTTTTTCACTCGATGTTGGACCTCACTGTGAGGTAAAGAAAAAAGGTTTCTAGTTTCCAGCAAGATTTTCTGAATTTCAAAACTCTGCCGTACTGAAATCTAGCGAGCAAAAAATCCTGGAAATGAACCAAATTTTCACTAATTTTAAGAATTTTTTTATAAAAAACAGTGAATCTAATTCTCACTCATTTTTAATTGAATTTAGTTTAATTGTACTGACATTAAAGCACATTTTCTGTTATTCTGAAGAAATCTGAGTTCTGGAATTTATAACTTTTGGATTCTTAACACTCCGTTAGTCCCGCTACGAGCGCCGCACTGCACTTTTTCCGATTTTTTAAATTACAGAAGAATTTGAAAAAAATTGATGTCTCATTTTCAAGTGTCTAGAAGTCTATCAATGAAAATATCCGCCAAAAATATAATAGGTGGTTGGATTTTCAAATTTTTATTCCGAAACTGCGGGCCGTGTACCGTGTATGAGGCGAATTTTCAGAAAAACATGGCAACTTTGAGCTTGAATATATAATTAAGGGTAACACTGAACATAAAAAATCTCACAGGACTTCTTCAAGTATACGGTCTAGATCACTCTTGATTTTTTCCTGATTTTTCCTAGATCTTTCAAATTTATCATTATGTCGATTTATGCCGGTGCGCGCGGCGCTTACGGCGCGACTAACGGAGTTTTAAATTAAAAACCTTGGGATTTTTAAGTCAAGACCGTCCAGGTTCTTAATTTCCAAACACTCTCGTTCTTGAACTGATGATTTTCCCTGTTCTAAAAGTCATCTAGTCATGTTTAGAAATTCCTTATCATTCAATTATATCCTAACATAAGTAACTTAATTCTGGAAACTAGGAATTGCTTTCTCTGTATGTCTCTGCAATGGCAAGGTAAATTCGGAGAAAAGTGTCGAGAGATTTTCTTGTTGTCCATGACATTCTCTACGAACAATATCTTCTACTAAATTTTTGTGAAACTTTTCTTAGTCAAGATGTTTGCCAAGTAAATACCGAATTCTATGGACTTGTTTGCAGGTAACCCAAATTTATGCCGGCATGAGTCACTTAGGAGCAGTAACGAATTTAGGAGATCTCTACATGTGGGGAAAAAATAAATACGGCCATCTGGGCTTAGGCCACACGAACGATCAATTTTTCCCCCTGAAGGTAATCTAAAGAAGAATAATCCTTCTGAGGCTGCCTGGAAAACGAATTCACGTTAATTGTTGACTAATCGCATTTCTTTTATCATTTTCAGGTAGCAGTAGGAGCTCATGTTCAGAAAGTTGCCTGTGGGGTTGACCACACGGTGGCTCTCTGCAAACCCTTCATCTGAAATTCTCCGTAACTAATAATTGATTCATTAAATTGTGCATATAAATAAATTATTATATATAAAGTTTTTCTAAACAATTCTTCATTTCAGTCCCCAAAAAAATCATCAGTTCAATTTTCAACTCCCCGCATTGGACGTTACATACACTGAGAGAAAAACAAACACATTATCAAATAAGTTTGTTTGGGCCAACAAAATCGCTAGTTGAAAATTGCCAAAAAAGAATTATGTTTGGTTCGAATTTGAAAGTCTCAAACATGAATAATTCTTCTGCTTTCGACAGCAACGAAATATTTGGCTCAAGAGGCGGATAATTCACACCAGACAGTGCCTTTTCAGGATAAAAATATCTCATATAGAAGACAATTTATCAACAAATACTTTATCCCTAAATTAAAAGATTGCTATCATATCATTATTATTGTTTCATTTAAGGGTTCGTTTCCTACCTGTGATTATTAGACAGTCGAAACGAAAAACTACTATCCCTTGTTTCGCATAAAACAAAGATTTTTCGGGAGCAAAATACGTATGGGGGTGTCGAATAACGAAGGAGTAGTGCTAGAAATGACATTTCTTGCGTGTGCAAAGAATGCAATTTGTTTTAATTACTAAATCTATTTTAGCGACAAAAATTTTTCATTCCGGCGCACCCTCTACATGTTTGGCACGAAAAAATCCTTTTTTGAGAACTTTGTCGTTTTTCTCTCAGTGTACTTGATAAATTTCCAGAATAGTTCAGATTTAATTGGACAAGCTGATTTTAGATCTGTTATTCAATATAAAAATATCTCGATAATGTCTGATCTTAAGAAGACAGGAAAAAAACTTTTTATTAGAAATATTCCCAAAATAAAAAAAAAATCATCTAATGTGTTTCTCTGAAATAGGTAATTTCTTCTGAAGGTGAAGGCATAATTTACGAAACTGCCAACTCGATAGTGCATCTCTTATGATATAGGGTGAACTGTCCAGTGTTCGAACGAATAAGAGTCGTCAAATACCAATGATCGAAAGACCAAGATTCAATAATAATAGGAAATTTTCAGCAGATCTTATTGAATTCATGAACATTATATTGGTTTTTAAAAAGGACAAAAGTTCCATTTTACTGCACTGAGCATTTGTTCTACGATAAATACATAAATTAGTTCGATCACTGGACGTGTTCGAATACTGGTGCATTTACCCTATTCATCAGGTTGCTAGTCCCATTGCATTCACATTATTACTTTCAATGATTAATCGAATATTTGAAATTTCTCAAGTGTGATCGAAGGATCTGTGCAAAAAATCCTATAGAGTAACTTGAATAATTCTATTAAATTTGTATTAAAATCCTATTCGTTTTTTAACAGACAGGAAACCAAAATATATTGACTTTCAAGTGTAACTTATTTTGTCAACACTTATCGTTTTTTTACTGTATCTTTTTCGTATGTTTCGTTGCAAACTCCAAGAATAAATTACTACAAAGAATAAAAATACAACAATAATGAAAACGGAACGAACGATTGATTTATATGGAAAAAATCAACATCTACTGCAACAAATAAAGCCAATAAAACTTGTAATAAAATTCTGATAGATTTTCAATAGGAAGCCAATACAATTTTCTAACGAATGCATTAGATATTCTGTTAATTCCCTTGTGCGTAAGTTCTTATCAAAAACAAACATGCCTTTGCGTTTCTCGTCATTTAGAATTCATAGGTAATCAAAAAAAAAAATTTTTTAAATGAGTAAAGGATTGGCCACGCAACGCAATAAATGAAACAAACGATAAAAATTTCCCCCTTTCCATTCGGAAGAAACACACGCCTCAAACTCCCAATTTACTATCCTTATCTTATCATCACTGGCACACAAAGTTATCTCTCTCCATCGTTGATTCACCTAGTACGCAATGCGGAGCGAAACGCAGGCAATCTGTAGTACACCTGTCATGAAATCGTTCAAATCAAGATCGTCAAAATGAAATCCCTTTCATTCTTCATTATCAGTGTTATACTAATCATTATCCACCCGATCAAATTACAAACGCGAATTCCCTCTTACCTTCAAGAATGCTACGACGAGAAAACCTTCCGCGGACCTCATCTCCCTTTAAATCTACAAACATTCATCGATATCATAAGAAAAGCTGAAACATACTCTGACAGGTCTATAGACTTGAGGATTTTCACTTCGTCTCTGCTTCATCGATTCAAATTCGATGGGATTGAGTGGCATAAGGACCTCAAATTTGAGGACGGCGTCTTGCCTTTCGGTGGAACCGGTCCTCAGAGGACGAAGAATCAAATTATTGAGGAGTTAGTTCCAGGAAATTATAAGCAATTTCCGGATAATGTTTTGACGAAGTTGGAACGCTGTGCTCTCCACCGCGCGCTTTCCAACACTATTTCGGAGGATGAGGATCCAGCCAATGATAAATTTTGTATGGAACGACCGACGGAGAAAATTTCTGGTAAAATTATTGCATTTCATTTTTGGAATTCTTCTGTAGAGAAGTGGTAGAACAGTATTTTTTGGAAGAGAGCTTTTTTTCGAGACGCGTTGTTCGACAGAAGTTCTGCGGGTTTAAAAAAAAATTCAACATTTTCATAAAAAATTAAAAATTATCATAAAGATGATTGTTTTGTATTAATTTTTTTGCGTTGTTAACTCTATGTCTTTCACTGGACTTGAAAAATATCAAACTTTTTTTCATTTTTTTTTAAATTTGGTTTTGTACAGGATTTTCATTGTGTTCTTGAGTTTTCAACTGAATTTTGTGTTCCAGAAGGCGTAGGTAAATAGTTTTTACCTTGTCTGGAACACAAAATTCTATCGAAGACTCGATAGTCAAAGGAATTGATGCCTTGTCCTTCATAAAACTAAAAAAAGCTGAGAGAAAAGACAATTTTTATGTCGTTCGAATGCTGGAGAAATCATATAAAAAGGCTTAAGATATATTGTCCGAAAAATATTGAAATTTCACTGAATATTCAATGAAATTCTAACTTTTTCTGCAGCAAAAAGATAAAACTTCCCCAACTAGAATTTCCAATAAAAACATAAATAGCCAATACCAAATCAGTAGTGAAGCGGTGAACCGAGTTAAGTCGATTTTGACTTTTGATCAGTTTTTGATGAATATCTCAGAACCTAAGAGAGATAGCAAAATTTTTCTCATGAACTTTTTTGTAGAACCAATTAAGAGCTATAAAAAGGTCATGACAAAAATTTTTCTATCTCTTTTAGATTCCGAGATATTCGTCAAAAACTGGCCAATAGTCAAAATCGACTTAACCCGGTTTACCGCTTCGCTACTGAAATAATTCGGAATTTTCGATCAATTGAGGGTTCTAAAAAATATTTACGGGAATTTTCCTTATTTCTATCAATTTTCTGAGATTGTCTGTTTCCGTAGAGATTGTGAATTTTCAAGGACGAAATACCTTGAAATTCAGTGGACCTATCACTTGATAAAAATTTCCAAGGAGTGTACGAAAAGTTCCAGCCGAAAAATCACTGAGAACTGCAAAATTCTGTTCAATTATTCCCTGAAAGTTGATAGAAGTCAGGAAAGTTCCCGTAAATATATTCTTCAATTTACAATTCATTAAAAATTCAGTGATTAAATATTAATATTTTGATTGAAAATTCAAATAGCTTGGAGAATTCACATCTTAAGGCTGCTCAAAAATTCGGAATTTCATTGAATTTTTAGTGAAATCTGAAATTTCATGATTTCCCCCCCTAAATCGCATTCAATGCTACTCTCCTGGAAAATTACTAGCCAAATGTCCATAAATGTTCAATTTTTTCCTAACACTGTATTAAAGACACCTGAGATTTCTTCAATTGAAAATTCTCTCAATGTGAATCTCTCGATACTGAAATGAATGAACAAACAAAATTTTATATTTTATCCAATTATATCCCTTGTGAATATGGAAAAATCGCGGTACTGAGTAATATTAGGAGCCATCGTATATTTTTTTATGGAAAATTTCATGATTTTCCCCCCTAAATCGCATTCAATGCTACTCTCCTGAAAAATTACTAGCCAAATGTCCATAAAAGTTCAATTTTTTCCTAACACTGTATTAAAGACACCTGAAATTTCTTCAATTGAAAATTCTCTCAACGTGAAGCAGAATCTCTCGATACTGAAATGAATGACCAAACGAAATTTTATATTTTATCCAATTATATCCCTTGTGAATATGGAAAAATCGCGGTACTGAGTAATATTAGTAGCCATCGTATATTTTTTTATGGAAAATTTCATCAGTTTGAATAAAGGGTCTTTTTATGTTTTCTCCTGGAACTTCAAGATAATGCATGAGCAACGATTCAAAAACAAATCCGAAGTTCAATTGAAACTATTCTATTACCTCACAGCTGAATTGTTTTCATTTGTGCCTTTATTCGAAGATGGTGAATAATGTTTGTAGAAAATATGGTCCCTGCAGGAATGATGAGTTGTCCACTGGAGTTCGGTGTCATCCTAACGCCCTACGGGACAGTAGCCCCAGGAGCTTTGATCGCAGGCATTGCTGCTGCCCTTCAGCCCCAAACTGTTGCAGTTAAGTTATTATTGAATATTCCGGATGAGTTTAATTATCACGATTATGAGGTCGACATCATGATCCCCAAGAGTGAGATGACACCCGTCAGATCCATGTGGCTCAACTCTATTCTCGCTTCTGATACCAAGTTGGATAATGTTTGGACATCAACTGTTGCTGGTACGTGAATTTCTCGAGTGGTGCAGTCAAAAAATTTAAGATCCCTTTTTTCAAACTTGTCTCGTAAAACTAGTAGGTTTCAAGAAAAATTCAGTAAAATACCGGAAGGTTTCCTTCCTTTCTAGTTTATCAAATTTTCTTCTTTCAAATTTATTCGTAAAATAATCTGTTCGAGATCTTTTTACCTCGCGATGACATGGATATTAAGGGGAGACTAGTACGAGTTTTAAAAGTCGCGGGCCATTGGAGAGTGACAGTTTTCTTGCATTGAAGATCGATTGTATATGTTTAAACACAAATAATTAGCGCAAATTTTGGAAAATGAATGGCGCAAATTGTTGTATTAAACAAAACGAAAGAAGCTGCGTAGAGAGTTGCATTTCAAAAAACTAATTCATAATTATTATTGCACACATTTTCTCAAAAATTTTTAAAATAAACCTCTGTAGTTCAACAATTGGAGGCCCTGAACTATTTTTAACATTTTAAATGTCTGTGGGGCAAACGAACAATAAACAATTGATTTTTTCGCACTAATTATTCGTTTTTAGACATATATAATCGATCTTCAATGTATGAGAAATCTCATTCCGATAGCCCACGACTTCTAAAATTCATAGTAGTCTCCCCTTAATGAATGAATGAATTATTTTGTGATTTAGGTGATTTAGCAGAAATGGCGGTTCATCAAGGACCCTCAGTGGGCAATCGAATGCTACTTGGAGCCACTGGATTCTGGAATAGTTCAATAAGACCTCAAATATTTTACCTGCTAGGAAAAGATGGAAGCTTCGATGCCACGAGAGCAGAAATTGTTGGAGCTATTGATGGTAAATTGAGAAATGGAAAAAGCCGCCCAAAAATACTCTATTGAAACACCTAGCGATATCGCTAGAATATTCTATTGGAATTTCAATCGGAATATCTTTTAGTTCTTCGTCGATCTTATTGAAAAATTCCGTAACTTTACTGGACGTTTTATTTTTAGAAAAATCAGTGGAATTTGATCTTTTCATACAACTTTTTCAATTTAAACACTTCTTACAGGAATTCCTCGACATAGATATTCTACTTTAAATTTTTTCAACGCCAAAATGTCTTTATGATAATATTTATCATATTCATAGAAACGTCAATAGAACTTTCCATTTTTCAACTTGAAAAGGAATTGCCACGAATCTATTCGCAAGCTTATTACCAATGGCATTTGTAGAGAAAAAAGAATAAGACGTAAGGGAGAGTCGGGCACAATGAAACAGTCGAAAAATGATTGTATGATGAAATTGAAGTTAAACAATTTTTTTTTGTTAATTTTTTTTGTATCACCTTTTTTTAGTATTGGGAACAGGGATCCCCATCTATATTAAATTTCTGTAATATTACAAGGATTTGACCCTTACATTATTGAAGGTTTAAAATATGTTGATTCAATTTTTCAAATAATATAATGTTAATAATCTGATTTTATACGAATAATGATATATTTAAAATTTGTTAATATGAAACTGTAAATTTACTACTAAGTGAATAATTCAAATCAAATTTCTTAAAAGGGTATTTTCGATTACACAAGTAATTTTCAATCTTCCTACCCCAAATTATTGATTGATAAAACAGTTGAAAACTTGAATATTTGAATTGATGATACTTAAGTACTCAAAAAATTTCAAGAGTGATGTTATCTAATTAAGGGCTACAACATTAACCGTAATAAAATGTTACAAATTTGGCTATCCCTGATTGGGAATACTGATGAGAATAATAATTTTCTATTCGTCTTATAATTCAATTGATTAGATCGGGCTGATTACACTTTTTTTTCATTCAATTAAAATTCAGCATGACATTTTCCTGGGTCGCCCTCTGGGCCTTCCTCCAGACTTTGGATTTTGGTGTTTCGCTTTGTTTTCAATTAATCCATTGACAAAAGCTTCTCCCATCAAAACTTCCTAATAATTTTTCATTCTACTGAATAGAAAATTATTCTCATTAGTACTCTCGAGAATAAAAAAAAAATTGATAAACAAAAGTTGATACAAAAATATTTAACAAAAAAAAATTTGTTTGCTTGAATTGCATCAATCGTTTTTCGACTGTTCCATTTTGCCCCACTCTCCCTTAGAAAGAAAAAGAATATAACACATAAAATAACGGTCACATGCTTTTCGTCGAACAGGTCCGGTCGTCTGCCTGTTTTAGCTTCAAAAGAAGTCTCTTGACATTTTCCTCTATGAAAAATCCCACTACTACAGTATGAAAAAATCGTATAGAAATTTTATATACGGATTGGGTATAGAATTTCTACAGGATTTACGTATATGATATTCGGATATTTCTATACGGATATTTTTTATACAAATGATTTCTATACGATTTCTATAGGTTTGATCCTATACGATCCACTGCCACATGTATAGAAACATTTCCTATGGAGTTGCGACATTTCTCTACGTTTTTCTCTGGAGCGTTTAGACATCTTTCGTATAAAAACAAAAATTTATGTAAAAATTTATGTATAGAAATAATTCGTATAGAAATATCCAAATATCATATACGCAAATCATATAGAATTTCTATACGCAATCCGTATAAAAAATTTCTATACGATTTTTTCATACGTGGAGACCAATGTATTAAATATGAAGGGATATTATTGACCAAACATTGGCTAATTTCCAAAAAAAATCCGCTGACATTATGGTTCTAAAATGGGGAATAGGCTGCCCTTTTTTCCATAAATTGACTGAATTGATTTCTTTATCATTTAGGTTTTATAATCGCCAAACATCTGAAACACTGGACCTCAAACTTCACCACCCTCCGTCTCAGTGAGCTCCTGAGCATGTATTATTCCCGGAAAGGCATAACTTTTGACTCGACAGTGAAAGCCTGCAATCGGGGTGAATCCTTCTGGTACATGGCATCAACGACCATCCTAGAGCAACAGGTTTACGCGACCTCCCAGATCTTAGCTTATCGTCGCAGTGCCGTTCACATGACGGACGAGGTCTTGAAGAAAATGGTCCACTACTCGGTGACTAAATTCTCGGACTACGTGAATAATCACTTGTTCCCCGAGATTCACTGCATCACGGAAAAACATTATCCCAAAGTTGAAGTTTTAGTGACTTCGGATGGGGCCTGGTCGCATGAGTATACAGCGGACTTTCTAGCGTAAGTGAATACCCAAAATAGTATATTTCGATACGAGTGTGGAAAAGTTATTTTCATCACGCTCTGCGAAAAAGTAACTTTTTAGGCACGCTTCGCGTGCCTAAAACATCCCTTTTCCGCACATTGTGATTAAAAATATCGTTCGATACTCGTGGGAAAAGTGTTTTTTGGCTCGTGGGAGGTTTATACCATGAGCCGAAGGCGAGTGATATAATCCCACGAGCCAAAAAACTCTTTTTTGCACCCGTAACGAAATATACTATTTCTGTACTGCTTCTCACGATTCCTCGTCTGAGAATTGGTATTGCGTCCTTCCCAAACTCGAAAACTTGAAAATCACAACAAAAAAATCTTGTCCCGGGCTGCCGCGATGGGGTTTTTTTACGAGTAAAAAATCCCAACGCAGCAGCCCGGAAAATAGTATATTTCGTCATTAGGCCGAAAAAAAGTTTTCTGGCGAATATGAGGTTTTCTGGCAGCACGAGCCGAAGGCGAGGGCTGCAATCATATTCGTCAGAAAAGTTTTTGTTGTCATTCAAGCCATAAGGCAGCGTTTCACGGACGCTCCGCGTCCGTGAATCTCTGCCTACGGCCGTCATGACAAAAAATATTGTTCGTCATACGGCCAAAAAAAAAATTTCTAACTCATATGATTGCATATTGATATTGGGACCGATTTGGAAAAAAAAATTAGCAAATTAGTTAGCAATTTTCAGAAAATCATATTTTCCTCAATTATCCATATTTTTCAATTGTTCTTTTTTCAAAATTTTTCTCTAATCGCCATCTTTTCCGTGAAAAATTGAGACAAAAATCCCCAGCATCAATTTTTTTATCTTGCTGATTCCGCGTGGATCTACTCTTATTGAACAGCCGAAGCAAAAAATCAATCTCCCTTGTTTCGCATAAAACGAAAATTTGCCTCCACTTTTTCCACCTATTTTAGTACCATATTCTCCTTTCAGCATTCTATTAGAAGATTTGAACGTCTCTCCCTTCGGCTCAAATATCGGACTCATCGAGGGAACCACTGGAGAATGGCTTCTGAACGTCACAAACAGTTTCTCCTCAGCCCACTCAGAAATTTTGAACCAAACTTCATCGACAAAACTAAATCTCGCAAAAATTTTCGATGTCGCGACCGATTACTACACGAGTAAATGGAATGAACGACATAAAAATCACACGGTTGGAGGATTGGGTCAGGCAATCGTGATCTTAGCTCCATTGATTCGATTATCTGAGCCTGAAGTCCAAGAATCACTGATTTCCTTGAGGAGAATGCGGAGTCTCCACCCAGATGTCCACGTAATTTACTACACAACTCCAGAGAAGGCAGACCCCCTGAGACGCTTTCTGATATCCCAAAAAGACTACTTGCTAACGAGTTTGAGGATTAACGACATCAGTGCTTACCTCTTGGAGGTTCCAAACAGCATCAGGCCAGGACCATGCAATCCAAACGTGACATTAGGGATCAGGGATCAGGTAGAGGGTTACGTGTATCCTCAGGAAGTGATTACTTATCGACTGGATCCTCTGTGGCGAGCCAACACCAAGAGAGTCACTGTGAAAATAGTAGGATTTGGATATGGATCATTGGAGATTTGCATGTGGAATCAAAGGGGGAATAGTGCCACAAGAAAACTATTGTCTTGTAGAGAATTGTCAGGAAATGAGGAAGAGGAATTGACTGATTTTCATGCGTGCAGAGAGGAAAATTGTCCAGCTATTTTTTACAAAGTTCGAGGACTTTCGTCGACGAATAAATGCGCCGGTAAATAACAATTTAGTTAATTCTCGAATCAGTTTCAGGAAAATTTTTTTTTTATTGTGGGGAGACTACTATGAGTTTTTAAATTCGCAGGCTGTTGGAGTGAGATTTATCATGCATTAAAGATCGATTATATATGTCTAAAAACAAATAATTAGTGCGAAAAAATTAATTGTTTATTTTTCGTTTGCCCGCAAACACTTGAAGTTTTAAAAATAGTTCAGGATCTGCAATTTTTAAGCTACAGAGTTTTTTTTCAAAATTTTTGAAAAAAGTGTAAGATAGCATTTACGAATTTTTTTTTAATTCGACTCCTACACAGCTAATTTCGTTTTATTTATATAAAAAAATTACACCATTCATGTAAAATAGCCAGAAAATTGATCCTCAAAATATTTAAAATATATTCTCGATTCTTTCAGAAACATTTTTCTGACTATTTCAGATGAATGGTGTAATTTTTTATATAAAAAACAACAAAATTAGCTGTGTAGGAGTCGAATTTCAAAAAAACTAGCTCATAATTGTTATTATACACTTTTTTTTTTCAATTTTGAAAAAAAATTGTAGCTCAAAAATGGAAGGCGATGGACTTTTCTAAACACTTTAAGCGTCTTCTGGGCAAACAAACAATAAACAATTTTTTTGCACTAATTATTCGTTTTTAGACATATATCGATCTTTAATGTATGAAAAATCTCACTCAAATAGCCCGCGATGTTTAAACCACATAGTAGTCTCCCCTCAATATCTCGCAATTGAATATAAATGATTAAAATTATTAGATTTTTGTATTATTGAAATTTCACTCTAAAAACGGTTTTGAGGAAAATTTTGGTATATGTTTTAGATACAGAGATATCAATAAAAAAAATTCATCCTCAAGTTATGGCTACTAAAGAGAAAGTGACTATAAGTGATAAATCAACGTTTTTGTTCACAGAAATTGACTGCAGAACTCCAGAACACATCAGATATCTACTGCGAATGGAAAATCTTCAGTGCTCCACTGCCAAAAAACTCACCCCTTCGCTCATTGCCCCACTACTATTACTGTTTTTTACTTCAATAAAACAATACTTGAGTTAATTCAAAAATTTATTTAGTTATCAAAGACCTCAGAAATTGTGGAAAAAATCTTACATCACTGCTCATCCAGTTCGAATCTTGAAATGCTGTACCGAGTATTCATAAACGAGCTTGATGAGGTACTGGAAATTGCTGGATACTGCGAGGGGGCCCAACTCCGATTCCAAGAGTAAATCATCGATTGGTGGAAGACACTCTTCCAGAGGATCTCCTGAATCCACAAGAAAAAAAAAAAATTATATCTTTTAAGAACAAAAGCAAAGAATGATCGCGGAGGTTCAATCAATTAATTTTGTGGATATTACAGAACCGAGAGGATCTAAAATGGTAAATTCTTTTGAATTTACCAAATTTACTTGTAAAGAATTTGGTGACATGGGGAAGAATCTGGCTAAAATCCAATATATCAAAACATGAACTCAAATTTTCTATTTATTTACATATCTTGGGAAATCCTTTGACATTTTTCTCTGCATGCGCGGAGAAAAAAGTTGCAGCAAAATTACCGAATAAGTCAATTAATCGTCGGGCGAACTCGACTGTCAGAACTTTTTCACTCTGTATCGGGGAAAAGTGCGAGACGAATAGTGCACTTTTCTCCGTTGGTCCGTGAAAATTTACCGATCGTGAAGGTAATTTAAGCCGAAACTGTAAAAATTACCCTGCATTCCATAAAAAAACATCCCAGTGAACGTGAATGACTGCTCAATATTCCGTGTAATATTTCTGTAGCGGAAAAAGATTTTTTACCGTACGCGTTCAACATAAATTCTTAATATGTATCAACTTCTTCATCTTCAACATTTTCACTATCATCCTCATGATATCCTCCTCTGACCGGATTTATACCTATAGGATTGGAAATTGTGAGGTTTAATTCAACCAGAAATTTATGTAAATACTCAAAGAAATATTGAAAAAAAATCCCTCGTTAGTGCATCCATTAAACCCCCATAATGTCACAACCAACTCACCCATAGTATGATTGAGATCCATGAGCTTGAAGAACAGCGTCTTCTGAACCTGCATCTCTGGATTCTTCGTCACAGCATCCCACTTGTCCCTCCTCGCAGCCCTGGCCCAGATCCTCAGTCTCAACGACTTTTTATCATCAACATCAGGAACATAATCCAACAAATCCAACGCCTTCTTGAAGTCAAACTCCCCAGCAAGAGCGTTCTCCTCACACGTATAAAAATTGATAAGTTCTACAGGCTTCAGTACCCTCAATTTATCCGTATCATACCCATAAGTCTCCAACACATCATTAGGCAGCTCCTCCTGGTACGAAATGAGCTCCAACTCGCTGCTGATCCTCCCGATAGCATCATTTATCTCCCCCTCAGGCTCATCCGAACACAGCAATGCCAATTTACTCAAAGAAAGCTTCGTCTTCTTTCGTTTCACAAGCTCCACCTCCTCGTTAGCCAGAACATTTAAAGTGTGAGCAGCTTGTCTGTACTCTCCAGTCAACGACTCCTGGACCCACGACAACTCAGGATGCTCAGACAGCTTCTCAGTGAGCTCTCCAGCTCCTCCACGCCTGCATCTCTCCACCAGCTGCCCCTGTCTCCCATCCTTAACGTACCACGAGAACAGAAATCCCACGAAATCCTGATCTGTGAACCTCTCTGAATAGCTATCTAGCCTGCTCTTGTTATCAGTCAGCTCACAGATCTGCACCAGTGAAGCGAAGTCATAGTACTTCTCAGCCAACATTGCAGCATTCTCGTACTGCTCGTTCTTAATCAATGGCTGAATTAAATTAGTTCTCTCGGTTTCATACTGCTTCAACAGAATATCAAACTTCTCGGTCCCTCTGATGCTCTCCAGGTGACATTTTCTGCCGTCGAGAATGAGGTCAATCAGTCCAACGATCTGTAAGAAATGTTATTTGAAATTCCACGGCACAAATGGAGGATGGAAATTAGTGGATTTAATCTGTTGCTGTTATCCAAGATTGTATTTCAGGTGAAATAAGGACATTAATTTTACCGATGTATAGGGAACAGTGGAACTCATTTCTGTCATCAATTAGTAAACCAGGATTAGTACATTTTTTTGGAAAATTTTTTTTTGGCTAAATCCCTTCCACATGCTGATGGGAAGCAATTTATATGAAGAACCCCATTTTTTAAAAAATTCACTCAACTTAGTTTATTAATTCACCACAGATTTTAGTTTTTCTGAAATGTGCGAGTCATTAAATTTTTAATGAAGTAGGATAATTTTGTTTTTCATGAGAAGTACAATCCTTCTGGATTAAACTCAATTAATAAATTCGTTTCCAAGTTATGAATATTTGCAGCTACACTATTCAAAGTTTTTTCTGATTATTCTATCTCATTTTTCTGGAGTTTCACTCAATTATTTGTGTACGCTCAATGCTTGGAGGAATGCTTATAGGAATGTCTATGGACAACCTGTTTACAGTCGAGCACTAAAATTCGTAAAAAGAATACATAAAATGCAAGTTCAGGCTGTTCACGAACTTTAGTGCTCGACTGTATAGAAATTATCCAAATACACCCTATACAACAAATAGACTGAAGAACATCTCTACACAATTCAGTAGAGAAGTGTTACCACGGTCATCAAGTGGCCGTGGTTTTACAACGGCACAAGTCAATTTTGACTATTGACCAGTTTTCAATGAATATCTCGGAATTTAAGGGAGGTAGCAAAATTTTTACTATAACCTTTTTTGTAGAGCCGATTGAGAGCTACAACAAATGTAATTACGAAAATTTTGCTATGTCCCTTAGATTCGGAAATATTCCTCAAAAACTCAACTGGGAGATGAGTCGACTTAGACCGTTTTACCACTTCGCTACTGAATTTATTCGTGCGCGATCCCATTCCGTATAATCTCCTGAAATCACACGTGAGATACTTCTCCTCACCAAAAGAAACTTAAAAAAAAAATCATGAAGAAACCATCACGACATCTGCATGCATTTCCCAAATTAAATAAAACGAATAGTTACAAACCTGATCATAAAGCTCGTTCCTGACAGCTGAATCATTCGTCCCAGTAACTCCATGTTTCAATGTCAAATTCTCCATGGTGTAGAGGCACGTCCTCAACTCATTTTTCCCAGTGGCTGCAGTCCACGGCAGATACTCTGTAACAGCATTGGAGGACCTCGCAGGCACGAACCTATCAGCATTGTTCTGCCTATACTTGATGACCTCCCTCAAGACCCCAAGGAGGATCGAATTGACTCGAAGAATGTACTGAGAAACCTGTTGAATCGGTTTATCCGACTGAGTGACTTCGATCGCAGAGTTCACCAAGGCTGGAAGCAGCAGATGAACCGTGCTAACTTCCCTATAAAACACATCCTTAGCGCTCAACTCAGGGGACACGAAGCTCTCAGGATTCAACGTCTCCTCAATGATCGAATCTAAAATATCAGGGAACTGATTCTGGAGATTGTAGATCGCCAGTGCAGCCACAATCTTCTCAGCATACTCCCCAAGCACGTGAGAAGTTGACATGATGATCCCCCTGTAGGTAACCGCACAAAATCTACTCCACAGATTGTACTCCTTCAAAAATCCAACGAACAAATCCAAAGCCTTGTGCTTCCCATCAAGCTGATGAGGGATTTGCATCGAGGAAACCGTTGTCATGGTAATGGAGGTGTCCATGTGATTCGCCCAGCGAGGGTCGTTAGCAGGAAAGTCGTCGATAAGTCTCTTCCCAACTTCTAGAACCAGTGTATCCAGCATTGCATCGATATCCATGACCGGTTCCTCCTGATAAGGAAACAACTCCACGAGAATCTGTTCGCACTCCTGTTTATTCTGTCGACAACTAAACATGAAAGCTGCGATGAGCTGGTCGACTCCATTGGAGCTGAGGTACATCTCTCTCAGCTTATCATTTGCTATCGTTGCGTTAAAGTTCTCGGTTACACTCGTGTTCAAGGTGAAATCAACACTGGTGTTGGCATCAGCGAAACTCGAATTGAAATCCTGAACAGCGAAATCTGGTCTAGTAATGGTGACGAGGCCGGAGTTTCTGGTGAAGAGGATGGGAGCACCTGAGCAGAGGGAGCCCCCCAGGATTTTATCCTCTGCACTCCTCACCAGGTCTATCTTATCCTGTTCATGCTCATTAGTGGTATTAACTACTAGAACAGTGTGGGAGTTGTAAACAATAGCCTCCCAGCCTGACAGAATAAATCGAAAGGAAGATATGGCAGTCTCAGGGTCCTCCTGATGCCTCAGAGGTGCCACTTGTAGCAGGTTCTTGAGCTGCAGAAACCACTTAAACGAATTCGTGAGACTGGTGCCATTCAGGGGGAGAAGTCCCAGAGCAAAATGAATCCTAGAAGGCGAGGTGTCTGATGAATTGGCAGCAACAAGAAGAACAATTCCCTCGTCACACGTCTGCATGTCGATGAGCCAGGTCTCCATGTTCTCAGGGGCCAAGTGTCTCAAATTCCAAATGTGTTTCTGGAACTCCTGGGAGACAATGTGTCCAACGTCCTCATCGAACTCCATCTTCTCTTGTTCTCCAGAGGGGAAGGACCAGTATTGTAAGGAGGATCCAGCCAGGATGAGGACCCTGGAACGATCTCCGAGGCTTGTACAGGTGACTTTAGCCAGTTTGGTTTCCATAACTGGAGATTGTGGCATGGCACCAAAGATCAGGGAAGACATTCGGCGTCCTATGCCTCCTAGCCATCCCTGGGAGGTCCTGAGGACTCTGCAGGTGATCGTGTTACGGGCGTTTGTGAACTGGGGCTGGAGGAGGGCAACTGTGCAGGTCGTGGTCGCCAGGATGCAGCCGTGACTGGGGATGTGGGTTAGACAGTCGACTTCTTGACCTGCTAGCTCGGCTGAGGTCTCCACTGAGGATTCTTCATGAGCTACGCTGCTCCAGTAGCGGACTATACCCTCAGGAGACACTGCCATGCAGCTAGGAACCTGGTGACCTGGAGGAAGCCAGACTGCTATGCATTCCGCTTTATGGGCGAGGTCACTCTGGGGCAGCTGGAGCTCTCGACATTGGGACTTGAAGGTGGGGCGCTGCTTTGGGTCCAGGGTCGTCTTGCATTGCCAGACCAGGAGACGTCTCCCACAGACCAGCCAGGCCCAACCGTTCTGGGAGACACTAACACTCACTGCTGTGTTCCTGTCGACGAAGGTCAGGGCTTCCGTCACCAGGACTGGGAGGGAGGAACCAAAGCTCTCGACTACGTGACTCGCCGAACGACAGATCACTTGGACTGATTGCGTTGAACGACCTGATAGGCTCACTCCACTGGAAGGAATTCTAGTGATTTAGTTTTTGGAGTTTGGAGGGCTGGAGTAGTCAAGTGGAGGTCGAAGATGGGGATATGTTTAGGGGGAGATTGTGATGAATATCTAAAGGGAAAAAGAATTATTGTGATATTTTTGGGAGCATGCCACGTATGAAAAAAATCGTATAGAAATTTTCTATATGGATTGCGTATAGCATTTCTATAGGATTTCCGTATGTGGTATTCGGATATTTATATACGGATATTTTTTATACAACTTATTTCTATACGATTTTTAGAGGTTTGATCCTATACGACCCACCGCCACTTGTATAGAAATATTTCGTATGGAGTTGCGGCATTTCTCTACGTTTTTCTCTGGAGCGTTTAGACATCTTTTGTATGAAAACAAAAATTATGTAAAAATTTATGAATAGAAATAATTCATATAGAAAATTTCTATACGATTTTTTTATACGTGTGAAAGCTGAACAATTTATGGTAGCTCCGATGAATTGCAAAATATTTGAGTAAATTGGGAAGGAATTTCAATGATTTTGGTTTATCACTGGACTATTGGGATCTCTTTGAACCCGCCCTGGAGAAATTTTTTATTTGACCTATGTGAAATGTCAGGTAGCAATGACAACTTGTCGACGTCTTGCTATCGAAGTTGAGAAAAAAGAAACATTTTCGTAGGGATCTTCTGCAGGTAGAAAATTGAAGTAAAAAATGTGATGAAATGAAAAATTATCTCATGTAGTTCTGGGGTGCCTGCAAGAGCTCTCTTAGTTGACAGAATTTTCTTTACATTAATTGCCCCCTTTCCCTTTACAGTAACGGTTGTGTATCTCTTACGCAATAAATTACTACTACTACTATTATTACTATGTAGTTTTGGGGCTCAATCAGTACAAAATGAGCACTCAATGTTCCTATCCAGTATATTTCCTGTATTTTACCTGCTCTGACGCCTGGACGATGGTCCCAATGACATTCGTTTCCTCGGAGATGTTATATCTCGCCTCAAGAAACTATCAATACTTGGTCGATCCATTGTGAGTCCTTTATCCCTGCCGACTGAGAAAGAACAGGTATCAAACATTGAATGTGAAATATATTTCTGCAGTGCTGTGCTCAAACACCGAGTGGCATAATTTCTAGTTTCATCATTTGAATCGAAGTATCAAACACTCTTTTTTCATCTGAGAGTATTCTCTTCAGAACGGTTTTTTTGACATTCTCATTATCGAAATAATTTCAGATGCAGCAAAGAGTAATAAATTAATTTCATCATTTGGCTACAGAATTCATGCACCAATAAAATCCAATGAGCTAAATAATGCAACGAGGTATCACACGTTGCCGCATATTTTATATTCTTTTTTCCAAATCGAATCTCCACAAAACAAAACTGCTCGATTATCACAACACCATTAGCTCAATTATACTTCCTCAATTGCAAAATAACATTCGCTCCATTTTTTGTTTGCAACAATTATTCTACTTGTTTTTAACTGGCAGGTATAAATATTCCAATTATGAACAATCAAATATAAAATGAATTTCTGCAGTGGAGTGCTCAAACAATGAGCAAAATATAACTCAGTTCAATTCTGTAAAAAACCTTTGTATCAGAAAAAATTCTCTTCAAAAAGGTTTTTTCGCATTCTCATTATCAAAATCGTCTCAAATGCAACAAAACGTCATAAATTAACTTCAATATTTGGCTAGAGAATTCATGCAACAATTTTACTAGACAATGCTGTTAATGCTCAATTTTCACCAACACACTTGCCTCAATCACACCTAATGCTCATCGAAATGAACACTACTCATCCCTCAATTATAAAACAAAATTCTCTCAATCTTTCAATTGTTTACAACTATTCATCTTGTTCTCAACTAGCAGGTATAAATATTCCAACTATTAACAATTGAATATGAAATTAATTTCAACAGTAGAATCCTCAACTATTGAGCAAAATGTAACTCAAATCAATTATAGAAAATAAAGCTAGGGGAAGGTCGGGCAAAACGGACACTGCAAACATATTTTTTAATATTTACAACTCAGGAATAAATTGATCACTGAAGCTCAGTTTGGGCTCACCACAAGGAGAAAAAAAATGTGTTCTTCAAGGAAAAAAATATTATATTTCTTCAACAATTGAACAAGGTTTTAGCATTTAGAATAAATTCTAGTGTCCATTTTGTCCCATCGTCCCCAACGAAAAACACTTTTTTATATCACAGAAAATTCTCTTCAAAAAGGTTTCTTGACATTCTCACGACGAAAATAATCTCAAATCCAGCCAAACGTTATAAATTAATTTCATCATTTGGCTATAAAACTCAACTATTCCAAATAATGCTGTTATGTATCACACGTTGCCGCATATCTAACCTTCTTTCCTCCAAATCGTATCTTCACAAGTTAAACTCCTTGATTATCAACAAATCATTTGCCTCAATTGCACTTCTCAATACTCATTGAAGCAACCACGCCTCCTTCCTCCACTAAAAAACCCACTTTTATCAATCTTTCAATTGTTTACAACTATTCTACTTATTCTCACTGCAATCTCGAGTGTATATAGAAGTGCTTACTCTCAACCGGCAGATGTAAATATTGCACAGAAATCGCGCCCAAGGTGCGCAGTCCCCCTCGCGCACGTCCCTAAACCGCTCTCGGACCTAACCTAAAAACCCCTCAGACCCTAAAAAACAAAACAGCAACAACAATTTAGTCCCTCGTTTATCTGATCTAGATGTGCTAAAGTCTTATCTAGAGTCTTATCTCGAAGTGAAAAATTAAATACGGGATATACATCCCCATAAACAATATATTCCTCAACAAAGATCCTCAAAAATTCTATAATCAACCTCTGTACGCGATTTTTATGCTCCCCGGACGATTCATTGTCATAAAATTAGAGAACAAATTGTCGTTGGACCACAATCATGGAGACGTTCCCAGCGCCTCGATTTGAGACCAAAATCGAGACTTTCGAACCCTGCATCGTCGCTCCAGCGAATCATCGTCAAATAACACCGAATGTCGTGGAACAGGCGGCGATCATTCATATTGAGGATAATCATGGCAATGATGAACAAGCCGATGGACAAAATGAGGGAGACTCCCACATTCAAGTGTCGGAACTTCAGTCCAATATACAGCAGAACATGACGCTAACACCTGTCAGATTACCAGCAATTCTAGATGGTGAATACTTCTCTGTTATTCGTATCGACGATAGTAATGTCACAGTTAGGTGCCTCCAGTGCCAGAAATTGTTAAATGGAAACCTGAAGTCCACGGGGAATTTCTTGAGCCATATCAAAGTACGTTATTTTTTTAGTATTGTTTTTTTTATTTATTTAGGGGCGGATGGGGTAAAACGGACACTAGACTTTTTTAAAATTATTTATAATTCCGAAACAAATTGATCTATTGAGCTCTGTTTAGGCTCGTCACAAAGGTAAAGAATTGTTCTTTGTATTGAAAAAAAAAATTAAATTTTCGCAACATTTCAACCCCTCATTAACATTTAAAAAAAAAGTCAAAGGGGTCCGTTTTACCCCAACCTCCCCTATGCTAGTTGAGTGGCGCAGCGGTAGACGATTCAAATCGACTTAGGGGAGAATGGGGCAATGTGGACACCAGATTTAAATAATGAGTTGAATTGGAGCAAATCTACTGTTCCGACTTCATTTAAAGATTATAAAACCAAACACATTGGCATAAGACTGCGTCGTAGGAGTTGCAAAATAAAGCAAAAAAGGGGTAAAATGGACACTTTGATTTCTTCCTCAATTTCTTATGTTTCAACGATATTCGATTTCTGAAACACTAGTCATGACTGCGATTTTAAAATTAAAAAAAAACTCGTTTTTTATTCTCGTCGTGGGGGGTGGGAAACCGAATTTTTCCTTGCTCGTTTATCCTACCCTCCCCCCCATTGGTTTATGGTCATTTTGTTTGCGAAAACTTGCCATCTTACAAATTTCGCAAATGGACAAAAGGTCGCTCGTATGGAGTGTGCTGTTGTCCATTGAAAAAATTAATAATTTCAAAGTTATTTTAATAGTAAAACGGGAAATCCAAAGCTACTCTATGTTTCAAACTTCAATGTAAAATTTAAGAGAATGGAAGTTCATTTGTTAATATCTCTTTCAACTCTAATTTCTCTCTATAAAAAGATACCGACACGATTGGGTTGAAAAATGCCTGTTGGAAATTTTTTTGACTTTTTGAATAGGATCAACTTCTTCGGGTGTCCATTTTACCCCACTCTTGCATAATTTTTCAGTTGTGGACGTTGCCAAGCAGCAATTTTTGAAAATTCGATTATTAGAAATATTTTAAAAAATTTTGAGCTTCTATTTTAGTCTATCCTACGTGGATTTATCAGGGCCCAAAATGCCCAATGAAACAATTTTTTTTAAATTTGAATTGAGATAAAACAATTTTTTTTGTAAATTTTTTGAGTATCCATTTTACCCCAGGTGTCGATATTACTCCACCTTCCCCTATATTAGCTCTTAGCTGAGTTTTCAAGAAATATCTTCGAATCTAAGGGAGATGACGAAATTTTCATCATGCCCTTTCCTAATGCTCTCAATTCGCTTTACAAAAAAGGTTGTGATAAAAATTTTGCTATCTGCCTTAGAATCCAAGATATTCATTGAAAACTGACCAACCGTCAAAATCGACTTGAACAGTTTTACATCTTCGCTATTGAGAGGTAAGTCAATTTAATAGTTTTTTTAGAGGTGGATAAAACTGGAGTTATCTCGATAATGAGTGGTTTTAGGAAGAAATATTATAAGATATTTTTTGTAAGGAATTCAAGTTTCTACAAAAAAGGTATTATGATGTTTTCTCTGGAAAACACTTGTTCTCGAGATAAATGCATAATTGTCGAAGTTGATGCATGGGAGGTCTTTGAGTTCCATCACCTATCTGTCGTTGAAAATTGGAATTAGTTCAGTAATTAATTATTTCAGAAGAAAATATCAGAAGACCTATTTGCGAAGAACTTTCTCAGCTGCGAAAAATTCCTGGACATTTTCCCCTCAAATCACTACTGGTTTGTTTTCGAGATAAGTGAGAAACTAACGGAGATGTTACATGCTAGTTCTTGAATGTCTTACTTGTTTCTGCAAAGAATCAAATTGTCTTGTTAATGGAAGAATTGAAGAAAGGAATGTCGGGAGATTTTTCTGAAGAGGATTTCAACAGCTAAAGCAAAGAATTTCCGACATTTTCCCTAAAAAGACTCATTTTCGTATTCAAGTTACTGAGTTTCACTACTCATTTGTCATTCAAAATGTTATAATCTCGATAATGAGTGATTTTGGGAGAAAATGTTAGAAAATCTTTATTGCAGGGAATTTAATCACCTACAAAATAAGTCTTATGATGTTTTCTCTTAAAATCTCATGTATGGATAAATAGAGCATCGAGCCCTACGGGGCTAACGCACTGCGGAGGTGGGCGGGCTTAGCTTTGGGAAGCTAAGCAGCGCTGAGTGTGATCAGTAGATGGATGGTGACCCCCCAGGAACACCTTAGGAAAGAAACATTGTTTGGAAAAACTGGAAAGAGCATTCGGGAAAAACAAATATGCGGAAAAAACGGGATAAAGGAATGAGAAACCGTAAAAACCGCAAGGAATACGGTGAAATGGAATAAATAAGTAAAAAAAAATGAATAGAACATCGTAAAATGTGTCTTCATGAAAATTTCGCTATCTCCTGCGAATCAGCATATGTTTAGCAAAAACTGAAGGAAATTGACTAATTTCGTTTGGGACTATTGCATCGATTTCCATTGGCTTTGTCCCATTAATTATTTGGTGTGCATCATGATCTTTATTGATTTCAGAGAGTACATCCAATCCTCATCGAGAAGATCAAGACGAAGTCACATCAGAGGAAGCCAGCAGTCGCATACATTGATACGACGGCGGAAAAATCTGAAGTTCCAAAAACCAAGAAGGGATACAGAAAATGTTACAGAACGGTAGACCATAATGTATTCTTCATTTTTTATACTAATTAACTAATCAACTAAGTATTTAAGTGGTAGAATGACTCGAGTGGGAATGCATCCTGTGCATCATCAATTGTTGAATTACCTCGCTAGTAATTGATTTCATTTTCAAATATCAGGAGACATTTTTCTATAAAATTAAAATTCTTTACAAGAAATGTCTCCTGATATTTCGTGCTAGAATCACTCATCGCCCAAACAATTCAGCATTGAAGGACTCATTTCAAATTGTAAATGCAATTAATTCTATCAACGTGAGTCGTTTTAGCACTATATTTTGTAAATATCTCTGAAAATAAGAGATCTGTAAGACAATTTCCTATAGATCTTCTGTTTTATAGAGAAGTATCTGAGCTATACTGAGAGGCAAGAGGCATAGCCTCAAACCTTATTTTAGGGGAGACTACTGTGAGTTTTAAGAGTCGCGGGCTATTGGAGCGAGATTTGTCATGCATTGAAGATCGATTATACATGTCTAAAAACGAATAATTAGTGCAAAAAAATTGATTGTTTATTGTTCGCTTGCCCCGCAGACGTTTAAAATGTTAAAAATAGTCCAGGGCCTAGAATTTTGGAACTACAGAGGTTTTTTTCTTTTCAAAATTTTTGAAAAAATTGTACAATAATAATTACGAATTAGTTTTTTGAAATTTGACTCCTACACAGCTAATTTCGTTTTGTTTAATATAAAAATTTGCGCCATTCATATCAAATAGGCAGAAAAATTATCCTTAAAATATATAATATATATTCTCAATTCTTTCTGAAACATTTTTCTGGCTATTTTACATGAATGTTGCAATTTTTTATTTCAAGACTAGCGGTGTGGAGAATTTCTGCAATTAAAAAAAACACCTCAATGTTTTCGACTTTTCTATAACACCTGAGAATTTCCTCAATTTTTTTGGAAAACCCTCAAAGTTTCTTCACTGCTCGGGTGTTCTAGAAAAATCAAAAACATTGAGTATTTTTTTTAAATTGCAGAAATTCTCAAAAATCCTGGTATTCAATTTTCTCTTATTCTGCCTGGGCGAAGCCGTGCCCCACAGCTAGTCAATGGGAATTTGAAATTAAGTTGCGCAAGTGGAACCAAAGAGTTTTTTTTCGAAAATCTGAGAATTCCTTCGCTTTCTCGTTTTCTATAAAACGAGAGAATATTCTCGAATTTTCTAGAAAACCCGAAAATTTCTGCTAATTTTCTAGAAAACCTGAGAATTTTATAGAAAATTCAATAATTCTTTAAAGTTTTCTGTAAAACCATAGAATTTTCTGGAATTTCCTATAAAACTGAAAACTTTCTCGAATTTTTTCGAAAACCGGAGAATCTCTTCGAATTTTTTTGAAAACCGTAGAATCTCTTCGAATTGTTTCGAAAATCTGAGAATTTCCTAGAATTTTCTGTAAAACCAAAGGATTTTCATGAATTGTCTGTAAAACCCGAGAATATTCTCAAACTTTGTAGAAATTGAAAAAATATTCTCGAAAACTTGAGAATATTCTAGAATTTTACAAAAACTTTCAGAATTTTCCAGAAAGCTCCAGAATTTTCTACGGTGCATAGATTAGTATGCACCGTAGCCCAATAACTTATAGGCTAAAGCCAATTGGGGACCCTAAAATATGTAATAGTAAAATTACCATTTAAATCCATTCAGTCGTTTTTTCGCGAATCGCCGTCAAAAAATGGACGACAGATTTATTATACAGTGAGTGTAAAAAGTAACCGTACACTGACACAAAATTAACCTACGTTTTTAGCAGTAAGGATTCAGTTCTTTATTGAATAACAAATTTTTATCGATTGTCTATACCTAAAAGTACAAAATTATGTACGGCAACATTCTGGGACAAATTATTATTCTGGAAGGAAAATTAGAATATTTAGCAGCCCACAAATTTAGGATATAAAAAATATTTGTACACCGTATACACTACGGCATCCAGAACGATCTAGAGGTCATCCGCTCTGGGAAAATAGTTGTGCCGAGCCTCAATCCATTCCGGGACACTACGCCGTCAACAGTCGTTTCGAAAAAATCCTTGTATTTACGTCTCGTCATAGGTGAATGAGTCGTAAAGGTACAGAAACGAGTAAAAGTGAGAGAAAATTAACGATTGATCTTCATAATCAATGCAAATAATTATCTCAAATTGCGCAACTAGTGCACAGACCACGTTCAACGGTAGTACACGATAATTGATCGATTTTGTGAGACCAGGGGAGCGATTTTGCTCGTTTTATGTCGACTTAAAATCATAAATTTCAACCAATCCTAGTTGAGTATTCCGAATCCAGGATTGTCATTGGTTGAAATTTACGATTTTATGTCGACATAAAACGGGCAAAATCGTTCCCCAGGTCGCTCGGGAATAAACCCAGAAGTGGACGTCCACTCAAAGTAACTGATCGTATGCGTAGAAAAATCGTCGATTTAGTTTTAAAAAAATTTAAAAACAACAGCCCCTCGAATACTAAAAGATATCGGTAATGTCGATGGAGTTAATTTATCGTGCAGTACAGTTCGAAACATATTACGTACGTCGGGATACCCCGGTAGATCCACTCGGCGGAAATGTTGGGTGAGTAAAATCAATAGGAAAAAGCGATTGGAATTTGCGAAAAAATACGAGGGCAAACCAATTGAATTCTGGGATCGTGTAATTTTCTTCGCTGAGTCAAAATATAATATTTGTGGGTCCGGCGAAAGTTGCAGAGTGTGGAGGAAACCCAACACCGAATTTCAAAAGAAAACTTAATTCCCACTGTTAAATATGGTGGAGGCTCGGTTCTAGTATGGGGATGCATGAGTGCTTCTGGGGTTGGGAATCTTGTTTTTATTGATGGCATTATGGACCACTAAAAGTATATAAATATCCTGAAAGAAAATCTTCCATCAAGCGCTACCAAAATGGGCCTAAATAACAATTAGATGTTCATGCATGATAATGATCCCAAGCAGATCGCGTGGAATACCAACATGTGGGTACTTTACAACACCTCGAAAAATATCTCGAAACTCCTCCAGAGTCACCGGACATTAATCCCATAGAGCACGTATGGGATTATCTCGAAGAAAGGATTCGTCATAGGCAAATTTATAATAAAAATGATTTAAAAACTGCCCTTTGTGAAGAATGATCAAGAATAACGCCTTCTTACACTTCTAACTTAGTTCATTCTATGCCACGGAGGCTTCAGTCGATCATTAGCGCCTCGGGTGACCCAACCAAATATTAATAAGGGTGTTTTAAGTGAAATAATTGAATAAAAATATGGGTGTACGGATACTTTTTGTGCATGATTGTTTGATCGTTTTTAACGAATGATTTTTTTTTCTTTAATTCTTATTTCTATCTGCAAATTTTTTAAAGAAATAAATTGTTTGATGTTTGAACTTGAGTTGAGTATTTTTTTTTGTAAATAAATTCCCAGGTATTGAGGAAAAGTTGCTCTTTTCTTTTTAACTTTCGGTGTACGATTACTTTTTACACTCACTGTATTATATGTAAGATGTTCCTTCTTCTCTCAGTGCACAGAGAAAGTTCTGCTAATTTTCTCTGGAACCATCACTTCAAAGATATTTACAAAATCATATTTTGAAAATTCTTAGATTTGAATCTCCATTCCCTATACTAACCGATCTTTTTGTTCTAAAAGTATTCACAAGACGAGAGTCCAAGCAATGCTGATGATAACTGTGAACAGTCTTCCACGAATTGGCCAGAAACCCCTCCAATCATAAAAAAGAGAAGAACAGACGAACCAGAGCATCAAGAAGTAGCTAGGCCCTCTCAAGTCAACACTTATGGAGTAGAAGACGAGTTCGACGCGATTGGACGTAACGTAGCAGCAAAACTACGAAACATGCGCCTCGACCAGAGGATAGTGGCTGAGAAACTCCTCAACGACGTCCTCTTTGAGGCACAACTCGGTACTCTCCATCGAGAGGCAGCTCTCCACGTATAAAATCCTCGGATTAAGCAAAGTAACACATTTTGGTATACTTCAACACCTCCACAGCATTTTCTTGGCAAAATCGCTTAATGAAATTGAATTCTAGGATTATCGATCGACTATTCTTCTTTAAAGTAGCTCTACCCTTCCGGTAAATTCAAAGATTATTGAAAACTGCAAAAAAATTCCAGAAAACTCGATTAGTTTCGGAATTCGAATTTTTTTCTCAATTTAATTATCGTTTTGGTTTTTCAAAGAAGAAATATTAAAAAATCAGGATTTAACCCAGTGTTTTATTTGAAAATCAACATTTCCATTGTAATCAAAGATTAAAATCTGATTTTTTTTTCATTAGATGTGAAAAAATCAAGAATTTTTTTGATACCTGGTAAAAAATAATCCACCGTTTTGCAAAGGTTTTATTATTTATTTATAAGAGGGAAACGTTCGAAAAAATATCAATATTTTGCGAAATTAAATTTAGATAATACTGACTGGGTATGAATTTTTTTATATTTTTTCCATGCAATTTAGTTGAAAAATAAAAAAACTGAAAATATCCAAAAGTACAGCGTAGCCCGGCCAAAGGGTAGAGCTACTTTAAGGGGGGACTACTATGAGTTTTAAAAGTCGCAGACTATTGGAGTGAGATTTATCATGCATTGAAGATCGATTATATATGTCCAAAAATGAATAATTAGTGCAAAAAAAAAATTATTGTTCATTTGCCCCGCAGACCCATAAAATGTTAAAAATTGTCTGGGGCCTGCAATTTTTGAGCTACAGAGGTTTTTTTTATTTATTTATTTTTTTAATGTGTACAATAACAATTACGAATTAGTTTTTTGAAATTCGACTCCTGCACAGCTAATTTCGTTTTGTTCAATACAAAAATTTGTGCCATTAATGTAAAACAGGCAGAAAAATTATCCCGAAAATATTTGAAATATATTCTTTCAGAAACATTTTTCGGGCTATTTTACGTGAATGGTGGAATTTTTTATTAAAAAAATTACGAAATTAGTTGTGTAAGAGTTGCATTTCAAAAAAACTAATTCGTAAACCGTTATTGCACACTTTTTTTCAAAACTGTTGAAAAAAATAAAGCTTTGTAGCTGAAAAATAAGAGGCCCTAGACTATTTTTAACATTTTAAACGTCTGCGGGGCGAACAAACAATAAACAATTAATTTGTTGACACTAATTATTCGTTTTTAGACATATATAGTCGATCTTCAATGTATTTGAAATCTCATGCAAATAGCTCGCGACTTTTAAAACTCATAGTAGTCTCCCTTAATATCCCCATTTCTTGTTGATTGAAGGTTCGAAATTACCCCTAAACTACAAATGAATGATTTTTCTCAACTTTTTTTTTCTTACAAAATTGTAAAATACATGGGGTTGCAAATCGCCCACCGTACAACCAGTAACGTTCGATGGAGAGCGGCGACCACTCAAGGGTTAACACAAAAGTATATTAGGGTAAACACGTCAATTTCTGGACGGGGGTTATTTTCTGGACGACTTCAACTTGAAATGAATATTCCATAAATAAAATGAAAATTGCACTGATTATTTCACCTTTCAATAATATTACTCGTGTATAATCATGTGATCAATTATTTTTTCTATTAATCAATATTTAATAAATAAAAAAAATATGGCCCAGTCGTTCAGAAATTGGGGGTTTCGGCTGCATTCAACCATTTCTTAATTTTATTATCCTTTGTTTTGTTATTTTCACTTCAAATGATTTTTTTCTGCTAATTACTCTTGAAGGTATGGAAGCGATCATATCCCCATGTGGATAATTCTTTTGTTTTGGATCCTATCATGAAACTCGAATTTCCCTGAACCGTCCAGCAATTGGCCTGTTCAACCTACCATCTGTGCTGATAATATAACTTCATGTTAACAGAAAAATCGTCAGAAGCGGTGAAACACGCAAAAGAACGTTTTCGCTTGACGTACAGGATAACATGGGTTGGGTTTAAATTTTTTTCCACTTTGTTAGGTATCTCATGGTATATCAACCGTCACTTGATAGCTGTTTTCATCCACCAAAGACTTTCAAGCGTGACAAAAAATACAGGGACTCCATGATGTGCAATGGGTCATTTTGTCGAGAAAATTCTGTGTCGATGTTGAAATATAACAATTTTTTCTAAAAAAAAAAACAATTTCAGTACGATATTCTCTTTAATCGTGGCTTAAAACCGAGTCTGTGCATGATTAAGACAAATGTACAAAATACTGTAAATAATAATATCAGTACGAATATTTTTCCTTACAATGAACACAAAGAGAAATATGAACAACGATTTTTTTCATTACATAACCACATGAAAAAGTAATTGCTGCCGAGAAAACAAATTCATCTTCAAAGTCTTGTCTTTCTTTTTTTATACAATAAATATGATTATATATAATTCATTGACAGAATAAGCTACGCCTTCATTCTAGTCTTACACTTGAAAAAAATTGCACAAAAAGAACGATAATTATTTTTAGCACGATTAATTAATTATTAAATAATTATCAGACGCGTACAATAGTAGATATGACTTTCAAGTGTGCATGTGCAATTAGTCTAATGATCAGTCCTTATTTATGTTTATTTTAGTTTTTTTTAATCCACAGAATTTGTGGATCAAGCTGACTAATCAAACACTCCAAGCACTTTCAAAATTTTCATATCATGAAATTTGTCAGTGCCAACCGCATCTTAATCCCTATGCTGTGATGAAGGAGTTGAATATGCAAGACTTAAGAAGGATTTTAAGGAAAAAAATCATTTTCGTGAAAAAATTGTCCTAAAATCATTAATTTTTGAGATAATTGAATAACAAACAGAAATTCCCACCTTGACTCTTCACGATAATTATCAAATTCCCCCAAGAGCGAGTGATTCGAGAGAAAAATGTTAAAGACCCATGTTTGTGGGGGACCCTCGTCAGTTTCGAAAAAGGTCTCTTGATATTTTGCCCGAAATTCACTTATTCTGGAGATAATTGTGCAATTACTTGATGAAGCAATTACGATATTTCAGTCAATTATTGAATTTTCTCGAAAAGTAATTATTCCGTGATGCAATATCAAGAGACCTTCTTTTGTACCTGATAAACTTCACTCGACATTTTCCCTGAACTCCCCTAATTTTTAAAATAATTCCACCATTTAAAAAAAAGTAGGGGAGAGTGGGCCAAAATGAAACAGTCGAAAAACAACTGTGCGACACAATTCAATCAAACAAATGTTTCTTTATTAAATACTTTTTTTATCAACTTTTGTTTATTAACTTTTTTTTATTCTTGAGAGTACTAATGAGTAATTGAGTACTAAGTTTGACGGGAGGATTTTGTCAATGGATTAATTGAAATGAAAATGAAACATCAAAAATAAAAATCCAGAGTATGACCCAGGGGGAGACCCAGAAGAGGAAAAAGGAAAATGTGATTTTGTATTTCAATGGAATGAAAAAAGAAAAGTGTAATCGGCCTAATATAATCAACTGAATAATAAGACGAATAGAAACTTATTAGTCTCATCAATTATCAGTACTCCCAATAATAAAAAAATTTATTAAACAAAAGTTGGTAAAAGAAATTGTTCTATTTGAATTGTGTCAAATAGTCGTTTATATTTTGCCCCACTCTCCCCTAGAATTCTACTCATCAGGTTCCACCCTTCAATTACAAATGTCCTCTTCCATCCAAAAGTTTAGAATTTCAATCTAAAAAATACCTATTCATCTCCCCCCATTCTAAAACCTAACTAGCATAAATTCGTCGTTTGCCAGGCTTAAAGAGAACATAATAAACAGTGCCAGAGACGATGCAGAGTCCCATGCATCCAAAAATAGCGTAAAACATGTAAGAGTACCAGAACCCATCCCAGTCGACAAGAGCGAACCACGTGGCAGTCATGGTGGTGTTCTGTGCCATGACGAAGGCGCAGTAGAACCACAGCCACTTATCAGGATGTTTGAATTTGACCCTGTACTCAATGAGAGTGCAGATGTAGACTAATCCCAGCCAGAGGTTCACGAAGAACGTGGTGACGTCGTAGTCCTTGGCGTGAACGAATAAATAAATGAGCATGACGATGTAGTGAACTCCAATAACACCAGCCAGGGGGATTGGATAGAACTCGTAGAAGATGGCGATGGAGAAGACCCTGGCGACGATGAAGAAGAACCACCAGAGGAAAGCGATGAATATCCCCACAGGATCATCCTCCGCGATAGCTTTGACTGAGTGAATTCTTTTTGGCAGTCTCAGTCCTCTCCAGAGGCTCGAGGCGTTGGAATCGTTACTCTCAACTGTTACGATTCGTTCGGTCGATCTGTCTGGGGCCTCGACGTCGTTCTCGATGGATTCTCGTATCACAGAGTCTGGACGGGGTGGTGCTGGCATTTCTGGGACTGGCAGGGGTGCCACTGTCGTGATGCCACGGAGAGGAGCAGGCGGTGGAATCATCTGAGCATTTTTTGGTGGGAGGGGAGGGGTCAGGGAGATCTGACGCTCGAGGACGACGCGTGGGGCCTCAGTCTCTTGGAGGTGCACCTGGGACTGAGGGGGGGACGTTGTCTGGGAGGAGACTATTGAGACCTCTGGCTGGAGGGGTTTCTTCTCGTCGAGGTCTCCGAGCTCTTGGGTTCTGTATTTCTTCAGCCACATGGCCCAGGGTAACTTCCTGCCGTTTATTCGCTGGCTCTCGAACCTTTGGAATGAGGCGGTTTGCACTGCTAAGACGATTATCGAGACCAGGATGCATAAGATGTGAACTGAAACTGAAGAGAGTTTAATTGGAATGAGTTCTGGGGGGAGGGGAGAAAGGATCGGATAAATGGCAGGACGTCGGTGTCAAGTAACAAGTGTTATTTGTGTCAAAAAAATATTTTGTTTTTGCTTCTGAATGGAAGCATTGTAATCGTCCAATTTTCACGTTCTCTAATTTTAATTGGAAATTATGTAGAATGGTCTGAAATGTAAAAATACGAAGTATGGGGACCATGTCTGTATGTGACCATGTCCACCTTCCCCGGTGGTCAATTTTTAGAAAATTGAGTAATTAAGTTAAATTCCGTCAGATTATAGGTCTTAATGAGTCCGATTGATCTAATAGTTTTTGAGAAAAAGCGATTTGTTTTTAAATGGTTTTTTGCAAATATCTTCAAAACTAATGGACCAATTTTGATTTTTTTGTTTTCAAAATATTCCTTTCGATGTCTTCTATCTTAATCAATCACAACATATACTCTCATCCATACAGTTTTCGAGATATTCTGATTTTTCCGTTTTTTCAGAAAAAAAAGTTTGTAATCACGCTAGCTTGTCCAAAAATTGAGATGTCAATTTGAAATTTGGACAGAAAATATGTATACCCGTTCATACGAAGTATTCGAAACATTGGAATTTGTATAGCATAGGTGGAGGTGGCAGAAAATAGCTAAAACTTTTGCTATGGGTTAGTGTTGTAAAACTAAACTTTTGTAATATTTCAGACTATTCGGAAGCCATCAATACATTGATGGCGAAAAAAATAACACATCACTCAGGGACATGCTCACCGTCTTGTGGCACGCCGTCATATGCTCGCTGTCCCCTGCTTGTTTTAATTATCAAAATATCATTTTCATCACGCTGTGACGAAAAGTGAACTTTTCGGCACGCTCCGCGTGCCTAAAAGTCCAATTTCCGCCACATTGTGATGAAAAATATTGTTCGTAACTCGTGAAAAAATGTTTTTTAGCTCGTGGGATTATATCACTCGCTTTCGGCTCGTGATATAAACCCCCCACTCGCCAAAAAACACTTTTTTGCACTCGTTATGAAATATACTAATTTCGTTACGAGTGTGGAAAAGTGTTTTTTGGCTGGTGGGAGGTTTATAGCACGAGCCGAAGGCATCACTCGAGCCAAAAAACACTTTTCCCACGAGTATCGAACAATATTTTTCATCACAATGTGTGGAAAAGGGAAGTTACTTTTTCGCACAGCGTGATGAAAAATAATGTTTTTGTGCCAAACATATTTACGAAGTATATTTACTAACTACCAGAAAATTTACACATGTCATACAAATATTTATATATATTGACTTGTGCCAAGTAAATATTTCGTTGTTGTCGAAAGGAGCGCAATTATTCACGTTTGCAACATTCAAATTCGAATTAAACAATTTCTTTTTTGGTCATTTTCAACTAGCGCTTTTGCTGGCCCAAATAAGATTTGTTTGAGAATTTGTTTGTTTTTCTCTCAGTCTAAGTTTGGGATTGGATTATCTTGATATTGTGATGTTTGGGGGGTGGGGGGTCCAGAGAATTCTTCCCTGGGGCAATATATTTTTTTACGAAAAAGGGTTCTTTGAGAATTTTGCATTCATCTTCAACTCGAGAAATTTCAGATGGGCAAGAATAAAGATTTTAAGATTGTTTACCTGACTGATAAGTTCTTTCTGCAGTCCTCTCCCTGAATAGTAAGTGAATTTGGAGGATAGCCTGAGGGGCTGCTTGGAACCATGCTTGTAGGAAAAAGTAGAGCTCTATCGCTGCTGGAGCTGCTGCCACGTTAAGAGATTTTCTCCTCTCCACGCCACTTAGGAGAATTGCGTCAACGATTACGACAATTTGACCTGCAAATCTAGAAGGGGAGTGCTAAATTAATACTCGGGTTCATCACCTCAATCAATGACCTAAAGTTTATAAAAGAATTTTCATGCCATCGATTGAGGAGCTCTGAGAGGAGGAATTTAATTGGGGAACCCTTGAATAACTTTCCAAACTGTTTTTAAAAAAAAATCTAATAATGAACATTCTTCAAGAACTCAGTAGGGAATTGATGAAAATTGACGGGTTTAAGTGTCATGTGAAGTATTTGAAAATAGCATAACACCTTCCTTGTAAACCATGATATATTCTACAGAGTATCCTCAAACGTATCGTACTTATTGTAAGGGTAGCTGAGGAGGGTCACACGTATGAAAAAATCGTATAGAAATTTTTTATACGGATTGCGTATAGAATTTCTATAGGATTTTCGTATGTGATTCGGATATTTCTGTACGGATATTTATTACACAAATTATTTCTATAGATTTCTATAGGTTTGATCCTGTACGCAATTCGTATAGAAAATTTCTATACGATCTTTTCATACTTGCATTGGTAGATGAAAATTCTAATGAAGTTTTTGTCTTCGACGCTTTGTTTATGAGTTATCGAAAAAAAGGGTAGCCAATCAAACGCGATTTCCCGATAGAGAAATCATATCCCCTTTCGCACTTAAGGATATCCAAGTATCTTTTACAGTTTAGTACAGACGACACTACAGATTCAAACATTATCAATCATCAAATTTGTCAATTAAATTGCGTGAGAAAAATTTGAAAAAAATCGTGAATATTCAGCATCATTCAAGTTACATTTTGCACAGAATTAATATTTTTTCCATCATTCGTTGACTATAAATAAATAATTCAAATTATTTAACTTTCGGAAATCTTATTTTTTTTAGACATGAAATCGATTTCTGGTCAAATTCTAAACATGAATGAATTTGTTACGATTCCGAACAAATGATTGTTATGGTGGAGAATTGATTGTTTATAAATTACTAGATGCTCGCTCCACTCGCCAACCCCGATATGACCCTCATGATCCTTATTCTGACCCTTGTGACCCTTAATCTGACCCTCGTGACCCTTCATCTGACCCTTAATTTTGGAGTTTTTATGGCCAATACCAAATTTTCATCACCAGAAGTCGATTTAGATATTTATAAAATAGATATGTAGAGCGTTATTTAGACCCTTGTGACCCTTGGTTTTTGACCGCCATGACCCTTATTTGGATCTTTACTCTAACCCTTGTGACATTTAATCTAATCCTTGTGATCCTTATTTAGACCCTTAATCTGACACTTGTTAGCCTTATTTTGACCCTTAATCTGACACTTGTTAGCCTTATTTTGACCCTTAATCTGACCCATGTGACCCTTATTCTGAACCTCATGATCCTTGTTTTGACCCTCACGACCCTTATTCTAATCCTAGTAGTCCTTAGTTTCTGACCCTTGGTTTTTGACCCCCATGACCCTTACTCTGACCCTTATGAACCTTAATCAGATCCTTGTGATCCTTATGTGGACCCTTAATCTGACCCATGTGACCCTTAATCTGAACCTCATGACCCTGTTTTGACCCTCACGACCCTTATTTTGACTCTTAGTTTTGGAGTCTCAATTTCGAATACCAAATTTTCATCACCAGAAGTCGATTTGGATTTTTATAATATAGAGAGATTTATAGAAAATGCTCGTAATTTTCAAAAATTGCAATTTTTGAATTGTTTCATGAATCTTCCTCCAAAAGTAAACTTTTTATTTTTTTTCTAATTTAACAAATGTTTTCTAACGGTTCAATATCGAGATTCAAATTCAGACCTACAAAGTTTAAGTAATAAAATCATTGTAAAATATCCGGAAACGTGGGGTCAAATGGGGCTCAAATGAAAGCTCTGATGTTCGACCACAAAAGTAGAAAAGCATTTCACTGGACAAAACATAGCCCAAGTACTTGGATATTCTCAAGACGAAGGGATGATAGCATTGAATGTCCGATTAAATGAGAGAGGAGATATGAATTTTTTATGTCGACTCCGATTTTTAGGGTCAAATGTCTCTTACGCCGCGATGAAATTCATTGCGCGTTTCCTCACCCGGTCGTTATGATAGGAGAACAATTTTTTTCAATCATTGTCCATTAAATGCCCAATCGATTGCCGTCATTTTCATTCTCCCATCTTAAGTGCGAAGAAAAATGAAATTTTCCAAAAAGATAAATGACTCTACACTGAGAGAAAAACAAACACGTTGTCAAACAGGTCTTGTTTGGGTCAACAAAATCGCTAGTTGAAAATTGCCAAAAAAGAATAATTCAAATTATTTGTTTGGTTCGAATTTGAAAGTCTCAAACCTAAATAATTGTTCTGCTTTCGACAGCAACGAAATATTTGGCTCAAGAGGCGGATAATTCACACACGACGGTGCCTTTTCAGGATAAAAATATCTCATACAGAGGAAAATTTATCAACAAATATTTTATCCCTAAGTTACAAGATTGCTATCATATCATTATTATTGTTTCATTTAAGGGTTCATATCTTGTCTGTGATTATTAGACCGCCGAAACGGAAAACTACTATCCCTTGTTCCGCATAAAACAAAGATTTTTCGGGAGCAACATACGTACGGGAGTATCGAATAACGAAGGAGTAGTGCTAGAAATGACATTTCTTGCGTCTACAGAGAATGCAATTTTTTTGAACTATACTAAATCTATTTTTGCGACAAAAATTTTTCATTCCAGCGCACTCTCTGCATGTTTGGTACAAAAAAATCCTTTTTTGATCATTTTCAAAAAACTATTTGTGTACGTCCACGTGAAAAGGGCCCACTTTGTCGCATCTAGTTTCCGAGATATTCCCGTCTTTCTCTCCACATCTCCCATTTAAACCAATGTTGAATTGTTTTTTTGATCGTCTATACTGACGTCAGTTTTCAGTCTATCGGGTTGATTTTGGGCTCAAAATGTGAGAAATCTGATCAAGATTATCAGAACATAGATAACTCCAATACCGTCAAAGTGGGCCCTTTTCATGTGGACGCCCACATTTTCTTGGCACAAGTAAGACTTGTTTGAGAATTTTGTCATTTTTCTCTCAGTCTATAACAAAACGCCGGAGACAATCCTATGAGACTTTCGGCTAATCTTTCATTCAATCGCCCAAACAATTGGAATCCCCAAGGAATTACCTGTACAACGCAAACAACGGGAATGCAATCATCTGCACGATTTGGATGCCAAACCAAGTGACAACGTTCCAGGATATTTTCTGGTCTTCAGTCATCCACCAGTCAGGCCTGGACACCGTCAGGATGAAATAAGCCACAGCGGGTGCGTACATCAGCCCCAGAGTGCACCCGCCCCATATGGGATTGCCCTCCCTGAAGTGTTGAACAGCAACGACGAGATCTGCTGCGAAGTGCACCATGTAGATGCAGCACCCTATCACCGCTGGGATCAGGAAAACAAGACAAATCTGCTCCGTTGACTTCAACGGTACTTTCAAACACCTCGTTGGCTTCCTCTCGCAGATGGCCTCCATCGTCATGGCCATTGTTTCCCTCCTCAGCTCCTCAATCCTCAACTCCTCAACTGAAATATCCTAATGGTGTCTAATCACCTTATCAAGACCGTCAATTTTTTATCTCTCATCATCGATTTCTTCCCAACAAAACACACATTTTCATCGTCAACTGACTTCACTCCATCATTACTTCGAATCTATTTATCAGTTCATTTATGTAATAATTCGAAAGCGTATTAAATGCTCCAGTTGTTCTATTCCTCCAGAGTTCCTTGAATTATTAATGCAGACCTTCAATAAATTTTCTAATGATAGAAAAAAAAATACTAGACAATTTAAATTGATTTTCAATTCACTTTTAAGTTATAAAACCCGCGATAATACTGAAACACAGTGCAACACCTAGTTCTCCATCCAAAGTAGAAAAGATAAAACTATGATTCACCAGGGGCTTTCCCTCATTCTTTCACAATTCAAACCAAAACAATTTCCAATTACTCATCGGACATTAGCTCACACTGATGACCGAAAAGCCACTGAAGACAGAGCGCATTTTACTTTTGTTGTCAGCCTGACGCCTGGAGTTTTCGTGTAACTAACTACTGTGTTTAGGAGCACTTCGGAGCACTACGATTCGTGCTGGATAATAACGGTGGCTGAAGAATTGTGCAATCACAGTACATGTAGCCTTGAGGGGGGCTCAGACACCTGGGGAGGGGTGGGGGAACACAGGTGAAATGAGGAGGGGAGGGATGAGGAGTTTGTGGTTTTCGATGTGTCAGATTGGTGAATCTAGTGATAAGAGATTTTCCGGGCTGCGGCGCGATAGATACTGGCGATAACGGGACACATGTGGGGGAATTCGGGAGATGATTACGTCGGAATTATTGAGTCACTGCGGAGGAGCGTAATAAAGATCGGTGATGAAGATGTAATTTTTTTATGTCCGAGTTTTCTTCTGCTCTATTTTTTGGGGTGCTTGGTGTGAGCTTGTTGTGGCCAGTGGGGAGGGGAAGGAGATTGGGTATGGCTGAGTGCAGACGAGCGAGTATCACTGTATGGACTGTACATTTAATCGAGGCGTTTACACTGGGGGTCGTGTATGGGTGTGGGCAGACACTGTAGGTCCATTGTAGTGCCAATGGCCGCTCGAGATGTCGCGTATTGATCTGAAGGGTTGAATTATTATTTTGGATTCGTCGATTTTTACGGGAAAAATGGGAGAAGCGCTTCTTTGGGTGGAAGAGGTATTGCGGTTTCTCTGGGACCCGAGGGGGGAGATATGCAATTAGCTAGACGGTGGGGGGTTTATTTTGTGGGTTTATGTACGAGGGGAAGGTGAGCAGCATTTGCGGATAATTAGATGCTGTTGAAGATTGCGCGAGTTTCTCATTATCGAGGTGATTCGGAAGCAGGGATCGGCATTGATCATTAGTTTAGGAATATTGCCAGAAGTTGCACCTTACGATAATTAAGGTTTGCTTATCTTCATTGAAATTGGGAAAATAGTAAAATAATTGATAATTTTTATTTTCAATTGTCTATGAACTAGCGAACGTGCCCTTCGCGCCCGTCGCTGGATTAATCTACGCTAGGAGAGAGTGGGGCAAAATGAAACAGTAAAACAAGCAGGGGTTCGAGCCTTTTTGGCCGAAGGCATCTGACCGTTACTTTATGTGTTATAACTCTTTTTCTTTCTTTCATTTCTACCAATTCCATTGGTAGGGTAAGCTACCCAGTAGATGGACACTGCCCTATAGATGGACGAGCTACTTTTGGATAGGAAATTACGCAAAAAAATTCTGAAATGTAAATTGTTGCTTTGATTTTTCACTAACTGTTGTGATTCTTAACCCCTGAGTGACGATTTGTTTTCGATCAATTTTTTTTTTCAATTGCTAAACAACAAACGTCCATCTACTGGGCGGTTTTCTTAGGCGTCCATCTACTGGGCAGTTTACCCTAGTAAGCTTCCAAACGGGATAGAAGGTATCGTAACAAATATTTTGAAAAAAAAAAATTGAAATCGGTTGCGCAGTTTTTAAGCTATTGCACATAAAAGGTTTTCAGAGAAAGTCGAATATCTCGGAAACTACTCATGCGATTGAGATTATTTTCAATAGGAAGGATTGTTATCATGAAAGGAAGATTCTGTGCAAATTTCAAGTTAATATCTCAATTTTTGCACAAGCTAGAGTGATTACAAGGATTTTAATGAAAAAACAGAAAAACGGAAATATCTCGAAAACTTGGTATAAACGGTCGTATGTTTTGATTGATTCTGATAGAAGGCATCGAAGCAAATATTTTGAAAAAAAAATTGAAATCGGTTGCGTAGTTTTTACGAAATTTCATATAAAAGGTTTTCAGAAAAAGTCAAATATCTCGGAAATTACTCATGCGATTGAGCTCATTTTCAATAGGAAGGATTGTTATCATGAGAGGAAGATTCTGTCCAAATTTCAAGTTGATATCTCAATTTTTGTACAAGCTAGAGTGATTACAAGGATTTTTATGAAAAAACAGAAAAACGGAAATATCTCGAAAACTTTGTATGAACGGGTATATATGTTTTGATTGATTCGGATAGAAAACATCGAAACGAATATTTTGAAGAAAAAAATTGGAATCGGTTGACTAGCTTCGAAGATATTAGCGAAAAACGATTTAAAAACGAATAGCTTTTTCTCAAAAACTATTTGATCAATCGGACTGAACTTTTGCACAGAGTTAGTCCTTGTTAAGGTCTATAATCGGACAAAATTTCAGATTTTTTGGAATAAGTTTAGCCAATTAATTACTCAATTTTCCAAAAATTGACCACCGGAAAGGTGGCGATGGACATTGACACCGACAGACATGGTCGTCAAACTTCGTATTTTTACGTTTCAGACCATTCTACTTCATTTCCAATCAAAATTAGAGAATGTGAAAGCAGCCCGATTACAATGCTTCCATTCGGAAGCAAAAAACGACTGTTTGACGCAATTCAAGCGAAAAAAAATTTTTTATCAATTTGTTTTTATTTTTGGGAGTACTGATGATAATAATAATTTCCCATTCAGTAAAATGGCAAATTATTGAAAAGTTTTGATGGGCGAAGATTTTGTCAATGGATTATTCGACTGAAATTCAGCATCATATTCTCCTTTTTCTCCCTCTGGGTCTCCCCCTGGGCCTTGCTCTGGACTTTGGATTTTGTTGTTTCATTTACTTTTCAATTAATCCATTGACAAAATCTTCGCTCATCACAACTTCTCAATAATTTTCCATTCTGTTTAATGGAAAATTATTATTCTCATCAGTATAAATGAAAAAGAGTTGATAGAAAAAAATATTTAATAAAAAAATGTTCTTTGCTTGCATTGCATCAAACAGTTGTTTTTTTGGCTGTTTTATTTTGCCCCACTCTCCCCTATTTTATTTTAATTTGTTTTCTTTCCATTTCTGTCTTTACAATTAGATTAATTTAATGTTATCCATTCTTGTTCTTATTATATACTGTTTTTCCTTAATTCACAAGGTGTAGGGGAGGATGGGGTAAAATGGACACTCCAGACTTTTTTAAAATAATTCATAACTCAGAAACAAATTTATCAATTGAGCTCAGTTTAGGCTCGTCTCAAAGGGAAAGAATTGTTCTTTGTATTGAAAAAAAAATTTATTGAATTTCAACATTTCAACGCCTCATTAACATTAAAAAAAAAGTCAAAGTCAAAAGTGTCCATTTTACCCCAACCTCCCCTAACATTGAATAAAGAGGAATTATGTTAAAGATCAATTAAAAGTGTTTTTTCGTTAGGCTCCAAAGAACAACGGAAAATAAAAATATTCCCCTTTTTTTCTTTTTGCCTTCGTTTTAATATTATGTTAAAATACAATCTTCAATTACTCAAAACAAAGACTTTAAACGTAATGCGGAAGTGACAAACGGAAAAAAATTCCCACTTTTTTTCACTTCTTTCATGATCTTTCATGATTCAAAGGGTCGTAAAACGATGCTTAACTTTGTCCTTTGGAGTCCAACGAATATAAAAAATGACGTCAAACGGACGAAAACTGCAGTGTAAGGACAATTTTAGAGGTAAAAATATGGAGAACGTCGTTCTATGTTGATGTGCATTTTTTAAGACTTTTATTAAGACCTTTAAATCTCACCGACGCCCCCTCCCCCCTTCTTAACAAAAAAAAACACATTTCAGCAAAAATCAAATGTGACTTCATCCTTTACTCTCGAATTTCTCTTCAATGAGATGATTTGAAAGTTGATGATAAAGATGGAATTTGTAAAACGTTATTTTGAATGAGTGCGTTTGAGGAAATTTATCACCGATCGTTTTCAACGGAAAATCTAATCCGCGTCAAAAAAGGTTCTGTCATGTTTTGCTCTAGAATTGCTCATTACCGAGATAATTTCACTGTTAAGACATATCATGTGAAACGTAATTCTCGTTCCACTAGAATCTCCTATCTCAGTAATGAGTGGGCTCACAGAGAATGTATCAACGGACATTTACGATAGGATTTTTTTTTCACTTAAAAAATGCCACTTGATATGAGATGAATGTGCAAGTTGAAAGTGCCATGTGGCATATTTCATCGAAAATCGGTCAACTCCTGACTTCGCCCCTATCGATAGTGCACAGTATTTTTTACACGGTCGAGGGCTTTAAAAAACAATTTCCTGATTTTTTTCAGAACTTTTCTATAGTCTGTATGGAAGATATGATTTTTTTTGTGTTTCTTCGTTTTTTTCAACTTATCAACCACCAAAATATTTCCTTTCCTGCTAGCTTTGCTAATTTTCACGATGGAATTTTTTTTCAAACGCTAAATGTCTACAATGATAAATTTTCAAAAAAAATTGAAAAACTTGAATATGGCCAATTACGTAACGTTGAATTATCTTAAATTTTCTATAATCCATTCTCTCCATTGAAATAAGTGTACGCCGTACCAAAAGTTTAGCAAAGTCCTAGATCTATTTAATTTTTAATTTTTTTTCCTCAAAATTTACCTATTTCTCAAAAATTTCTAGAAAATCTTCAGATAATGTTTATGCATTTGAAAAACGTTCATTGAATTATTCCACAGATCCTTCACATATATAATCTGAAGAGGTTTTTACATCACCCCGTGCAATATCGAGTTCATCGCACGCTGCGCTCCGCGGGATATAAAGCAATTATAGACCACTCGGGCGTACACTTCATTTTCAACGAATATGTCTACAGACTTCGCCTTCAGCTCGGCTTTATAAATTTCACATTCGTTGAAATCGTAATTTGTGGCTTTGTTCTCTAATCTGCTAAAGAGATTCTTAACGAAAAACGGAAAATTTTGCGCAAAAAAAAACAAAAAATTTAATAGATCTAGGACTTTGCCCAACTTCTAGTATGGTTCAAAATACTCGGTTCAATAGTGAGAATAGATGACAGAAAAATACAGAAAATGAAACGTAACGTAATTGGTGAAATTAACTATCAAATGTTTCTACTTTTTTTTCGAAAATTCATCATTATCGACATGCAGAGTTTGAAGAAAGAATTTCATCCATCAATTTCCAAAGGTGGTGGAAAAAGAAATATTTTGATGCTTGACAAATTGAAATCAGTCGATTAGAACACGAGTTATGCGAAAAAAGCACAATCACGAAAAAAATCTTATTTTCCGTATAGGCTATAGAAAAGCCTCTCAACCCTGTAACATTCTTGTTCACTTTCGAGAGGGTCAGGTTTAGGGCTTGACCGATTTGACATGGAATACCTCATATGGAACTTAAATCGTTTTGTAATGGTTTTAGATGTGGACGATAATTCTCTTAATTACCTCAAGAACATTCACCACTTCGGAATTTCGAAGCCTTAAAGAACGCTTGAATAAATTTCTACTCCGTTTCGTAAATTCGTGGAACTGTTTTATATATTTGAAAATCCTATTTACACTGATTTCATTAATAAAGTCGATACCGGGGGGGTTTCTGGCTCATCAGCTGGTTGCAATCCCTCCAAGAATTTCATGTATCGGTCTTCGAATTCTTCTTCGGAATCTGCTTGGTTCAATTGGTTATCGTATTCAGCGCCCACTGCCCAGAGTGTTTCCAAGTCGTAAAGTTCTCTTGCACTTTTTGAAAAGATATGGAGTGCGATGTTTCCTGAGAACAGCCATAACAATAACAATTAACTTCAGGAAAAGAAAAGTGATCAAAGAAATTCCGACTATGCATTGAAATAGAACCTTCTCAAAACAATATGCAATGCAAATGAATTCAGAAGCGAAGTGGTAAAACTGTTTAAGTCGACTCATCTCTTAGTTGAGTTTTTGAAGGATATCTCCGAATCTAAAGGAGATAATGAGATTTTCGTAATAACTTTTTTTCTAGAGCAAATTGAGTGCTACAAAAAAGGTTTCGATAAAAATTTAGCTATCTCCCTTAAATACCGAGATATTCCCTAAAAAATGGCCAATAGTCACAATCGACTTGAACCGATTCACCACTTCGCTACTGAATTCAATAGTGAAGAGATAAAATTTAACACATTGAGGATGTTTATAAAAAAATTCCAAACACTCAAATAAAAATTTTTTTTCAACTAACAAGACAGAGTCATCTCCGTGATGTTGATAAAAATTTCAATCTACCAACCCGCATTGATTATTCAAAAATAAACTGAACAATATTCACAGAATGTAGGCGTTAGCATGAGTTTAAAACGGACTGAGAGTTTGAAATATCTGGATTATTCGTCTGGATACCCTAGATTTTTCCTCGGTCATTTGGATTCACTATATTTTTTCAACATTGCCCTCTATTTTTTTATTCTTGGAATAAATGAGTCTTCCTGTAGGTAAACTATCAATTTGACAATAGATCCCCCAAGTGTCCGTAAATAGGAAAAAATTCGTTTAGAAAATTTTTGTGACTTTTCTGAAGGCGAATGCTACTCTCCCAAGAATTAAAGAATACTTCTCCCATGAGTGTCGAACCCTATTTTCATCACAATATGTGGGGAGTGAAATTTTACTTTTCGCACAACTGATGAAAATACACTTTTTGAGCTCTGTAGATGTAAAAAGTTATAAATTTCGGATGATTGGGATATAAAAGGGTTACTTCAATGTACCAAAACTGAAATTAATCAATTTCATCATAAATATTAATTATCATTCGTCAGCAAGCTCAAATACTGGTAAAAATTTTGGACTAATTTTTTTTTTTAAGCCACGGTTCTCATCCAATTCCAATATAACTGGGCTCATTTCATTCGTCAAAAGATTCTCTATGGAGTAACCGGCCTGTTTTTTCAATAGAAAAAATAATGCTACTTTTATAACACTATTGTCACATCCTCAAACTGATTTATTGTTAAACAAATGGTTATAACTATTCAGGAATGTAAGTATGGGGTCAATTTATCCCGTTAATCGATACAAAGTATTTAACAGAACAAAATGAGTCCAATTGTATTGAAATTCGATGAAAACTATGACTAAAAAAGAGGTTTAAAGAAAAATTTTTTTCTGGCATTTTCCCAGAAATGTGAACAAATCAATGTTAATATTCATGAAATCGACAAATTTTAATTGTCTAATATTCAATTGAGCTTGATATATACCGACCATTCAGAATTCATCACTCATCATACTGAAATATCCGGAAAAATCTATTTTTTCGGAAACCAAGAATAAATTACCTAAATCTAGAGCGATCCAATCTTTTGAATTAGCTCCTTCGACTTTGGGAATTATATCTTCATCATTTCTCTTCAATTTATATGCTTTCCTAACGAAGGTGGCGAGGGCAATCATGTGTCTCGGAGATTTCCCAGTAACTATCACCAAGTAATCCACGTAACTCAGTTCCTTTGGAACCGTCGCAACAAATATATTTTGAGCTTTGTCCTTCCTCAGCAGATCCACGAGGTCCTCAATCTCAAAAACCCCATCAACACCTCCTGGAAAATGGAATAAAAAATGAAATATACAGATAAACGAAATAAAATAGGGAATAAAATAAAGTAAGACTCTGGTTTTCTAGAAATTTCCAGGGAATTCTTAACTAGAAAAATGGATGCCAGGATTTTTCCGAATTTCTGCATTTAAAAAAAATTTCAACGTTTTTAACTTTTCTAGAATACCCGAGCATTTTCTCAATAACTTGAGAAAACCCTAAAATTTTTTGACTTTTCGGGTGTTTCAGCAAAGTTGAAAACTGAGGTGTTTTTTTTAATTGCAGGAATTCCAAAAAATCCTGGTAGGATAAACAGGCTAATTGCTGGGCGGTTAAAGGAAATTCGAGGTTCGTGTGAGGATTTAAAATAAACGAATCACCTAAATAGGGATATGATGGCTTCCATAGCTTCAAAAATGATTTAATTAGCTGTGAAAAATTCTTTGAAGTGACAATAACAAAACTAATCTAATTATAAACAAATAATTAGATAAAGAAATAGTTGAATGCAACCGAAACCCTTAATTTCTGGACGAGTCAGCCATATTTTTTAAATGTCGATCAACTGGAAAAATAATTGATCACATGATTACATACGAGTAATATTATTGAAAGGTGAAATAATACATACAATTTTCATTTTATTTATGGATTATTCAATGCAAGTTGAAATGGTCCGGAAACTAACCCCCGTCCAGAAATTGGCTTGTTTACTCTATTCAATTTTTTTCATTCTGCTCAGGCGAATCGGGCCACGCAGCTAGGTGTTAAGAAAATGGGATAATTTTTTTTTCAGTCGAAAGAAATATTGTCTGTGGAGTAGACTCAATTAGAGGAGGTTGGAGTAAAATGGACACTTGACTTTTTTAAAAATATCAGTGACGGGTTGAAATGTTGATGAAATTTAATAATTTTTTTTTTCAATACAAAGAGCAATTCTTTCTTTTATGATGAGCCTAAACTGAGCAATATTGCTACATTCGTTTCTGAGTTATGAATAATTTAAAAAAAGTCTAGTGTCCATTTTACCCTACCCTCCCTTAATAAATTTGTTTCCGAGTTGCGAATATTGAGAAAAGAGTAAAAACCCGTTCCTGAAACCGCGAATTTCCCCGGGGAAAAAAATCTACAAACGTTTTTCGTCTCCGTACAACACTGAGACGCGCTCCAAAGACTCAATTGCAAAACAATTGCTAAGCAATTGACAAAATTATGAAATTCATAGTCAAAACAAGTTTTTGCTGAATATCGTGAAATCGACTAAGGGTACATGAATTCTCGTAAGGACCTTTTTAAAACTTCAAATTTTCTCCAAAAGACAGTTCGCTAAATAGGGGAGGTTGGGGTAAAATGGACACTTTTGACTTTTTTAAAAATATTAGTGACGGGTTGAAATGTTGATGAAATTTAATCTTTTTTTTTTCAATACAAAGAACAATTCCAAATACAAAGAACTTTCCCTTTGTGATGAGCCTAAACTGAGCTCTATTGGTGCATTTGTTTCTGAGTTACGTATAATTATAAAAAAGTCTAGTGTCCATTTTACCCTACCCTCCCCTAAATGTTGCCATCCCCATTCGTTCCTACGATATCCCCTGAAAGCAAACATGCAGTCGACTAGTTTACATTCACGATTCCATGCTTTGGAGTAAAATAATTTACGCTTCATATTGAGTCCCTCATATGGATCATGGACATCCTGCATGGCATTGAAGGCCTCCAGGTCGAGCCTCTTCTTCTCCTCATCGACATCAAAAATCACCGGAGCGTCTTCCTCTCGGAACGGCTGGAAATTCGACCTCACAGCCGGTGACAGGAGGTTACCCTCCTCTCTATCTACTTCATTTTCCTCAGATAGATTTTTTTTGCTTGTTTCATCACTAGAATAAGTTCTCCTCGATGTAATCTGTGAGAACTCGAGCACTTTACACGTGTAGGCGTATGAAGATCTGTATAAAAATCTTCCTGCACTAAAAACGTTTCGAGAAATTACGCTACACATTTTTGGAGCAGGTGAAAAAAAACTGAAGACTCTCTTTGAGGTTATGTTGATGTCACGTGGTTTTTGGGGATGCTTAGGGAGTAGAAAAAATATCGACATGTGCTACTAAACTCCTCGTGAAAATATTTTTTCTCAAATTTTCGTTTTCTTCTTCTTCGATTTTTGCGGCACTGACTAAATTTGTCTTGCGGTCGGTTTCTCAAGTTTTCAATTAATTAACTTCAACTTTTAACGTTATTTATTGCCAGGAACATACATTCTTACAAATGGCCATTGCCCGAGGTCCTTCGGCCTCGTTTTCAATCATTTTATGCTCTTCGCTTGCTTTACAATTGGTTGAAGTTTTTAATATTGAATATGTTGTTTATTTGTTGGATTACTACTTTACTTATTGAGTGTTTTATCTTTAGGATAAGGAAAGGTGCTCGAAAGAACGTGTAAGACAATGATACCTTGATAGTCTCTTTTAATAACTATGCAAAGTAAAAAAAAAATACATTTTTCGGTTTTTAGGTTCATCTTCGTACGATCAACGTTGCAGAATGATCTCAAGCTTTTTTATCCAAGATGTATAAAATTGTGAGGCTCCAGTTGTTCCAGGAGAGTCAAATGGTGTTAAACAGTGAAAAATTGGTCGAACGACTGTAACAAAAGATGAAGAACATAATTAGCAAAATTTCTAAACATAATATTGTTCAGAGTAATTTGATGAAATTTCTTGATCAAGTAATTATTGTCTCGTAACTTGTATTTAATAAAACAAGAGATTTAATAAGAGAGATATATTTCTGTTTCTTGCATATTTAGAAGAGAATCCTATCGCAATCAAGCATCCTTATAAAAGATAATTTGCATAAACAGATGAAAAATTAAAAAAGAAAAGAGGAAGCTGTTCAAGTTCATTCCATCTCGTCAATTTTTGCAGGATATCTGACACTGTGGATTTTCTAAGGGAAAACAGCGAAATTTTTCTCAAGATGATCATCTTTAGATCAGATCAATAGGGCAAAATGGCCACTTTTCGTGGCCTCTTTTCTTTTTAAATACGGGAATATACTAAGATGTCGATTTTTTAAAATGAAAAGTACAATTCGAATTTTGTGGTAGAATCTAAAATAAAAGCATCACCTAAATGGGAATATGATGGCTTGTATACCTTCAAGAATATTTTAATTAGCAGAAAGAAATTATTTGAAGTAAAAATAATAAAACAAAGAATAATTAAATTAAGAAATAGTTGAATGCCGCCGAAACCCCTAATTTCAGGACGACTGGGCCATATGTTTTTTATTTATTAAATGTCGATCAATAGAAAAAATAATTGATTATACAAGAGTAATATTATTGAAAAATGAAATAATTAGTACAATTTTCATTTTATTATTTATGAAATATTCAATGGAAGTAGAAATCATCCAGAAACTAACTCCCGTCTAGAAATTGACCTGTTTACCCTGTTTATTGAGTTCTGAATTAGAAATATTAAGAAAAAAAGAAAAACTCCATTTTGCCTCTTTCTATGTTCAGAATTGAAAAAATAATAATAAATAAAAATATAAAAATTTTACAATTCCTCCGAGATTCGGAGATGTTCCTCAAAATCTCAACAGAAGCTAACCCGACTTGAACCATTTTATATACCCCACAACTCCAGCCTAATTATCTCCCTAAGGAGTCTCCTCAGCATTTTTCAAAAAACAAGGTGTGCGAGGTAACCGAATTTTTTAAATAAAAAGCATTAATGCGTTAGTGGCTAGAAATCATCTGAAAAATGTGGCAGAGTTTTATCGTAAATTTCAGTATTCAGTGGATCACTGAAGTCGTTCCGAACCCACGAGGTTTTGGGCAGCGTCGGTGGTTTTACCAATTTCCGTTTCGTCCGCTAGTTAATAATGTAGAGAAAATGGTAGTCTTCAGAGTTGTATACACCGAGAGAAAAATATATAAAAAATTAGCGTTTCTCCACCAACGCTGGGACACAACAGAGTTCATCGAAAAATTCACATGTGGCACACTTTTAGGGGGACTCACGCCATTTGTTCGTGCGTTTCCCGTAAAAATTACGGTGCCACGTACCAATTCTTCGTTGACCCCCTATTATGTCCAGCGTTGGTGTGGCAGACTAATTTTTGGAGGGACGCACGCTAAATTGTGGTGTAAGAAAAACCACTTTCATAATCAGTTAAATGCTAAGAACAGCGATAAAACTCCTTATTTTTCAGACAATTTCTCCCAATCATTAATGATTATTACGTGAAAAATTCAGTGTGTTAGCACTTTCCTTTGTCTCGAAAACCAACTGCATAGATATCTAAACAATGTCATTTTTTCAATTTTAAAATATACTTACAGAATTGAAGATGCCAGTCTACTTGGACCTTGCACGCATCTTCCTCCTTTTACGCTTTAGCCTCCGCATACGCTTCTTACGCCACTGTAAAATAAAAAAAAAAACAAAAATGATTAAACTTATGAACAAAATAGAATAACAAACAATCAATCATGTAATCTACTAAAACAACTAATTCTCCGATAAAAACAATCATGAAAAACCGGCGGCAGAAATGACCAATCATCCAAAACAACGCGTTTTCAACATCCCGAGATTTTCACCCAACATTTTTCCCAAAATACCGATTTTGACATTGAATAAATGAAAAATATTTATAACAAGTAAATAATCATTACCTTTGCTCTCATTCTTACGGGTTGAGGAAACTAGATGAGTCTAGAATTCCTCGATTGCTACGGATTAATTATCCGTGAGCTCCGTACGCTTCTGAAACCAATATGGAAGAGAACGACAATCAGAAACGTCCGGAAGGTTTCCCTTTCGGTTTAATTCATTCTCTCACCGATAGGGGGACAAAACCTTCATGTGGCGCCCTCCAACCTCTTCCCCCTCCCCCAGAGAATTCTAAAAACGATGATTTCTCCATTTCTAATACCAAAACTAGCACATTAAATGTGCAAAATTATTAATCAAATCTGAAAATAATTAAAAAAATGTGGGAAAATAATCAAATAACAGATTTTCGATCTTTTAGAGTGAAAAATAGTTTGGGAATTCAAATTTACCGCTTTAAAACACATGGAGAGGTGCCGTGCGCCTGCGCGGCCCAGTTGTCATCGTTTTTCCCGCGTTTAAAGGGCCTTCCCGCAAATTCCACGGTGCAGTGCTTGTCGTATACTTGTTGCTCGCCCGTTGCATTTCGCACAATGTCCACCCAGGGTAAACAAAGCTTGATATTATCCTAAAATCGCGTATTTACTCCCGAAACTCAAAACCACCGGCACAATTCGCGTCATCACCTCGCAAGTGTTTCAGTGAATTTCCAAAGAAATTTCAAGTGTTCCTAACCACAGCAGGAGAGTGGCATCACATCCCTCGTAACTTCCCCCAAACACACGCCACGACTCCAAATTCCCATCAACTCGAAACTAATTCTCCTAAAATTGGATTAAAAATGACGAGTGTGCAAACAAAACTGCAATTCCCAATTCGAAAAAAGATCTCCTTCTACAGTACAAAGGAAAACCCCCAAGAGGACTTTACCAACGCGACCCTGAGGAGCACCCCGACGACAAAGTACACCCCAACAGTGAAAAAACTGATGACGATCAGCAGCAGTGAGTCGTCCGACTCTGAATCAGACACCGAGAACATCGCGACAACAAGAAAATCGAAAACAACTGTTAAGAAAAAAGTGACGACGACTCCAAGAAGAAGGAGGGCGTCAGCCTCTTCGGAGGATCAGGGTTCGACCCCACCGAAGCAGAAGAAGATCTTGTCCCCGACGACGCCCTCGAACCTCCTGGACCGCCTCAACCTGGAGTCCCCGGAGGAGGAGAGCCCCTCGAAACCCCCAGGGAAGGACCACCTGACCCCTAAGAGACTCTTCCCAGTGTCCTCGAAGTACCAGAACGCGAGGAAGGCGCTGCACAGTTCAACCCCTGAGAGCCTTCCAGGGAGGGAGAAGGAGCTCACCGAGCTCGAGGAATTCATCAAGGAGCATCTCAAGGGGAATAAATCGGGATCTCTCTACGTGTCCGGGCCTCCTGGCACTGGGAAGACAGCGAGTTTGTCGAGGATCATGCTGAAACCTGAATTAAAATCTGCATTCAAGACTGTTTATGTTAATTGCACGACTATGAAGTCAGCAGGGACGATTTATGGAAAGATAATCCAGGAGTTGGGGATTGAGGCGCCTAAATCTGGGAAGAGTAGTAAGACTGTGATCGAGAAGCATCTGGTGGCCTCTCACAAGATGATACTGCTGGTTCTCGATGAGATTGACCAGCTGGAGAGCAAGAGACAGTCGGTCTTGTACTCGATATTCGAGTGGCCATCGATACCCAGGTCCAAGATACTGCTGGTGGGCATTGCTAATGCCCTTGATCTCACCGATAGAATCCTACCCAGGCTGCAGGCTAGGTGTGAACTGAAACCTAAGCTGATGCACTTTGCTCCTTACAGCAAGCAGCAGATTGTGGAGATCATTTCGGAGAGGTTGAGGGAGGCTGGGGTGGAGGAGATCTTCACGGGAATGGCGATGCAAATGCTGGCGGGGAAGGTTGCTGCTATCTCAGGGGATGTCAGGAGGGCCTTGGATATTAGCAGGAGAGTCGTTGAACTCGCTGAGTCGCAGAAGAGCCAGGTGCTTCAGCCTGCTGTTGATAATCGTAAGCAGTTTTTGGCACGGAAGAATTTGCTTGTTGCGAAAGTTTATACTGATTATTTTTCCAACCCAAATATCGGGCAATATAATTGGCCCATTCGACATCACGTGGTACAAGCTACAGGGTTTTCAACTGATAATCTTTTGATAATTTTCTCTGGTAGTGCTATATAAAATACAACATCATGCAGTCAAATTAACCCCTCGTCAAACTGACAGATTGAATTCAATTGTGGTAATCCGAGGATTCTTATTCGAAATGAGTGTTAATTATACAATTTTCGTTTCTCAATTGTGAGTTTCGTCTCATAGTCCAATTATATTGCCCGACATTTGGATTGGAAAAATAATCCCCCGAATACCACACGAGCTTTAAAATTAATCGGGCATTTTCCTCAAGGTTCCCTGCATACAAACGAAGGCGTCAAGTTTTTCAGGAAAAAATATTTTTTAACCTGAAAAACTTGACTCCTTCGTTTGTTTGCAAACCTAACGAAAAATACCCGATAATTTTGAAGCTCTTGTGATATTACAAATGCGAAATTTATTTTTTTATTTTTAACGGAATTTGTCATGAGAAACTTGAGACTGGCCATTGCCCGAGGGCATTCAGCCTGATATTCACGTATGATATACAATGTTTTGATTACAGAACACAGAAAAAAAAAAGAATAGGTAAATAATTATTTCAGATAGCTGATAGTATCGTGTGGTTGAGTACGACAGCTAAGTTCACGCACGAAAAAATTTAATAGAAAAACCTATCGAATTCGTTAGAAAATTCTATTGAATTTCTATTAAACTTTCTATTAGTTTTTGGCTGATTCTATTGACATTCAATAGAAAACATTCAATAGAAAAAGTCAACAGAATTCGATTTTTCTATATAACTTATTCTTTTCATATATTTTCTATAGAATTTGCTCGACTCAAATTTTCCAAGTTTTTTCACTCTATTTTTCTTTTCTTCTCATCAAGAAAATCAAACGAAAAAACTTAGAAAATTTGAGCCGAGGAAATTCTATAGAAAATATCTCAATAGAATAAGTTATATAGAAAAATTGAATTCTATTGACTTTTTCTACTGAATATTTTCTATTGAACATTTCAATAGAATCGGCCAAAAACTAATAGAACAGTTCAATAGAAATTCAATAGAATTTTCGAACGAATTCGATAGGTTTTTCTATTAAATCATTTCGTCCGTGTTGTTTTACATTATCATGGGTGAAATGAGAGTGAAACAATTTGAGGGATGTAGTGATGGTTAAGGAAGTAGAGAGCTATTGTTGTAATTATTACTATGGGATGATGTTACTGGGACTGAGTTTTGTCGTCTCCCCAATTGTCATTACCGGATTCTTCTGTAGAACAAATTATTTTTGCCAAATATCCGTTTACTTGAGAGACGTATTCATTTGTTCAATAATTTATTTCTTCAGTTGAGTCATTCCCTAATGATGATTCATTAGGTTTTAGTTGATAATAATTACAGTGTTCTTCAAGTTGATCGTGGTGGTTATGAGCTTGAGTGAACTCCCTCAATACTTATCAACATTAAAAAGAATCGAAATTCTTCCCTCTAGAAAATAAGAAATTTAGGAAAAATGAATAATCGTTGGTGGAATTCGGCCAAAGTCATGTGCAATATCGTCATCCTCTGGGGCAACATGGTTGTCATAGTTGAAACCTAATCAGGCTCACCTGGAAAAGACTCAGTTGAAGAAATACGGTTTTGAAAAAATAAAATCTTCTCTCAAGTAAATGAATATTTAGCACATATAATTTTTTTTTTCAGCGTATTGAGGAATTGATTAATTGGTTGCGGTCCTGGTTTTACTGGAATTTTGTTTGCAATTTTATTGAGTCATTTACTGTAGCTGTCCTTCCCTCGGTATTGCCTGGGATGTTTCCACCCTTAAAATAAATTTTTCAGTTTTCTGGAAAAAGATTTTGCAGAAAAAGACGAGAATTTTTCTTTTTCGTTTTTGAAAACCCTGATGTATTATTTATTTTCTTTTTTTTTTTTAACGAAATTCGTCACAAGAGGCTTATGACTGGCTATCGCCTGAGGGCCTTCCGTGATATATTTTTAGAATTTTCCAAAAAATCTGGAAAAATACGTAACAATCTACTCTGGTGGTAGTGCTGGTGTTATTTATATATTCTGATAAGAATTCTAGACATTTCTATGTGGCATTCTGCCGTATGCAATACTTTTTTTTACTTGCCATTATTTTCAAGCAATTCTTGCAAATATCCAGGAAGTTCTGGAGCATTCTGTGGTGCATCCCAGATTTGGGATGGGTTATGCTCACTCGAATATTTTCGCACTTCATATTTTGCGGATATACTGAAAGACCAACTTCAGAGAAATTATTTAGAAGTTTCCTTTGCAAACAATTTTAAGAAGTACGAGGAAGATCTTTACATTTTCCCTCTGAACCGGCCAGTATTATTGATATCCACGAAATCATGTTCATTGCATTTTTTTTATCTACAGACTTAAAAGAATTGTCTACACGAACTAATGATCAACAATATATTCCTATAATTATGCAGATCCTGTTCACCAACTTAGAGCTTTTCATCACTGTTGAAGAGAATAAATTTTCTTCACCATAATAATTTTTTTTTGTGCATTGTTTTCAGAAAATAATGGAGGAAGTCCAAAGAAAGTAGCTCCTGCCATTGAAAAGCCTGTTGATCTGAAAGAAGTTGTTGCGGTGTTGAATGGAGTCTACGGTGGATCTCAGAATATTGAAAAGGAGGAAGACACTTTCCCACTCCAACAGAAACTCCTATTATGTTCGCTGATGTTGATACTCAATAAAGGACGTAATAAAGACGTTACTGTTGGCAAGGTAATTATTCTCCTAATTGCACATTAATTATTTTGTAGCAAATGTAGTCCCTAAAATTTTCAACGAAAAAGATCTTTCGATATTTTCTCCCACAGTTGTTCGGTTTTTGGATATTCGTGTATCTAAGCATGTTTGCCCAAGATAAGAAGTACTAAAAAAATTTAATTTTTTTCAACTGATGGACAAATTCAATAGCGAAGCCGTAAACCGGATTAAGTTAATTTTGACTATTGGCCAGTTTTTGACGAATATCTCGGAATCTAAAAGAGATAGAAGAATTTTTGTCATAACCTTTTTTGTAGAGCCAATTGAGCGTTATAAAAAAGGTCACTAGAAAAATTTCGCTATCTCTCTTAGATTGCGAGATATTCATAAAAAAACTAGCTAAAAGTCAAAATCGACTTAACTCGGTTTACCACTTCGCTACTGAATTGATGTCCTTTATACTCATGGAATGATCTCAATCTATCAATCTGAATTGATTATCCAGAGATACAATAGGCAATATGCACCAAATGTAGGCGTTAGCATGCGTTTATATGCGACTTAGAATTTTGAATATCTGAATTATTTGCGTGGGTATACCAGGTTTTTTCTTGGCCATCTCATTCAGTATATTTCTTCACATTGCCCTCTATTTTTGTTTTTATTTTTAGAGTCTTCCAGTAGATGCATTATCAATTCTGTAGTGAAGTGATAAACTGGGATACGTGCAAATTTTTTGAAAATTTTTTCGTTGCTTGAATTGAAAGTTCTTTCAAACGTAGTCAAATTCTTCAACTCTCCTGAAAAAGTTCAATTTTTGCACTTATCCTAGTTTACCACTTCGCTACAGAATTTATAAATAAATCCCATAAAACTCGGTGTATAAGAACAAATTTCTTTATTCACTTTCTTCAAAGCTACTGCAATTAATTATTCTCTAAGCTACTTGCTTTCGCAATATCTGCAAAATAATCTCACTCCAAGACTTGAATAATGGAATAACTGAGTCCTTTGCTGATAATCAATTTTTATAATTGCAGCTCCACGAAGTATACAAAAAAGTCTGCAAAAAGCGGAACATCCTCTCAGTGGACATCTCTGAATTCGTCGGAGTCTGTTCCCTGATCGAAACTCGCGGAGTTCTTCGTATTGTCGGAAGGAAAGAGCCTCGTCTGTGCAAAGTGAATTTACAATGGGACCAGGAGGAGCTCGGTACAGCCCTCCAAGACAAAAACATGATGGCAGACATCATCAACGACGCCACGTGCCTTTAAAACAATTCTGTACATATTTTTAATTGCGACTTCTCGATTTAGAGACTCTGTGCCGTGAAACGTTGTTTGTGTGGTTTTTGACGATCAGAATTGAATTGTTGACTATTATGACACTTGAACATGAATTATTGATAAATTAATCATTATTTACGAATTGAATAAATTTTTTAAATGGAACGAAAATTATATGAATTGGAATTATATTATTTTTATTTATTGTATATTACGTGATTGAATATTGTTTCAGAAAACAAAAACATAAAAAGTCATATCTTCGAAACTTAAAAAAATTATTTATTTGGATCAAATAATTATTTAAATGGGCGCACTCAAACAGCGCGTTTTCACGTTTTTATTTGAACATACACTCAATTTTTGTTTGAGTTCTTATTTAAATAAAATGAATATATATACTATTTTAATACTTTTAGTATTATATTTTTCAATACTAGCAAATGCTCCATTGATTCAAGTAATAACTTTACCAGTTAGAAATGAAATCACAGTTTATACGACGAATTTATCACCATGGAATTGTACCTAGCGTGGGGGATACTTATAATTGGGTTCTAGGCTTGAAGGGATAAATCCCACCAATGCACTGCCCAGAAAACAATTTTTGCCAGTGCCATCTAAAATTTAACAGGACATCGCCAATTTGTCGCTAAATTGTCGACATATTGTTTGCTGGGTGAGAGAACAACAAACACGTCAAACAAGTCTTGTTTGGGCCAACAAAATCCCTAATTGAAAATTGCCAAAATAGTATATTGTGCACCAGGGGCGGAGTCATGTTTTCCCGCCTGAGGTGCACATGCTATTTTCCGTCCCGGCGGGCGCAAAGTTACATTTCCCTCCCGCTTCGCAGGAGGGAACTCTGACTTCGCGCCTACGCCGAGACGGAAAATCGTGTTCTAACCACGGGAAGTAAAATAAGCATATCCTCGCCTTCGGCTCGGCTGGTAATTGCACTGGCGGCTGAGGATCCTTTATTTTCCCTCCCTAGGTTAGAAATATACTATTTTAACACACCTACAAAGGAATGTTCGTATTTTGCTCTTTGATGAGCGAGAAAAAGTGAGTACTTTCCGCCCTCATCCACCTTTTCAGTCCGAAAGGACTGGAAAACCAGTCCAGTCAGTTGGAAAAGGCTCTTTCCGCCTTTTCGGGTGAAAAGTTACTCCCTCGGGTGGAAAGTCTTGACTTTCCGCCCTTGGGAGCAACTTTCCACCCTAGGGCGGGAAGTCCGCACTTTCCTCCCGCTCATCAGGGAGCAAAGTACGAACTTGCCGTGCAGGTGTGTGAAATATAGTATATTTCTAACCTAGGGAGGAAAAATAAAGGATCCTCAGCCGCCAGTGCAATTCCCAGTCGAGCCGAAGGCGAGGTTGGCAAGCACGTGGCTGAGGGCCCTTTATTTTACTTCCCGTGGTTAGAACGCGATTTTCCGTCTCGGCGTAGGCGCAAAGTCAGAGTTTGCTCAGAGCTTCCCGCTTCGCGGGAGGGAAATGTAACTTTGCGCCCGCCGGGACGGAAAAGAATTTGTTTGATTCGCATTTGAAAGTCTCAAACATGAATAATTGTTCTATTTCCGAAAGCAACGAAATACAGTAGGCAACAAATACGACTCCTCTATATTCGAGCCGGCTATTTTCGACAGGCGGAATCACTGCGTCCCTACTCTTGCGCTTTCAATCCTCACTCCTTCCTTTTACGGAATGGTCCCATCATCTCCCGGCCGCATAGCCCTACGCAGCCTTACGCCCTCGAGTGTTACCCTAACCTCAATCATTGCGAAAAATGTCGACGCATCAAGCCGGGAGAAAAAATAATTCACAGTCAATAGAAGTAAAACTGAAGGTGATAAGTGAAGTCGAAGCAAGGACAGTTTCAGTAAATCAAGTGGCTGCTGACCTGCATGTGCATCCCACAACAGTAAGGTCATGGCTACAACAGAAGGACAAATTACTGGAGTGGGCAGGTTCCCGCGATCGAATACCAAAGAATCAAAAACGTATGTCAAGGGTCGATAATGAGCGTGTTGATAGTGCCATGTGGATTTGGTTCAGAGATAAACGAGCGGCCGGCGTACCACTGACAGGACCGATGATTCAAGAAAAAGCACGAATTTTAAACAGAGCATTTGGTGGTAATGAAGCATTCACAGCAAGCAAAGGATGGCTGAGGGCATGGAAGGAGAGGTACGGGATTCGGGGGGTACAAATCAGTGGAGAAAAGTTGTCGGTCAATGCTGCAGCAGTTGATCCCTTCAATGAAAAATTTTTGGACATAAAGAAGGAAAATTTGATAGTTGATGAAGTGTTCAACGAAGGTCAGCAAGACAGAAGTGGTGGAGCTGAAGATGATGCAGAAGGCGAGAAAGAAGACGAAAGAGCAGGAGAAGAGGAAGAAAAGGCAGATGATAACGAGTACAACGGAAACGTCGCTCGAGAAAGTCCATGTGCTCCAGGAAATCGCAGAGACTCTGGTGAGCTTTGTTGCAAAGAGGTGGTGCATGACCTGGAAAATAATAATCTCCTAGAGGATCCTCTGCAAATGATGACTGCAAAAACACGAAAACATGAGGCATTTCGTTGTCTCGCGTACGCGGTAAGGTATTTCGAGGAATAGTACATTACATGCCCGAGCCTTGGAAAACAGATCACCGTCTCACTCGCCTTCGGCTCGGAAGGCAATCTTGCACGTGGGGGAGGGTGATGTTTTCCATGGCGAGGTGTGTATATTAATTTTCAGGTCCCGTGACACGAAAAATTCTTATCCTGAAGACATCCTCACATCTTCGCGTGTCATTTATGAGAAAATAAAAGAACACGACGCCAAATCTGCCTGTACTGAAAAATGAAAAACGTCCTAGTCTTGGCATTGTAATTTTTCATGTGATATTGTTTATAAGTCCAAGTGTTAATAGTTGTAAAAACGGTGAGGATATTCGTACAGAAGTAAGTTTTAAGTGTATTTAAAGTGTACTTTGAGTGAGTGTAAGGTACATTTAAGCTAACTTTTCGCTGACTTTAAGACACTCAAAAGGCAAAAATCTCTAGAGAATTTTCTGACAGTATATATAAGGCCGGGAAGTTCTTTTTTTAAAGTTGATTTAAAGTTTATTTAAGTCAACTTTAAGTATACTCCCTAACTTCGTGACAAGACCAAGCGATTGTCGTTTTTTTGAGTGGATTTAAAGTTTATTTTAAGTTAACTTTAAGTATACTCCCTAACTTTGTGACAAGGCCAGGCAATTGTTGTTTTTTTTGAGTGAATTTAAAGTTTATTTCAAGTCAACTTGAAGTATATTCCCCAAGTACGTGAAAAGCCCAGGTCATTGTCGTCTGTTTTGAGTGAATTTAAAGTATGCTTTCAGCCGCATTTGAGTATGTTCCCCAGCGATCTGAAAAGCGTTGCTGAGTTTGGCGTATTTCTTAAGTGGATTCGAAGTATATAGTGGATACTAACGTCAACATGGAAGACCTACATTCCCCCGTCGAACAATGAAGTTGAAAACTTGCTGTATATTTTAAGTGGATTTTTAAGAATATTAAATACACTTAAAACTTACTTCTGTACGAATCGCCTCACCATTGTAAAAAAGTAGTCGAAACTTCAGTTTGTAAGACTGTTGTTATAGTCATTAACAGAATATCTGCTGTTCCTCGGATACGTCTATGGCAGGAGACGTTTGAACTGCATAAAAATAAAGTTGCAATAATTAAACCTTGAATCATTTGAATTTTATAGTCTTCATTGAAAAAAAGTTCTCTCGTTTTCCTTCTTCCCTCTCGATTCACCTCTCTTTTCAGGCGACCTTTCTGCCATTTAATTGTTCATTGGATCAATTTTTCTCAATATGCTTAAAAACTCACTTATTTTTAGTTTTTATTTTTTATTCAAGTTTCATATTTTTTCTAAATTGATGAACTGTGGGGTTATGTTGATTCACTGTTGCCCGACGGTCGAAGACAGAGAGCAACATAATGCGTTCTCTCTCTGACCTCCCCACTGCGCGCGCTTGGCCAATGAGAGCTCGGCCGGCTATTTTCGACTTCTCGGAATTCGTTCTCCCGTCGAGTCGAAATTAGGTACAGGAGTCCTGTAGTTGGTTCAAGAGGCGGATAATTCACACCAGACAGAGCCTTTTCAGGATGAAAATATCTCATATAGAGGAAAATTCATCAACAAATATTTTACCCCTAAGTTACAAGATTGCTATCATATCATTATTATTGTTTCATTTAAGGATTCATTTCTTGTCTGTGATTATTAGACAGCCGACACGAAGAACTACCATCCCTTGTTTCACATAAAACAAAGATTTTTCGGGAGCAAAATACGTATGGGAGTATCGAATAATGAAAGAGTAGTGCTAGAAATAACATTTCTTGCGTGTACAGAGAATGCAATTTTTTTCAACTACCAAATCTATTTTTGCGACAACAAAATTTTATTCCGGCGCTCTCTCTGTATGTTTGGCACCAAAAAATCCTTTTTGATAATTAAAAAAAAATATTTTCTTGGCACAAGTAAGACTTCTTTGAGAACTTTTCTCTCAGTGTGGTTTATCGGCATTTAAATATGAGAATTTATTACTTGATTATAATTACTGTGTCGTCTGACTGATTACAAAGAGTTTACGACTTTTCTATGCGTCGGGGTCCAATTCAGGTCTGATCTGTACAGACTCAACCGTTTCTTAAATAATACATTCATTTTTTATATTTGTTCACTTGGTCAGCATAATCCAGTTACGCTGGCAAGTGTTACGCTGACACTGCTGTATTTCCACATATTTAACCATAACGCAATTGACCAATTCTGGGGCATAATAGAATAATTCTTTATTTGCATCAAATAAATCGTTTATTGGAATGAATGAAGAGTTATTTTCGATTCCAATGCGCCATTTCTTTGGGTATAAAAAAGAAATACAAATCTTTATAGTAGAAAACTTTGAAAATTATGTCAGGAGATTTTCTCTATGAAAATTCTGCACAAATCAAGTTTTCCAAGGAATTATCTGAATTTATTGACTGAAGTAATTCTTCCAATAAACTCTTTTCCATTGAATATTCCCACGTGTGCAATTTCATCGTTTCGATTTCTGTTTTCGAGAGTAAATTATCAACACAAGTAGCGAAATCGTGAAATCTGATAGACCAGCGGACAGTAAAAAAATTACGCCCTCTGTGTCTACCGCCTCGGTCGACGTAACCTGCCGGTACGCGGTGCCAAAACACTTTTTCCATCTGATTGTTGTCATAAAATTAAGAAAAACTCAAATAAACAAACATGGCACTCAATGTACTCAAATCACGAGGTGTTCCCAGTATTATTCGGAGATTACAGAGTGAAGTCACAAGCTCTGTAGCCATTAGATTGTCTATAAACGACCCGATCGTTCGTAATTATGCTCAGGTAACGATGTTTTCATAACAGAAAACCCAAACAAAACTCTTCAAAGTGCATCACGAATTGATTTCAATCAATTAAGAATGTTCATCACTCCTCCATCACTCAATTTGCATTAATTATTCGATTTGTTAATTCATTTTTGGAACACGAATTGTCATTCAACCCTCCCACTTTGATTTCCTTTACGTAATCCTCCCCACCGATTTAAAATTAGATTCGAAAAGAGAAAAAGAAGAGAGATAATTTATTAAAACAAATGATTTATGAATAAAAATAAAAACAAAAGTAAAAGTAACAAGACTATTGCAAATTCCCCGTCGTTTAGCAAATCCCTCCTCACTATTTCGTCACTGGTCTCCAATCTCTGTTATTTCACTTATGAATTCCACTTCTGTGTGTTTGTGTTGAATTCGTATTGTAAAACCACATTCTTGCTTATCACCTTCGGGACCTTTCATTCCATACTCTCAAGCATTGAGAGACCAGTTCTTCATCCATCTCCGGCGGATTAAGACGTAATTAACTCTTGTTTTTTATTCCACGATGATGGCTGATAAAAATGCACAGGTGATTTTTGAAGAATTTTATTCATCTTTGTTTTGAGAATTTCACGCAATTTGTTCTGTAATTTTCTTACGTTGATGTCTCTGTTTTTCTGTTTAGGGAAGTGATAAGGGGTTCCGAATTGAACGCGATACCTTCGGGGAATTGAAGGTACCAGCGGATAAATATTATGGAGCACAAACGTTGAGGTCTGTGATGAATTTCCCTATTGGAGACAGCTTTGAGCGGATGCCGGTAATTAACATGAAATCCGCTCCAATAGTTTATTCTATCAAATTAGTTAATTTTTTGTTTCGTAAAAGATAACTCGTGTGAAAAAATTCAATTGAAAGCCCTTTTTTCAAGAAATTTACTCATTACTTGCCAATTTCAATTGAAAATTTATTGAAATATTAAAAGACAAATATTAAAAGACAAGGATAGAAATCGAATTTATGGGTATTTTTCATTATTCGAAAAAAAATTGATTTTAAAACCTTCAGGATACATTAAACAATACTTTTTGCACCGAAGAATAAAAAAAGTTTAAAAAAAATCTATAATAAAAAAAATTTGTTTTTGCTGGAATTGCGTCATACAGTCGTTTTTTTGACTGTTTCATTTTGCCGCACTCTCCTTTAACTAACTCTATTTTTGGGACAAAAATTTTTTATGTCAAGAGACTGTTCAACTCCCCTTTTTTTGGTTCAAACACGACTTGTTTAAGAACATGTTTTCTTTTCCTGTCAGTGTAAAACCACCTATGACTGAGATATTCTAAATGTCAAAGTGAGTTATATTCCTTACGTGACTGAAAGTCATTCCTATTTCAGTGAAACTATCTCACTAACGGGTAATTTAGGAGAAAGTATTACAACATATTTTTGATGTGGAAATTTCATCAGCTTCAAGAAACGTCTTTGATATTTCGTGAATGATGAATGATTTCAAATACTCCACAACTCAATGATTTCAATCATTAAATTCACTATTAAAATCCCCTAAAATACATCCACAGTACGGAGTAATTGTGGCAATGGGAATTCTCAAAAAAGCAGCAGCTGAAGTGAACAAAGAGTTCGGTCTGGACCCAAAGATATCCGAGGCAATAAGCAAAGCAGCAGACGACGTGATAAGCGGAAAGCTCTACAACGACCACTTTCCCCTCGTAATCTGGCAGACAGGCTCTGGAACTCAATCGAACATGAACACCAACGAAGTCATCTCCAACCGAGCTATTGAAATTTTGGGTGGAGAATTGGGTTCCAAAACCCCGGTGCATCCCAACGACCACGTGAACATGTCTCAATCCTCCAACGACACTTTTCCAACAGCAATGCACATTGCAGTCGCCCTCGAGATAAATAAAATCCTGCTCCCAGGACTCACAAAGCTGCATGGGGCACTGGACGAGAAGGCCAAGGCCTGGAAAGATATCATCAAAATTGGAAGGACTCACACGCAGGACGCTGTGCCTTTAACGCTGGGTCAAGAATTCTCAGGTAAAGAGAAAAAATATTATCTAGTTCATCTTAATTCATTCATATAAGAATGTCTATGCAAACCCCAAAAATGGGATTTTTTAATCAACTGATAGACAGAGTCATCTCCTTCGTGTTGATGAAAAAATTTGATTCATCAATCCTTGATTGATTGATTATTTAGGAATAAAATGAGCTTTAAAAGTCGCCGGTTATTAGAATGAGATTTCTCCTTCGAGAAAAAACGAATAATTAGTGTAAAAAAAATTGTTTATTGTTCATTTGCCTTGCAGACGCTTAAAATGTTGAAAATAGTCCAGAGCCCCCAATTTTTGAGCTACAGAAGTTTTTTTTTAACATTTTTGAAAAAATATGTGCAATAACAATTACAAGTTAGTTGTTTGAAATTCAACTCCTACACAGCTAATTTCGTAATTTTTTTCATAAAAAATTGCACCATTCTTGTAAAATAGCTCCAAAAATATTTCTGAAAAAATTGAGAACATATTTTAAATATTTTAAGGATAATTTTTCTGCCCATTTTACATGAATGGCGGAAATTTTTATATCAAATCAATAGCTGTGTAGGAGTCGAATTTCAAAGAACTGCTTCGTTAGTGTTATTGTACACATTTTTTCAAAAATTTTGTAGCTCAACAATTGGAGGCCCTGGACTATTTTTAACGTTTTAAGCGTCTGTGGTGCGAACGAGCAATAAGCAATTAATGTTTTTTGCACTAATTATTCGTTTTTAGCCATATATAATCGATCTGCAATGCATGAGAAATCACACTCCAATTAGCCACGACTTTAAAAACTCATAGTAGTGTCCCCTTAAAATGTTGAAAAATAGTCCAGGGCCTTCAATTTTTGAGCTACAGAGTTTTTTTTTCAACATTTTTGAAAAAATATATGCAATAACAATCACGAGTTACTTTTTTTGAAACTCAACTCCTACGCAGCTAATTTCATTATTTTTTTAATAAAAAATTGCACCATCCTTGTGAAATAGTTCGAAAAATGGTTCTGAAAGAATCGAGAATATATTTTTAATAGTTGAAGTATAATTTTTCTGTCTATTATACATGAATGGCGCAAATTTTTATATTAAACACAACGAAATTAGCTGTGTAGGAGTCGAATTTCAAAGAACTAATTCGTAATTGTTATTGTACATATTTTTTCAACAATTTTGAAAAAAAAACCTCCATAGCTCAAAAATTGAAGGCCCTGGCTGAGAAGTAGGGTTTTGCGCACGCTTAGCATGCGCAAAATGTCACATTACACCCAGCGTGATGAAAAAAAAATTGAGAGCTACGGAAAATGGAGAAAAGGGATCTAAAAAAATTCTCAAAGAAATTCATACAAAGGTGGAAATTGGTTGGTCTCATTACCCTCCATCTCTAAAACGGGATTTAATTAATGTTTGGTCAACAGGATATGCCACACAGGTTGAATATGGCATTGCAAGAGTCAAGGACACACTCCCAAGGCTGTATCAATTGGCCCTGGGGGGAACAGCCGTGGGAACTGGGCTCAACACGAGAAAAGGTTTTGCTGAAAAAACTGCAGCTAGAATCTCCCAACTCACTGGATTACCCTTTGTCACTGCTCCGAATAAATTCGAGGCTTTAGCAGCTCATGATGCTATTGTGGAGGTCCATGGAGCCTTGAATACTGTCGCGGTTTCTCTTATGAAGGTGAATTGAAATTTCTCACTCAAACCTAAAGTGGAAGGACAAAATCTGCGAATCTTACATATTATTTCCCATATACATATACATATTATTTCCTATATTATTATTTCCATATACATATACATATTATTTTCTATACATATTATTTCCCAAATAATTCTGAACCTAATGAGTTTGGACAGGAATATTGGAAGATTTATTTAAGGCCCGCGTGTATTATCTTTCGCTTGTGATCTTGGTTGCTTTTTTATTTTGATAATCTGAAATTTTCTCCAATTGCCATTTAGTTTTGCATAGCCCTGGAATCTCAAAAAATTATGATTGTACAATCGAAAAACGATCGATCGGGCTGAAATTTTGCGAAGTTTGTCCTCATTAAGATCTATAATCCGACAAAATTTCAGATTTTTTGAAATTACTGTAGCCACTTAATTACGTAATTTTTTACAAAGTGACCAATGGGGAAGGTGGCGGCCATGCTAACATACAGACATGGTCATTCTACATCACTTCCAAACAAAATTAGAGAATGTGAAACTTGGACCCCGACAATAAAATTCTGATTCCATTCGGACGCAAAAAACTGAACATTTTCAAAGAGCGTTTTTGAATAAGTGGCAAATACACTCAATAGGGAAGAAGCTGCAAATTAATAATTTACTGCACCTAATGCCTGTCAGATCATTAGTTGCCATGATAAATAATCCATTTACAATTTTCCCTCCATTGGACTTATTTCCTAATCTTTATTAACATTCTTTGAAAATGTTCAGCTTCATTCTACTTTTTTAAAATTATACAATCATAATTTTTAGGAACTCCTGCGTGATGTAAAATCCAATGGAAATCGCGATATATTTTACATTACGAAGATGAAAAAACAATCGAGATAACTTTTGAAAGTTGATCCATCCGAGCTTTAATTCTCTAAAAAAAAGTCTTTATATTTTTTCCTGAAATTGTTCAGTACTTAGATAATTCTCTAACTAATAAATCTTTCATTTTTTATTCCCTTCTTCATGACAAGAAGTATCGCCGAAACATTGTTGTTTTTCTTTTACTTCAAGATTGCCAATGACATAAGATTCCTCGGCAGCGGCCCCCGCTGTGGCCTCGGTGAGCTGTCCCTCCCAGAAAATGAGCCCGGAAGTTCCATAATGCCTGGAAAAGTGAATCCAACACAATGCGAGGCAATTACGATGGTTTGTGCTCAAGTTATGGGTAATCATGTGGCAGTCACTGTCGGTGGCAGCAATGGACACTTCGAGCTCAATGTCTTCAAGCCTGTGATGGTAGCCAATACTCTTAGGTCTGTAAGACTCATCGGAGATGCTGCTAAATCGTTCACAGACAATTGTGTTTGTGGAATTCAACCGAATAATGAGAATATCAAGAAGATAATGAATGAAAGTTTGATGCTGGTGACCGCCCTCAACCCGCATATTGGATATGATAAGGTGAGTTCATTGAGGAGATTCATGCGGATTTTTTGACGTGGATACGTCTATAGTTTCGTTTTGGGGGGTCACTCGGCGAAAAAATGCTTATGCAGCCGCGCCATCTATTGGCGATGCTTAAAAGCATAATAGTATTTTTCCGGCCTGTTGCGATGGGGTTTTTTACTCATGTGGCGTTGGCTTCCGAGCCGTAGGCGATGACTGGCCAACCACACGAGTAAAAAAACCCCATCGCAACAGCCCAGGAACAATATTTTTCTGTAGTGATTTTCAAGTTTTCGAGTTTGGGAAGTATGTAATACCAATTCCCAGACGAGAAATCGTGAGAAGCAGTACAGGAAATTGAGTTTTTTTTATTAGTCAGCGGAATTGAGTTTCTTGGTTACAGCGAGAACTGAGATTTTTCTGAAGACGAGAGTTAAATCTCCACGGCAAAATTAAGTTTTCCAATAAACGACTATTGATGGTTTAAAGCTAAAGATTCCTCTCGTGGAGTACTCCCTTCCTCCTCATTCCTCCCCTCATTTCTTTGTTTTCAAATTCTGGTTCTGCTACTCTGATAGTCCGCTCCCTGTTCTTCTGCTGCTCGAGGCGAAATGGCCCAGGCAGATTGGGTGCACTAATTTATAGAAGGTTACTGTGCAAAAACTCACCATTGGCTGAAGAGTCAATGGTGGGAAGTTAGAAATCTGATTGGCCGATGAGTCGATGGTGGGGTTAAAATGATCCAAGGCCGAAGACAGTGCCATTTCTCAGATAAGGAGCGAATGAATAGAAAGCATTCTTAATCAACTAAGTCTTTTGAGAGCAATTTTTCATAGTATAAAGTGATTAGAAAATTCGAAAATTTTTTAATTCTTGCGTATTTCCATGGAATTCGTCAATTAAGCAGGTTCTAATTATGAATCACGAATTTTTCAATTTTGAAATTCTTTATAAAATTATTGAGACGTATAGAATTGAATATAACATTAAATTCTTGTGACGAATTACGTCAAAAAGGATACTGCCAATGAGAATTTCGGTCCATAGACGCATCCACGTTAAATCTGACGGCTGTATCAAGGATACAGCCGATTAGGATTTTTTTGACTTGAGATTTGTTTCTATAAAATTTCCTAGTCATCACAGTTCTTAGTTATCGAAGCTTTCCTGCTATATTTTTTGGTTTCTCATTGAAAAAATCAATACAAAAAGTCGAAATTTAGTGCTCAAGGATTTTAATTAAAAAAATCCTAATGGAATCAGTTACATAGACATATCAACATCCATTGCGATTTTATTTATGAAAACCTCTGTCAAAAGAGAATTAAAATAAAATTCTGGCATAATTTTAATAGAATTTCAATGAAACGTCAATAATATTTGTTAGTGAATGCATGTTTTCTAATGATTTTTTTATACGTACAGATGAGCCAATTTTATTTCGGAGTCAGTTTTCCAAAAATGTGTTTAGATTGAAGGGAGATAACGAAATGTTTGCAGAGATTTTTTCTTTCATAGCTTTCGAATTGCTATTGAAACAACGTCTTCATAAATATTCTGATATCTTTCATCTACCGAGATAATCGTCAAAAACTAAGTATTCTTTGATGCCTGGAAGATAGTGACCTGCTTTAGTTTTAAAACCTTCTCTTGTCGTTTTCCATAATCTCCTGAGAAAAAGTTTCATTGAATAAATCCGAAAAAATGCATAAAATGCTGATCTCTAAATTCCTGTAAACCTAGTAGATATGAAGGCAATTAACAAAAAACCTTTCTTATGGGCGGAACAATTCTCTCCATTGAACCTAGTCATTTCCCTAGATAATAACATTTCCTCAGATTGTTGCATAATTTCAGGTCTGAGTAATCTCAGAAAACATTTTGGTAGAGAATTTTCTCGGCTCTAAAAGAGATGTCTTGACAATTTTTTCCACGCGAGTCTCACTAGTTTCAAAGATATTGTTATGAGTGTCTATTTTTAATTTAGAATGCATTCTATCAGGTATGCATTCGTTTCGTTTCTCATTTGAACATCTCCTCTGAAGTTAGTATTACTTTTGTTTTATCATTCTTCTTTTCTTCTGTTTTTACTGCAATGACCTTTTATTTCTCAAGTTCCTATTTATTTTAATAAACGTCTTTTTATAAACCCATACGCGTTTAAATTGGTGTCAGAAGTGTCGGTATTTTTTTTTATTCGTGAAAATGAATTAAATTTACGCCAGAATTAAGTGAAATGGATCGACACATGCAGGAAAAAATTTAATAAAAAACCCTAGCGAATTCGTTGGAAAATTCTGTTGGATTCGTATTGCACTTTCTATTAATGTTTGGCCAATTGTATTGAAATGTTCAATAGAAAATATTCAATAGAAAAAGTTGATAGAATTCAATTTTTCTATATAACTTATTCTTTCCAGACATTTTCTATAGAATTTCCTCGGCTAAAATTTTCCAAGTTTTTTTCATTTTATTCTTCTTTTCTTCTCATCAAGAAAATTAAACAAAAAACTTGGAAAACTTGAGCCCAGGAAATTCTATAGAAAATATCTCGATAGAATAAGTTATATAGAAAAATCGAATTCGGTAGATTTTTCTATAAAATTTTTTCATCCGTGCAATTTCACCTGGATGAAGGAGCCTTTTCTTTTCTCCATCACGACGAAAATGTTCACTCCCTCCTCCGAAGAAGTGAACAATTAATAATCGAACAATTGTCAAAGTACTGATTTCATTAATTTCCTTTTATCAATTTTTTTTGTTCTTCAGGCCGCGAAAATTGCCAAACAGGCTCACAAGGAAGGACTGACCCTCAAGGAATCAGCCCTCAAGAATGGCCTCACAGAGGAGCAATTCAAAGAATGGGTCAGACCAGAACAGATGTTGGGACCCAAGTGAACACCTTTTCGCATTTCACCATCTTGATCATCTGTTGAATGAAAAATAGAACAATAATTTATGAATAAGAAAGAATGAATCATGATGAATAAATTTTCAATCAAAAAATTGAAGAGATACGTCTTTCTATTGTTCCCTCATCATATTCCCAAGGGCAATCCATTGGTATTTGTATAAGTGGGAGAGGGCTACTATCAGTAAGAGGTCAGAGATCGTGGAACCTCTCCATAATGAGATACCAGGGAGCTTCAAATCTCGTGGCATTTTCGAGTATTTTTACACCATTCATAGTGACAGTTGGAGTGTGAAAATGTTGTCCACGATCAGGAATAGTTTTGTGAGAAAAATTGGTGTCAGAAATTTTGTGGGTGTTGTTGGGGTGCCTTTCGAGAAAGGCCAGGTATTTGTTTCTGATTGCATTCGTACATTTTATTGATTACTTTTGTAGTGAAGGCATTGAATAATATCAGTTAATTTCACTGAAAAAACATTTTTTGAGAAATACTTCAGAATTTGATTATTATTTATTACTGAAAATTAATACGTTGTATTATTAATGAAGGCTCGTGCTACATGAAAAGATAACGTATGTTTCATTCAAAGTAATAGGAAAAAGTACGAAAGGGCAGAAGTACTAAATACAGATCAGATAAGAACAGACATGAAAAAATTTAATAGAAAAATCTAGCGAATTCGTTGGAAATTTCTATTGGATTTACATTCAATTTTCTATTATTTTTTGGCTGATGCCATTGAAATGTTCAATAGAAAATATTCAATAGAAATTGATTTTTCTATACAATTTATTCTCTTTAAGTTTAAGTTTTTTTCATTTTATTTTCCTTTTCTTCTCATCAAGAAAATCAAACAAAAAACTTGAGCCGAAGAAATTCTATAGAAAAATCGAATTCTATTGAATATTTTCTATCGAAAATTTAAATAAAAACGGCCAAAAACTAATAAAAAGTTCAATGGAACTCCAATAGAATTCGCTAGGTTTTTCTATTAAATTATTTCATCCGTGAATATTCGGAACAGAAATCAGAAAAATTCAGAGTAAAACTGTCTTTTCATGGATCAGAAATCCATCTGCACCAATTTACCATGTATCAATTTAAAGTAATAAATAATAATTCAGAATCAAAGCGAGATGATAAAAGTGTCGTAGAGCTTCTACTTTTTCGTAGAACAAAATGAGATCTATAAAAAGATTCTAATGAAAATTTTACCATGGCCTTAGATTAAATGCACATATTCTTTGGAAACTACTGTGAAGTTGGTGCAACATTTTTCTAAGTGTTTTTTCTCTCTTGCAGAGAAAAGAAGGAGTTGCACTGGCGCCTGATGCAATCAGAAGAGCGGGTCTCATTGATGAATTAAAAAATTTAGGTGATAATTCCGTAGAAGAAAGAATAAACGTGCGACTATTGATTTTCCAATTGTGAATTTCTTAATCATCTCGGTAAAGAATTTTTGAACGAAACGTCAAAAGATCTCTTTGGTAGAAACTTGGCGCATTCGCTAGAAAATTCTATTAGTGTTCTTCCGATGTTGTTGAGAAACTCCACAGCTTTTCTGCGTGTCTTTTTTCTCTAGAAACGTTTATTAGAGAATAGTTTATTGAAAAAAATTAAGATCATTATTCTGTTTAGCTGAGAGAAAATCTTCTTCTGTTATGGTTATATCCTCAACTCCAAGAGAGAAGCAAGTATCATCACTGAGAGAAAATGCAGTAAAAAAAACTGAGAAAATTTCTGAGAAAATCGCCGAATCTAAGGGCGATAATAAAATTTTCGTAATTACGTTTTTCGTAGAGCAAATTAAGGGCTACAAAAAAGGTAATAACAAAAATTTTCACATCTCTCTTCAATTTCGAGACATTCATTGAAAACTGAGCACTAGTCAAAACCAACTTGAACTATTTTACCGCTTCGCTGAATTATCTAGGGTTATCTGGAATGGGCCGCCTTTCCTACGAATGTTTTTCATGTGTAAGCACGAGATTTCCCTATCAAAAAGGTCTTTATTTTTGTGATAAGATTACTCATGACTGAGATGATTCAAAATAGATGCCATGTTTTTTGAAGCAGTCATTATCTAGGTAATGAGGACTGTGGAAAGAAAATGTTGGGAGACTTTTTCTTGACTATTTTTCTCGCCGATAGGAACAATTTCTAAATGTCTTCATAGAGCCACTCACTCTCAAGATAATCATCGAAATAATGTCCTCTTATATTTGAATTCAGTCTTCTCAAACACTCGGAAATTATGAATTTTTCTTTAAGGATTGACGTAAGCTATTTTCGCGCCATTTTTTTACAAGAGTAAATTTTTTTATGGTCAAATGTCATGAAACTTCGGCAAATCGTTCTTCGAACAATTATGAGGTGATCGATCTATCGCTCAGCTCTTCGTCATATTGTCGATATAAACTTTTCAACTTTTTCAACAAAAAGTTGATATCAACAATATGACGCAGAGCTAAACTATAGATCGATCATCTTATAATTGTTCGAAGAACGATTTGCCGAAGTTTCATGACATTTGACTATGTAAAAATTTACTCTTGTAAAAAAATGGCGCGAAAATAGCTTACGTCAATTCTTAATGTCCATCAGGTTTGGATGTGAAAGACTATGGAAATATAAAATACGAGGCTGAAGTAGTGGCAGGAGTAGACAATATGTCCCACTTAGGAGAAGTAGCAGCGTGCACTAGAGAATTGTCCCAAGCTATTCAGAATATTATGAAAGAAGGGAGAAAGGTAGTGACTTTAGGAGGAGATCATAGTGTGGGGGTTGGGGCGATCGATGGACACGTGAAGGTAATCAAAATTGTATTTTCATTTTCTACAACGATTCATCGATAAAAGTTGAAGGGTCATAATAATGACAATGAAATCTTCAACATTTATAAGGAATAATCGATAAAAAATAGATGGAATATTCCAGGCAAAAGGAAGCGTTGGAGTTCTGTGGGTAGATGCTCACGCCGACTTGAACACAAATAAAACCAGTGACAGTGGTAATGTTCATGGAATGCCGGTTGCTCTGCTAACATCAGAATTATCAGACTATTGGCCTCATCTTCCTGGAATGGACTGGCAGATGCCTATGTAAATACACTAAATTCACAATAAAAAGGCCAGTTATGTCATTCAATCCAGAATTCAATAATAAAAAATTATCTCTTCAGGTTGTCGATTAGAAATGTAGCTTACATTGGTCTTCGCTCAGTGGACAAATACGAAAGATTGGTGATTGAAAAATTTGGGATAACTGCATTTGGAATGGAAGATGTCGAGAGATATGGTGAGACCCTACATTATAGATAAAAATCATAAACGAAGGGATAAATGGATGGATTTATGAAGAGGATAATTAAATTGGGTAGAAAATGTCAGAGGATCTTTTCGAAGGCTAAAAAATAGTAATTAATGAGAAAATTCGATTATAATTCACGAAATGAATGTCCTCAACTCCAAGTTACTGATTTTAAAAGACTCATGGTTCTAGAAGGCATTATGCTGGGGATAATAGACTAGTTACTTAATTTCAGAGGAAAAATTTGTAAAATTCAACATAAAAAATTAGTAATTTTAAGTCCCGGGTGTACTATCTTCCGAACCTTATCTCGATGTTTTCGTTCATCTTTCGTCATCTGAAATTGTCAATTAAGTCCTGCATCATGCAGAAGTTTTGAAAAATTATGAATGAATAATCAAAAAAAGTAGAAAAAATTCTTAATTTTTTCAAAGAGCATTTTTAATTTATATTCAGAATATGTTGAATAACCAGAAATTGAAAAATGTATCTGATTTACGGTGACAAATGGTGGCCTGTCACCCAATATCTTGCAGGGGGAAGACTGATTTCGTAAATCTTTTCTCACACTGCACAGAGACATTTATTATGGAAAAGGCTCGTTAAAAAAAAGTTGTAATATTTTGGAGAATTTTTTAATCACACCTTTATCGCATAAAAATAGCAGATGACTACATACCACTGTTTTGAAAATTAAGATACCTAGCTGTCACTTTCCATGAGAAGTTAGTGTTTTGTTATCCACCATGGAAAATGACAGCTAATAGATAATTTGCCACAGCGAATCAGATATTTGTGATTTCCACTTTTTCCAACTCATTCTGAATCTCAATTAAAAACGCTCTTTGAAAAAGTTCAGAATTTTTTCTATTTTTTTTCATCATTCTATCATAATTTTTGGGAATTTTTACATGATATACCACTCAATTGACAATTTTGGATTACGAAAGATCAAAAAAATCCAGATAACATTCGAAAGATAGTACACCCGGGTCTGAGTTGCGAAAAACTCTCAAGTAAAGAACCGCAGGGTTCTGAAACTAAGAAGATTTAAAAATCATAAAATTCAGGAATAAGCGAAAATTAATTCAACATTAATTGAGTTAGGGTGTTCAGTGATACAGTGATTTAACACAGTAGAAATCATCAATTTGATATAGAGACAGTTCTCAATTTGAAAATCCGAACATGATAAATCAAATGTTCAAATTCCCAGAAAAAGAGATTTCCTTAGAATGGAAGAAAATGTACCTTAACTCAAGTGCAATTCTTCCAGTTTCAGTTGAAAACGACAGGAAAGTCTAATTTTTCTGATTTTTAGGAAGAATTTTCATTAAAAAATTAAAAATTTCATCTATTTCAATAATTGTCTATAGTTATAGAGGAGGGTAGGGTAAAATGGACACCTGACATTTTTTTAAATTCATTACTCAGAAACAAATTTATTAATGAAGTTTATCAGAAAAGAAAAGAATTGTTCTTTCAATTGACAAATAAAATTATTCCATTTCATAAACAATTCAACACGTTACGAACATTTAAAGAAAATCAAGTGTCCATTTTACCCCACCCACCTCTATGTTTTCAGATAGTTTTTCCTCTCTGAATCTTCCCTCAATCTAAATTATCAATGATTACATAAATACCGAAATCGCATGATCTAGGAATACACGAGGTCGTCCACATGGCTCTGAAAAAAATCGACCCCCACTCCGACAAATCTTTGCACATCAGCTTCGACATCGACGCCTTGGACCCCCTAGAGGCCCCCAGTACAGGAACAGCAGGTGAACTCCCTAAATAAATCACAACCCCATAAAAAATTCTCCAAAATTAATCTTTAATCATTAACTTTAACGCCCCCCATAAAACATCATCATAGGTAGTAAAAAAATTTCCAAAAATTACAGTCAGAGGCGGATTATCCCTGCGAGAGGGGATCCACCTGATGGAAGAAGTCTACAGGACGAACCGTCTGAATGCGATCGATCTGGTCGAGGTGAATCCCGAGATCGGCGATGAGAGAAGTGTTAACTTGACTACAGAGGCAGCAATTTATATTTTACAAGCTGGCCTTGGTTACACGAGAAGAGGACTCAAAGTTCCAGCTGGAGTGACTGATATTCCTCTCCAAACGTTTCATTGACCTCCAGAAGTCTCCAAAAATCTCCAGGATTCTCCATACTGAGAAAAAAAATTATTTTTGCCAAATATCCATTTACTTGCTAGAAGCAATTATTTTTTCAATATCTTATTTCTCCAGTCGAGTCATTGCCAGGTAATTGTCATTAGATTTCAATTATGGCAATTATATTGCTCTAGAAGATGATCATGCTAGTTATAACCTTGAGTGAACTCCCTCAATAATTATAAACACTAAAACAGGGCGCGCGTATTATTTTCCATGGGGGCTAGATTGGTAAAACCTTACCGTTTCTCACTTTCATTCATTATTATCTCAATAATAATGCAGGAAAAACGAATGGTTTCAACAAAGTCAATTAGAATTCAATTTTTGAATAATTTATTCAGACTCGTCATAATCCTCTTTATCTTCTTTGTTTCCCTTTTTGCTTTTTGCATTCTTTTTTATGTTTAGGGATGTATTATGGACTATATACATATATACTATCCTATATATATTTTTTTTACAGTACAGAACTGTATTACATTTTTTTTATTGTTAAGAAAATTACAATATAAAACATACATGTATAGTATATATAGTATGTATTATAGACTATATATAGTATATATATAATATAATATAGGGAAGAGTGGGGCCAAATGAAACAGCCGAAAAACGACTATTTGCCGCAATTCAAGCAAAAAAGTTGGTTTTTTAAACTTTTGTTTATCCACTTTTTTTATTATTGGGAGCATTGATGAGAATAATAATTTTCTATTAGTCTAAATAATTCAATGGATTATAATTCAATTGATTAGATTAGTCCAATTACACTTTTCTGTTTTCATTCGATTAAAATTCAGCATCACTTTTTCCTTTTTCCCCCTCTGGGTTTCCCCCTGGGCCTTGCTCTGGACTTTAGATTTTGCGGTTTCATTTTCTTTTCAATTAATCCATTGACAAAATCTTCTCCCGTTAAAACTTTTCAATAATTTTCCATTCTTCTGAATGGAAAATTAATATTCTCATCAGTACTCCCAAGAATAACAAACAATTAATAAACAAAAGTTGAGAAAAAAATTTAAAAAAAATTTTTGCTTCAATTGCGTCAAACAGTCATTTTCTAGCTCATATGACTGCCGCTCTCGCCTTCGGCTTGAGCTGCAAACCTCATATTCGCCAGAAAAGTTTTTTTCGGCCTAATGACGAAATATACTAGTTCGTCATACGGCCAAAAAATACTTTTATCGCCTAATAACATAATATACTATTATTGCCGTAAGAAACGAATTTCTATTTTTTTACAATTACTGTAAACAAAAATTAAAGTACATAAAAAAATATAAATCGACATCATATTACGCTACTTGATAAGAGAATGAAGGCTTCAAAAATCGTAACACTGGATTTTTTAAAAGTGGTTTAAAAAATTAATCGATTTTCTTCCCCATAGAAAATAATAAATTTAGGAAAAATGAATAGGGGAAGGTGAGGTAAAATGGACACTTTAGACTTATTTTTAATTATTCATAACTAAGAAACAAATTTATCAATTGAGCTCAGTTTAGACTCTTCACAAAGGGAAAGAGTTGTTCTTCGTATTGAAAAAAAAAATTATTAAATTTTACCAACATTTCAACCCCTCATTAACATTTTTAAAAAAGTCAAAAGTGTCCGTTTTACCCCAACCTCCCCTAATCATTGCAGAAGTTCATCTAAGGTCATGTGCAATATAGTCATCCTCTAGAGTAACATGATGGTCATAATTGAAATCTAATCAGACTCGCCTGGGACTCGATTGGAGAAATACGATTTTGAAAAAATAAATGCTTCTCTCAAGTAAATGAATATTTGGCAAAAATATTTTTTTTCTCAGTGCAGACACCTCCAATTACACCACAAACCGACTAGAAACACTCACAAGTCCTCGGCAACTATTTCTTTGTGCTGTCCACAGTATTTTCACTATTTTCAGTGTCTTTGATCAATAAATACCACTTAGTCCCAGACTCCTCCTTATCCTCAACCTTAACTTCAACCTTCGACACGTGAAATTCGTTGTTCGCTGGATCTGTGATCGTCACCCAGTAGACAATGTTCCCTCGGGCCTTGGGACCACTGATGGGCAGCGTGAACCATTTTTTATTGTCTGTCTGTCCACAGGTCGTGCTGTCACCGATGTCAACCCTTCCAATTACGTAGGGCTCACCCATGCGATATTTTATCCCAGGATGATTGTTCACAAGTTCCATTACCTCCATGTGAGAGGCCGACTGCTTTATTTTCTCCTGGATCAACCACCTGGTGCCATAACCAAATAGTGGAATGGCAAATCCACCTACTAATATTATTTTTCCTAATTTCGGTATTGATACTCTACTCATTCTTCGATTTTTTATGTGATTATTCGATTGGTGAAGCTCACTTGTGCTCCTTTGGAGTGTTGGGGTGGTTGGGAACTTGGGATTAGCTTAAAGGTTATGTCGATATCATTTTACGGTTATGGCGGGAAAATTTTCGAGCTTTTGTTTTTTCCCAGATGATTTTTCCCAATCGGATTTCGACCAATCAGAGCGCAGTATTTGAGGCTACCCGACAGTTTTATTTCAGATATTTTCTCCTAGCTTTTGAATATTTCGCAGTAGTTCTTCATTTTTTTTAGCTGAATATTTCGTAGTAGTTCTTCATTTTTTCGGCTCATTTCAGATAGAATCTTATATTTGACAGTTTATGGAAATCGGGTTATTCATTACATAATTTGTTCAAATCTTCTCCAATTCACCTCCTGATGTTCTCCACTGCAGTCTGCTTGGCCAAAATTCGATTGGGAAAAATAATCCGACAAATACCCCTCGAGATTCAAAATTTATCGGGTATTTCCCTCAAGCTCGTTTTTGAGAAAACAAAGAGTTTTGTTGTTTTGATGTTGTAAATATAATCATTGAATTCAAATGTGGGAATGTGAATGCATGAATTGGTATGTCAAGTACCTATACGAAGCTTTATGGACATGTTCGTATCTTGAAAAATAAGGACTGAAATGCTTATATCCCAAAAACTAATTTGAGAGGGAATTTTTTTATTTTTCCCCTATTCCTGGGGAAAAATGGTAGGGAAAATATATGTCAAATCGCGGCGCCAAAGGAATCGTAATCTTCCCTCCAAAGATATCCTGGGATTCTGATTTTCGAAAAATACAGAATTTTTGCAAATTTTCCATTAAATCAAGAGAACAATTATTGCTATGACCTTCATCTTCAAACTCTGTTAAAAGGAGATTCAAACAATTTTTTTCAGCCATCATTCAATCAATTCAGACAATTTTTTCAGTTTTCGTGAAAAAAACAATTTTTGAAAAATTTAAGAAATTAAAAAAATTAATAAATGAATTAAATTTTAATTAGTGGCGATTGATAGGGGCCAACAATACCCACAGTTGGGGGAAAAAAACATTCAGTTTCATCGATTCATTAGCGAACAATCGAAGAAAAATTTGTTTACATACGTAGGGACACGATCTAAAAGTTGCATTTGCACACGAAAAAACCAAAACTTAAATTTAAACGATTACAATGCTTTCATTCAGAATCAAAAATGGGTAGATTTAGAGAAAAATCTCAAGAGACCTTAGTAACCCAGGAAATTCTCTAAAAAAATATATTTTTAACCTTTCTGCAGTACCTCAGGTAACTAACAAACCCTTAAAACCCTCTCTTTGCCTCTCCCCTCCTAAAACACATAACAATAAAAACGAAAATAAATCAGAATAAACTAATATATTTCTCGACTGTATAAAAATTCTTCTCGATAGTTTACTCAAACGTCTAAACTCCAATGAATTTCGTTCAACACTTGTTCTAAGAACTTTACACTTATTTTAATTTCTCTTTGAAATACCCTTAAACTAATTCAATTAAAGAATTATCTGCACATCAACTATTTCCTACTCGTCCTCGTACGTTTGGGAGGAGGATTATCAGTGAAGCTCTCCTCTCTGTTTTTCCTCAGACTTCGTCTGACACTTCCACTCTCCCCTTTCTTCACGTTAGACATGCTTGGAGTCGAATTAGAACGCCTCTTGCATCTTGTCTCATTCTCGTGACCCTCCTCTGGGGACAAATCCTTCGTCTTCCTCTTCGGAGTTCTGGACGAAGCCCTCGCCCTGGGATTCCTCTTGCTGGGAGTGTTGGACGAATTCCTGAACACATTCTCATCGTCCTCCTCATTCTCCCCCACCTCCTCATCACTGTCGTCCCCCCTCGTCTTCTTCTTCCTCCTACCGTTTACATTTCTCTTTGGTGGTGCTGCAGGCGGTGGCATCGCCTCGCGGTCCTCGTCCCTGTCGTTATCCTCCTCATCATCGTTCAACAGCTTCTCAATCTCACTCTCCAGCTGTCCACAGGTCTCCCTAGTCTCCGCCTTCTTCCTGGCACTCTCAACAATATCCTTGAGAGCCTTCTGCACCTCCCTGATATGTAGTTTATTCTTGATCAGCGGTAACTTACTAATGAGGGTAGCAATCCCCTTCTTCCCCAGTTGCAGCAATGACAGACAATAAGCAAGATCCCTGCACTGCCTGTCAGTCGTCGCCATCTTCAGCCTCTGGCAGATCTTGTCCAACAACGCGTCACTCTCCTTCTCCTTCGACAGCAGCCCCAGAATATGCTTGACAATCTCATGAAGATTATCCTCCTGAATATCCACATCCGTGCTAGTCAATCTCGACAAGATATCAGGAAGAATATTGTAAAGAACGTTCCCCTTATGAGACAGCTCATCGAAGAACTGCTTGGCATCCAGCCTGATCTGTTGATTCTCATCAACAATGCACAAAGCCATCTCTGACATCTGCCCCTTAACCCTAATCATCTCGCGTTTAACGAGACTCGCAAGAACCCTGACAGCAGTGCTCCTCACTGACACCTCCCTGTCCCTCAGTCTTCCATAAAGATGAGCAGCCCAGGGCTCGACTTCATTAGGGAATCTAGTCATAAGATCAGCCAGACCCATCAGAATGTTCCCTCGAATCTCCGGGAATGTCGATCTCTCGAGGATCGTAAACAATAGCTGGAGATGCTGCTGACAGAATCCAGCAGATATCGCCATCATCTTGGTGAGTGCCTGTACCCCAAACGCCTGAACATAATGACTCTTGTACTTCTCTGGATACTGGCACACGTCGATGACAAGAGGAACGAAATGAGCGAAGAATCCATTGCCACTGATGATGTTGGATTCCAACTCTGTCTCAATGGCCTCAGCCTCAGCATCGTCAGCTGTTGCACCTCCCAGTGCCTCCTCACCAGCGTCCTCAGTGGTCATAGTAGACTCGTCGTCCTTATGCTTACGATTATATATCGATCTTCTAGCTTTCCTCGCAGACGAATGAACTGAAGTTGAGGCTGAAGAGCAGACCGAGATGTTGCTGGAACGAGGCTGATCCTTCCTCCCTTTCTTGGCCTCCAGTATCGTATTCCTGCGTTTTGATTCTTTGTAGACCGCTGTGTCGAGGTAGACCATATGCCTCATCGCAGCATGAGCAACGATGTAGAGGAGTTTAGCTAAGGACGACGAGTCCACCTCTGGTTCACTCATCTTCCCGTTTAGCTCTTTTAAAATATCTCTTATGAGCTTCTCAGGTTGATTAGCAAGATGATAGATGACGCTGATGGCGTCATGTGCAAAGGAGACATAAGTGTCGACATCAACAGTCTCGAAGTTGTTCTTCAGCAAAATGGACAAGTTCTCGAAGATTTTGTGATCGTTGAAGTGTCTCACAGGGGGTTCCAGGACGTCTTTAGTCTTGATGGCGAGAAGAGCACGACAGCAGTCTCGAGAAAGCAGAAGGTCCACATCGCCTTCAGTCTTCAAACCCACGTCCACGAGAACATCGATGTTTGCACTGATGATTGATGATCGAGTCTGGGCTGCCATAGCAAGAAGAAGAATAGCTGATCTGCTGTCTTCCACCGTTGCTCCAGGTGTTTTCTTAGCAAACGTATGCCAGATCATGAGGAGGTGGTCATCAGTCAAATCCTTATTTCCAAGCCAGATGGCTATGAGGTGGGCTAATGCTGGACTTTGACCGGGTTGGAGACCTTTGAAGAGGTTTATCAATCCAGTAACTGCTGAGGATATCGTCGCCTTCTTACCATTGTTCATCAGGTATATGTCCCTGTAGATCGTTGCCACATTGTTTCGAACTGACTCCTCCCTGCTGAAGACCTGAGACAATGCTTTCCTGATTCCTGCATCAGCCCCTGGAATTTTCAGTGTCAGAGCTGTTGACAACAGAGTGCAGGCTTCCACAGCCACTGTTACTGTTGGAGAGAACAGCATCAATTCGATTTGAATCAATGCATTCTCAATTTCAGTTGCAAAGGTCTCTGCATTGGTGAAGAACACCAGAATCTTTCTCAGGGAGATTATCTTCTTCACCTGCTCCCTGAAGTTGGCAGTGGTCTCCTGGTGATCGGTGCCGTCTTTGGAAGACTCCATGAATATGAAGAGCATCATGTGAAGATAGGCTCGCTCCTTCTCGCTGTCGTCAAGGATGTCAGCTGACGAGTCCTCCGTCCTCGTAATCTTGACGAGCTTCTTCACAGCTGCATGAAAGTTCTTCTGAATGATCAACTTTCGTATCTGCTCGTATTTCTCCTCGTCGTCTTCCTCGTCCTCCTCATCCTCGCTCTCAGAGTCCTGATCCTCTTGGTCAGCAATGCAATCTTTGATGGCTTTAACGATCTCTGGGGAGAGTGTCTTCCAGAGCTCCAGACGTTCCTCGTGGCCACTGCCAGACGCAGCCACAATATCCTCCTGCATTTTATCGTATTTACTTTTAAACTCTTCCCTCTTCTTCTCTATCTCACGTTTATCGATGAAAGAATTGAAGGGATGGCCCTCCAGCAACACTCGAAGGAGAACAAGTGCTTGTTTACGAACAGTCGCTGCCTTTTCTCGTAGATGGCTAACAGTCATCCTTATTATCGAGGCGAAACGATCAACAGGAATGGCTTGCTCGCAGCACAATTTCTGGAGGACTTGGAACACTTTGGATCGAACATAGGTGTTGATGTCTCGTGTGTGGGCCTCCAGGCGGTCGAAACACTCGTTACGTTTTGCTCTCTGTTCACTAGTGAGATTTTCTCCTGTCAGGGCTTTTATTATGACGACCCCCAGGACGTTTATCGCGCAGTTTCTCATGGAGTAGCAATCGTTGGAGAGATAATCGGTGATGTTGTCCAGGATGGGGAGGACCAGTTCTGGTTTGATTGTTGCTATTGCCTCGAGAAATGAGGAGACGTTTCTTGCTGAGGTATCGTCGAGACTCGTTTGCTCGATCTCTCGAGCTAATTCAGCTATGAATCCTGGGCAGTCATTTGACGAGACCATTTCGACCACTCCCTGGGCTAGATAGGGCCCCAGGGCCTCGTGCATCTTCACCAGTTGGATGATTTTTATGGTGCAGGTGATGTTGTGGAGGTATCGTTTCACGAGGACTCCTAGGATCTGGAAAATTGTCGTTCTGACCTCGGATTTTCCTTTATTCTCCTTGTCGTGCTCCAGGGTCTTGTAGCAGACGTCGGCTATCAGCTGGACGAAGGCTTCCTCGACGATTGGTGGAGTCCACAGGTTCTGGAGGGGGAGTTGTAGCCAACGGTGGATGGATAGCAGGCTCTTGTCTCGACGGGGCTCCCACTCTTCTCGCTCTGGGGCCTTGGCGTTCTTCTTCTTCTTTCCGTTGTCTTGGAAGTTTGTCTCGAGGCTTGACGTTTTGTCTTCCAGGAGGCACATCAGGGAGCAGAGGAGGTAGACGTACATCTTGTTGATGCAGAGGTACTGCGCACGGGATTCACCGGTGGGAAAATTTTTTTCCATGTTAGTTACGAGGATCTCCAGGGCTTTTGCTAGTCTATCAAAGGCGCGCACTATTTGGAAGTGCTCGAGCTTGTCTCCATGGGTCAGAACTGAGAAGAAATCGTCGAAGTGTTTCAGGATGAAGCTGGGGCCTTCGTTGGCGAGGGCGGGCCTTGTTGCTGTGGGGGAAAATGAGGAGGTGTTAGTTGAAATGAGTGAAGACATGAGACCAGTATTTTGAGGAAAAAAATTAAAAGTTGATCAGTAGCTTTGGTGATTAAGAAAAACAGTTTTTTTAATGAATCTAAAACTAGTGGAATATTCGCCAGCGGAGGATTTAATTCTGTGGCTTTTTACAGCTGTGAGAGTCGAACAATCACATGTACAAATGTTTTTTAAGTGCGAACAAGTTTCTACATGATTTAAAAATAATTGTACACTTCTAAATGTTGTTGTTGTTATTCGTTACTGGTTATATCCCTTTTATAAAAAGGAAAGTACCAAATATTCCTCTAGATATATCAAAATCGTAACTTACGCTGGCGAATCTTTCACTAGTTTAACGTTTTCTGATAATTTATATCCTTTCCAGGCAAAATTAGGAAGTGAAATTGGCCGAATTCAAAACTTTCATCCGGAAAGAAAAATGAGATTGATTTGAGAAAGTGTAGTATGCCAGATAGTTTTCTAGTTTTTTTCGAAATTTGCGACCTATTCATTCAAGAGACTGAACTTTTTAGACTTTTGCAACTTTTATGTTAAAGTAGATTGTATGTGAAAATAAATTTTGGCATTTTGGTGATGCAAAAAGAGGCTAAACAATCATTGGTGAGGTTTAAAGTCAGTTAATGATAAAAATTTGGTTTGTTCAGACTACTTTTTGAGTCATCAATTCCATCGAGATACCGATATTTTTCACTGTTCAAAATTTAGTGAAATGAAAGAAAAAATAGCAAGAAATAATCCGTCAATTCATCGGACCAATCCTGCAAATGATCCACTCGATTAAAATCTGCAACTAAAGCCTGGTTGCACCAAGCCCTATTATCCCAATAAACCCCAGGATAAAATTTATCCACGGGTCAATTATATCGTAGGGGTCATAATTTTTCAATATTTGACCCGACCGAAGAATAACTTTTTATTTATCCTATAGCCCCATTTGAATTAACACTGATTCAACCTTGGGACTAACTTTTATTTTTTGTTCCAGGGATAAATTTGAGATAGTCTCCCGGGTAAAATAATCCATCGAACATCCAAATTTACTTTTTTTCTTATCTGGCGTTTTCGTTAGCCGGAGCTGGTGCAACTGGGCCTAATTCTTTGGAAATTGGTTAGTCCCATAGTATTGAAAAAATTAAATATTGAAAAAAATTGCAAAGATCATAATGAATATTGAAAGAACAGTCTGTTGTAGAGCTTAAGACGATTTCTACGAAAAAATTAAACCCAAATACATGAATGTCTGATTAAAACTGTGATTTGCAAAGTGAGAAAAATAATAATTCAGCAGAACTGTGAAATAGTAAAAAATAATGCTGGATGGCGAATAAGTTTGTACAATCTTGTGTAAGCAACTCTCTACACATATGGAAATACTCTTATGTCTTTTGTAATTCTTAAAATACCTAAAAATGTATTTCTCCATTAAAGTAGTATGAATAATCTCCAGTTGAGCCGTTGAGGATAACGAGGAAATTTTCCCATGAATTCTAACTTTGATGAGTGTAAGAAATTGTTTTTCAATTAATCCAATTCCCATCAAATTTGTTCTCCAATTGATTTTATAAATAATAGTATCTTATTTGACTTGGATATTTCGACATAACACGCGATTTGGGGCACGTAGAAACATAAATGATTTATTACAAAAGCCTGACACTGACGATAATTTTCATATTAAACATCGATTTTTTTTTCGAATTTTTCAGAATTTTTATTAGATTTTAATCATCTTCCTAACCATGAAAACTTCATTTCCCATAAGCCTTTGTGCTTTTTTTGCACTTCTAGATTAATTAGTAGGGGAGGGTAGGGTAAAGTGGATACTTTAGACTTTTTTAAAATTATTCGTAACTCAGAAACAAATGTATCAATATTGCTCAGTTTAGGCTCATCACAAAGGGAAACAATTGTTCTTTGTATTGAAAAAAAATGATTGAATTTCATCAACATTTCAACCCATCACTAATATTTTTAAAAAAGTCAAGTGTCCATTTTACCCCAACCTCCCCTATTAATAATACTAGACTGCCAAACTCAACCAGAATGTTTCTATTCATATTAAACTTCGTTTAGAATTTATTTCTGACCTTAATCTTCAAAATTCAAGCTATGTTTATACTACTTTAAAATTCGTTGAACTGCAACGCCTCTCCTACTGAATATCTTGGAAAATGCACGAAATTTTGTTTTCAATAATCTTTAATTTGGATTATTTGCATGGAGTTGATGGAAATATTTCATTCATATTATTTTGTTTGAACATCAGAGTACTTTGGAGGCTATGAGAAGGAGGTTATGTTTTGAAAAAAAATTGTATAAGTAAATAAAAGGTCCAAATAATTGTTCTAATTACCGTCTAATGCTGCGGAGATACCACGTGCAGAGGTAATATCCTTCACATAATACTGTCCACTTCTGTGCTTTAGAAGGTCGTCCTTTGTTAAAGGAATAACAAATTCCATGTTGACTATTATTCTCTGGCTTAAACAAAACTAGTTACATTTCATCCACACCTCTCTCGAATTCACTCTCGGGAACTCCAATTTTGATGATTTTTCAGGGCTATTGAACACTTGATTCGGTATAGAATGTTAAAAAACAAATGCTATTAACAAATGTGTGCCATTCTGGTGGCAGGCTGCGTCATCGACGCCGGATTCAACTGCCGATTTTTGAAATCATTGTTGCCAACCTAAAAACAAGGATCGAATCTTGAAGGCTGGTTTTCATTGCTATCGCTGCCAACCTCAGCCGCCAAAAGTTTGAATTTAAACCTTAGAACTTTTCAGAATGCCGCCAAATGTTTCCAACCTGTTTATAGAAGACCGAAATTTTCTAGATTTTTCGAAGAATTCGAGAACTTTTCCAAAAATGCTAAAAATTGTTTGAAAATGTGTCCTAGCAGAAATGGGAATCATATTTGTGAAATAACTACCGTTGAACATTCTCAAGTTTTCCCGAAAGTAGGGGAGGTTGGGGTAAAATGGACACTTTTGACTTTTTTAAATTGCTAATGAGGGGTTGAAATGTTGATAAAATTCAATTTTTTCTTTTCAATACAAAGAACAATTCATTTCCTTTGTGACGAGCCTAAACTGAGCTCAATTGATCAATTTGTTTCTGAGTTATGAATAATTTTAAAAAATTCTAAAGTGTCCGTTTTACCCCACCCTCCCCTACTAGAAATTTCATACATTATTATTAGGGAAATTGATTTTTTTTTCCCTGATGAGCATTTCAGCATTTCTTAGAAAATTCTAGAAACCGTCAGAAAGATGTGGAACACCTATTTATGAATTTCGAGAGGAGAATCTTCACATCGATTTCCAAGTCTCTAACTTGAGTGGTCTTCGAAATTTCATAAAAATATGCCCGCCCTTTTCACCCCCTTAGGGGATGAATTTCCAAAAACCCTTCCTCGGTGGGTGCCTACGTCACTAAGCGAAGCTGTAGGCAAAATTTCATGCTCATAACTTGTGTAGTAGGATGCCTC